TCGTCATCTCCCTCCGGCCTCAATGAATTGTGATAAAAATGTCAAACAATTACATTACACTGGCCCACAGTGTGGCATGATTGAGTGGCGAGGCAGGGCACGTCCCCTGAATCACCCTGACGCAGGCGACCGCTGCACGGGGTGGCAGATCCCCCCGGGTCCCCCCACCTTTGCAACGGGCATCAGGTCTCAGCAGCCCCGGGCAGGAAACCGAGGCTGGGGCCTGGGGGACAGGGGTGGCGGTGGGAGGGGCGATGCGGAGGGAGGCGGGAACGGGCAGCCCCTGAGGACAAGACCCCAAGAGGCGCGTCAGCAGGTTCTCCCAGGGTCTGCAGATCCCCACGGGCTGCTTCACCCAGAGAGGCCGCCCCAGGGTGCGGGGTCCAGGCCCTGTGCCCCCCACCCTGGGCCGCAAGCCCGGAGGGTCTGCAGCCATGCCGTTGAGCGCCCGGCGGGCCTGCCATTCCGCAGAGCAGCCCTGCCGGCTTCTTCCTCTGTTTAAGGGTGAAGACGTGTTGAAAATTGATTTCTGTTGGAAATGGGATAATTAAACTGGTTGTTTCTATCTCCATCATCGTCATAATAAAATGAGGGGACAGCAGGGTTGTGCATGGCATGAAGTAATATTGTCCGTCTTAATGCAAGGGAGCATTAATTGAATACGAATGGCCTTCCCTGAAGTCGCTCGGTTATATTTCAGAGATATGGGATAATGATGCCGGTTAATCATTTTTACAAGATAGAAAATTACTGGCTCCTCTGGGAAGATCATTAAGGAAAACAATTGTTCACAGCAATTGAAAATAGAGTTTTAATTATTTAATATAGAAATTAAACTATTGGCGACTGGTGCTGGATGACGGAACTTAATAGTAATTTATACACAAGCGTCTGTGAACGTTTTAGCTTTATTAACCCACCTAACTTCTTAATCTGGATCCATCGGGGGAGGCCTGCTTCAGCCGTGACTGAATTCACGGCTTGCGCAGGAGGGCCTGGCAGACAGGCGCCCGCTGGGACCCCACACTCGCCGTCCGGGGAACACCTGCTGGGAGCCGCAGGGAGGGACCCAGGAGCCCAGAGCACCTGCGCCAGGAGCTATGGGCACCAGCCAGGACGCGCGGAGGCCAGGGTCTCGCGCTCAGCAGAGGTGATGGGGTGTGTGATGGCCCCATCACAGAGGATGGACCTTGGGTGTGGCCGGGTGACGCTGTTCCACGGGGATTGAGGCATGAACGTGAAGTGTTGAGCTGGTCACGTGAATGTAACCCCCAAGGGGGTCCTGGCCAGAGTGAGGTGCTGACCCCAGCTGGCCTGGCTCCAGAGCCCACATGACCTGGGCCCCCAGCCCACTCATCCTCAGGCCCACCTCCCCAGGGAAGGGGGGACCCTAGACTGCCTCGCCCCATCCGCAAGGGCCCGCCCTCTATGCCCAGAGGACCCTTGGTCCCAGCACAGTGGGCTTCTATGTGGGCAAAGCCAATGACAAAGGAGGTGGGCTGAGTGCAGGAACGTGGGCAGAGAAATCCAGAAATCCATCAAAACACCATGTGGGCTGGGAGTACTTTTTTCCCTTTGTTTTTATTCCCCATATTTCCTACAATAAAATGTATAGTTTTAAAAAAAAGTCCTTGTTTTAAAAATATGGAAATCACGGGGCACCTGGGTGGCTCAGTTGGTTGAGCGTGGGACTCGGTTTCAGCTCAGGTCATGATCTCGGGGTCCTGAGATCCAGCCCCCCCTCCGGCTCTGTGCTCAGCGGGGAGTTTGCTGGGGATTCTCTCTCCCTCTGCCCCTCCCCCGCCTCTCTAAAATAAAGAGGTCTTTAAAAAATATGGAAATCACTATTTTCAAGATATAAATTAATAAAAGAGATGGAACTTTTTAAATGTTGACTGATGAGCAAGCACAGAACAGGTTGGAGTTTGCAAGTTGTTGCAAGTGAGGGGCTGAGCCTGGACACGCGGGGTCTGGGAGAAGTGGGACAGGGGTCAGGCCCTTCCTGGTCCCCTTCACGCCCCAGCCCCGGGCGGCTAAGGCTGCGGCTCCCGAGTGACCGGCTCAAGGTCAGGAAGCCTGGCTAGAGCCAAGGGCTTCCTCCACCGCCACACGCACGTGGTCACCCGGTGCAGGGAGGGTGGTCTCCCGGAGCCCTGGGGCCCTCACGACATTGAGAACATGCAGATCTGGTCACCCTTCCTCCCAGGCTACCCACCATTCCAATTACATTCTATTATTACCAATAAATTCCAAGTGATCTTTTTTCTCCTTATAGTTTTTAGGGTTACATAAATTCCACCTATGCAATTTTTTCATGCTTGAATATATTATGGAATGCCACTTCCGTTACAGAAGCTAATTGATAATGTGATTTGTCATGTTGCTGGGGCATAATTCAGAAAGTTATTTCAACGCCTCCGATACACGGACTAGCTCTCATGTTTCATATTTCTCACACGAGTAGACACAGTATAAGGTAAAAAATGTGAGTCTGCACAGATGAAATATTTCCAGAGGCTTTTATTCTTGTTGTTTGGGTGGGTGCCAACAGCTTTCTAGAAGGAAGCTCATATATCCACGGCTGCTCTGATTTGAATTTATTCCTTGATCATTAGTTAGCTTTTTTTTTTTTAACTGGAAGAAGAATGTGTATATGTTTGACAAAAGGAAAAAAATTGAACAAAAAGAAGGGCATCACCACCTTTCGATGTTATCAAAGATGAGCTGCTTTTAAACTTTTTATGTTGGACTAACTGTAGCCCTGCGAGAAGTTGCACAAAGAAAGAGCACTGATGATGCATCCTTCACGCAGCTTCCCGGCGGCGGCATCCGAACCAGAAGCCGGGGAACCGCGTGGGCGCGGTTCCGTTTCGCCACGTTCACAGGGCGTGTGCACCCATGTGCACAGCTCTGTGCAAGGGTTTCCCACGCGCGATCCCTGGCCCGTGGCCGTGGGGGCTCCCCCTGCACCCCCAGGCCGTGCCCGAGACGCCAGCGTGCTCTCCCTCTCCGGTGTCGTCTTCAGAATTGTGGCAGGAATGACATCATACGGTGCGTGACCTTGCTGGTCGCGGCTCCTGCACGCGGTGTCGCGCCCCCGGCGCCCGTCCAGGGATCCGGGGTTCGCAGTTCTCCGTGTGGCGTTCCACTGGCACGTGGACCAGGGCTCGTAACACCGTCCCCGGCGAGGGACACTGCTTGTTTCCAGCCCTCGCTCTGATGGAACGGCGCAGCAGACACGCACAGGCTTCCCTGGGACGCGAGGCTGGGAGCGCAGGGCCCGTCTCATGCTGGTCACAGGCAGAGCTCGTGAGGACCGGTCCAGCCGTCTGCCTGAGGGCCGCGCTGTTTCCCAGCCCCAGCCGTGACATACGGGGGGCCCAGGTGCTCCCCACGTTCCCTAGCACGCGGTGTTTTAGCAGGCGCGCTGTGGTACCTCATCGCAGTCCTATTTCGTGCTTTCTTCCTCACTATTTGGCCTGTCCTGTGCTCGACCCAGCAAGTCCAGGGGCGGGTCCGTCCGACCCAGGGCAGGGAGGCTGCGGCGTGGGCTTCCCGCCCACGTCCCAGACACAAGACCAGGATGAAACACCACCATCCACACCCCCTCACGTGTGCCAGGGGAACAAAGCCTCGCGGACGTGTACTGTCTCCCACCCACTTAGCTCCTAGTTCTCACAGCCCAGAGATGACCGGCGGCCACTTGGCCTGAGGCCTGGCACCCTCTGGCCTGTGGGTGGCTGTCTCTGGCTCCCAGGGGGCCCCAGACCCAGTGCTCAGAGGCCAGAAGTCTCCAGGTGAGGCAGATGTGGCCTCCGTGCGGACACCTCACTGTGCTCGGGGGCCTGGAAAGAGCAGTCCTAGCAGCCCCCAGGGCCAGGGTCCCCCGGCCCAGGGCGCTCTGTGGCCTGACCTCAGCAGATGTCCGAGGGACTGCTTGCCAGGACCCAGGGCCCGAAGACACTTTGACCCTCCCCGCCCCCAGCCCATGGACTGTCTAACGGCGCTGGCTCCCCCCCCAGAGAGACCTGGAGCTGGCTCTCCCTTGACCCCTGGCCACCAGCCTGGGAGACTCTTGGGACACAGGGTCCTGGCTACTCAGTCCCTCACCCTGGTCTCCACGTGGGCCAGGATGGCTTGGGGCCCGGTGGGAGGACGCTTCCTGGGGACGTATCTGTTCTTCCTATGGCCACCCTCAAGTCTGGCTGAGTGTCCAAGTCTGTGGACAGCGGCTTCTCCCAGGGCTTCCCTGGTCCGCTGTGGTGCCCACAGGTGGTGGCGGTACGTCCCACCCTGGGGACCTCTGAGACCAGGGCGGACTTCCCTCCCACTTCCTGCCTCCAGCAGACAAACCGTGACTCCCCATGGAGCTTCTGGTCGCCTCCTGGGAGCCGGCCTCACAGGCACACCCCCGGGCCCCGGGGCTGGACTTCCCGCACTCGCTCGCTCACTTGGCAAACACAGCTGAGCCCCACCACGGCACGGCGCTCGACAGAGGGACTCCAGTCCTGCCGTGCACCCCGGGTCACAGACCGCACTGCAGACACGTGATGCAGACACTGGACCTTGTCGTTTACTAAAGCGCTTACACCAAAAACGATGGTGTTCCTTGTCCAGGGACCACCGTGGGCCTCCAGGGACCGAGGGCCTCACCCCCAGGGCCAGCCTCTACCCCAAATACAGGCGGCTCCCCCACCACTGGGACCCAAGGGAGTGCACAGGGCAGGGGAGGGTTCTGGGGGTCCAGGCAGCTGTGGGGTCAGCCCCGATGCAGAGCCCCCAGAGGGACTCTCCTCCCCCTGCCCAAGGGTCCCCGTGCGAGCCGGGCAGAGCAGGCTGAGGAGGAAGCACCAGAGCAGATCAGACTCAGGATGGCCCTGGCATGACCCCGAGCAGAACTGGGGTTCAGGGGCAGGGCCCCCGGAGGAGGGGTGCCTATGGGGGGGAGGGCTGGGTGGTGGGTCCTCGGAGGGGCAGTCAAGGTCCTTGCCCCGGGGGGGTCACCCGATGGCCAGGTGTGGCAGCCCGTACAGGACCAAGTTGAGGACGATGGGCAGCCGCTCCTGGTCGCTGAGCTGTGGCGGGAGGGACAGCAGTTTGACCCTGGAGGCCCACGGAGGCTCACCTGAGGGAGAGTGAGACCGCGCTCGTGGCCTGCACGGAGCACTGGGGGCAGGGCGCACGGTGCACGACGGTGCAGACACGGCCCCACCATGGACACGGCCACACATGTACACCATGGACACCGAGGCCCACGGGCGGTGGCACCCGGCCAGGGAGGGACCTCGCCAGGCCCAGGCCGGCCTGTCGCCTCCACACCACACCACTCCCAGCACCGTGGGGCCAGGCGGCTCCTCCTCCTGCCATCAGCCGGCTGCCACCACTGACCGTGGGGTGTCCCTTCCTTCCAAGGCACATCCACACAGAACAACAGAGGCCACACAGGCGCCCCTTCCTCTGTCCCCAAAGCAGCTCGTTAGCAGCTCCTCACACCACTGGCTCTTCCAGGGTCCTCCGCCCTCACGCACCTGCTGGTGCTCCCTCCCTCCCGCACGCACTCAACAGCCTTCACGGTCTGGTAACCGTGTTCTGGGCACTGTGCACCACGTCACTTCTAAATTTTAAGCTCCTTTTGTGGGGTATAGTTTGAAGGTTTCCTGCTCCCGCCCCAGAGAGCACGCCTGGGCTTCCAGAACTTGGGCGCCTTGAGCCCTTCTAACGCCCAGTGTGTTCAGCCCTGAGGATTTCATGGGAGGCTGTGCTCTCCGTCGGCACACGCTGAGCCGTGGAAGCGGCCCGGTAACGGCGGGCACCCCAGCCCAGCAGCGCCGCTGGGACGCTGGCTGGGAGGTGGCCCGGTACAGCCTGAGCGGCGGCAGGGACAGGGGACAGCCTCTGTTACCGTGGTTCCTCGGCTCACCAGATCCCATGTTCTGAAGGAGACGGACTGCTCTCCCGATCGGCCTGCCAACTGTCAACAGACCTAGGAAGAAAGCATCCCTCAGACTGGTCAGGGGCACCGCCGGCAGGCTTCTGGGGAGGCCCACAGGGCTGCGGACGGGCCCGGGACACCCGCACCCACTCACTTTCCCACAGGATGCTGGCCCGCAGCGCGTTGTCCTGCAGGATTGTCGGCCACTGGTTTGTCAGGATGCTCCTGACCCCCACCAGACTCAGAAGGATGGCAGTCTTGATGGGCTCCTCCAAGGTCAGCTGGGGCACGCTGCAGGGGATCGAGCTCCAGTGGGATGGCCCGAGCCGACCCCAGTCCACAGCCCAAATAGCACCAAGTATTGGGCTGACAGCTCTTCAAGTGCTTGAACCAATGAAGAACACCCTCCCCCCGACTCCGCCCCCCTGCCCCCCCCCCCCCATGTGAAATGCCATTTAACAAGACAAGGCATTCCGGAGTGCCACCAAATCCCTCCGGACCACTCCCAGCCTTGCGGGGAAGTCAGGAGGCAGAGCATCCATCTTGAGATGGCAGCCCACACAGGCCCTGGGGTGCATGTGATGTGGGGAGCTCTGAAGCCAGGGCACCCTCCCAGCTGCTGGCCCCCTGGCCCCTGGCCCAGTCCCTGCAGGCCTTAGTCTTCCACTGGAGCTCCCCTCCCTCTTCTGCTGCACCCCCCCCCCACCAGCCTCTTCCAGGGTGGGGTCTGGGGGCAGATGGCTCTGCCCATGGGACGCAGGGGCACTCTGTCCCCTCACACTCCCCAGGGAGCGCATCCATCAGTCCTAGGCCCCCCAGGCACCCCCATTCAGTGTGTGGAGGCCAGGCTGCTGGCCCAAGCTGGTGCAGGCACCTCTTGTTCTCTGAGTTCTCCATACGCCGCCACATGCTCTTGTAGGACCGCGTCAGGCCCAGCAGGACCATCATCTGGCACTCTGCAGGACACAAGAGGGGCAGCTCAGCAGCCGCACGCCCAGGAGTGGGAGGCCAGTGCAGGCTGGTGGTGTCACCCAGGGCGTGGGGCAATCAGGGAAATAAATGCAGCCCAATAAGGCCGAGGCTCGGGCTTGACGTCCATAGACCCTTTCCCAAGACCCGCCGGCTGCACCAGCGCACGGGGACACTATCTACTTCCGGAACCCCACACCCTTCCCAGTCTTCTCGTGCAATCGGCTCAGCTCCCAGCATGCCATGCCAACAAGGCAGCCCAGCCTGCCGGGGGCGGTCTCAGGCACATGGCCCCGTGTGTCCGCTGGAACGGCAACACTTGGCCACGGGCATGCCGAGAGCCCCATGTGCACAGGCTTGGCTGTGTACTTCCTGGAGTGGTCTGGCTGAGGGCAGGCTCGGGGGGCCATCCCCAGGGGCAGGCAGAACCTCCAACGGTCGGGAATAGCATAGGGCCCCAGTGGTGTTGGCCCCACACGAGCCTGGTGAGCTTAAGAATGCCTCTGACCTCATGCATCTGAGAAGGCCTGTTTCTACCTCCTCTAGGGGTAAGGAATGCGCCGGTGACAGGCTTCTGGGGTGGGCTGGACTGTTGCGTGGCCCATCTCCAGGGGCTGGGAAGGAGACTGGTAGCAGGTGATGGTGTGGGGGTGTTCAGGTGCCCTGACCACAGGACACATGTCCACGTTCTTGTTATGCTGTCGTCACTGGGCCATGTGCCTCTTGAGGGTCCCCGAAAAGGCTCTCCTAGCAACTATGCAGTGTGCCAGTCAGCCTCTGCCTCAGGAGAAGGTCACTCAAGGGCAAGCCAGACCACCCGCTCAGAAGTCCTCAGGGGACGGCCAGACAGAATACAAGGCCTAGAGTGCCCACATTTATGCTAGGAGTTGGGGGTGGGGTGGGGGTTGTGGTCAGTGTGTTCTGGAAATGCCCACCCTAGCCCTCCTGGACTCTGCAGGCCCAGCCCTGGGGGTGACCCTTCCAGCTCCTGCCTCCGGCTGCACCTGTCAGGTCTAGAACTCTGAACTGGGTCTCTGAGAAGTGGAGGAGGGGTACGAGGGCAGGAGGAGGCTTCCCCCAGAGCCCCGCTGTGCTTCCAGAGTCCCTTTCTCAGACAGACGATGACTGATGGCGACGCAAGGGGCCTTGCTCTGTCCCTGTGTGGATCCATCTCATGCACTGGGGTCCTGGCAGAGCATCGAGCATCTGGGGCCCTGAGGGACTGCCTCACCTCGTAGGTTCATGGCAGCCAACCTTTCCACCAGTATGTGGGACAGGAAGCTCTCCATCCCGTAGAAGAAGAAGCCGCTGCAGCTGCCCAGGAGCTGCTCCCACTCGGCCTGGCTGCAAAGGGAAGGAGGGTGGCCTGGTGGTGGGAGCCAGAGGCCGGCAGCTGGCGTCCCAGGGTGTCCCCGGGGTGCTTTGAAAGCAAAGCCTGTCCTGTGCTCCTCACTCCCCGTCCCACCCCTCTGCTAGGACAGGGCTAATGTACACTCTCCTGATGCCAGAGTCAGCCTCCATCCTGCGTCCTATCCACATGGTTCTCCGGGGAAAGGACCTCGGGTCCCTGGAATGAACTCCCATCTCACTGAGCAGTGGCTCTGGAAAGTGCTAGAAGGACACTTCCCTGATGGCCAACCACTCCCAGGTCTCTGAGAGAACCCACAGGGGAGTGTCCCTGCCCCCAGCAGTCCACACCACTCCAGCAGGCCCCGCCCACTGCCCACAGGCCCCACCCACGTGCAACCCTGGCCTTCTCCGGCGGGCCCCTCTACAATGCTGCCCCTCCTCCTCTCACAGGCCCCGCCCACTCACAGCCCCGCCTTCTCTCTCGCAGCCCCGCCCCACGGGCCCCGTCCTTCACTCGAAGCCCCGCCCCACGCCCCCCTCCCTCGAAGCCCCGCCCACGGGCCCCGCCCTTCTCTCGCGCAGCCCTGCTCTCCCGCAGCCCCGCCCCTCTCCAGCAGGTTCTCCTCCTACAATCCCCCCCAAGTCCCAGAGCCAGGGGCACGCCCTGCACTGGACAAAAACACACGCCCGCGTGCCAGGTCCTCGTCTGTAAAGTGGGGATGAGGACAATGACGCCACCATGCAGGCACCATGAGGACCAAGGAGCCCACTGTGTGATGAAGAAAGGCCAGACACCAGGAGCCTCTGGGGGTGGGGGTGGCAGGGGGTTTGACAGGACAAAATGCGGGGTCAGGGTTGGGGGGGGCCTGGGGGAAAGAGGGAGGAGAGAGGGACAAGGGGGAGACGGAGGACAGCGGTCCCTCCCACCGTGTGTGGGGCACCCCCAGCTGGCTCACATCAACCTGCTGGCTGCAGGACAGTGTCCCCAGAACCCCGACACCAACCTGGGGAAGTGCTTATTTCCCAGATGTCCCACCCAGAGAGCAGTGAACGTGTCTCGGAATCTTTCCAAAATTTCCCGGGTGACGAAGACAGGAGTCAGCCTTTCTGCAACAGGAAATGAATGGAGCTTGTCTCAGACGTGGGACACTGAGGGAGATGGGCAGCAGGCAGGCCCCTGGCGCGGCCCCTCGTGTAGAGACACAGGACGTGGTGGAGTCAACGTTTACTGCGTGTGGAAATGTCAGTGCTCCTTCCCGCCCTCCTTTGTAAAGAGATTTTACTCTTGATCTTAGCCAAAGGCCGAGAAGTGATGTAAAACCAATTTAGCAAAAGAAGAGCCCGCAAGAATTAGACACTTAGAGCTGCCCTGGGCAGCAGGAAGTCCCGTTTGGGGCTCTGAGAAGGGGGGCAGCGGGCCTCGCTTCAGGGGTTCACTTTTCCTACAGCTATGGTCCCGACTTGGCTGTGATGGCCACGGCCGCAGGACCCCACTCCCCCTGTGGTCAGTGTAACGGGAGGCAGCCGAGGGTGGAGCCCAGAGGGTGGTGAATGTCGAGTGTGTGCACGTGTGCGCGCATCAGGGGCCCATGGGAGGCACTCACCTATGCCCTGGGCCTCCCCGTAGGGGTCCACGATGACTAGCTCTGGGTTAAGGAGAAACAGCGCTTGCGCCTGGGTGTCCCAGACGGCGGGGCCGGTAAAGGATACACTTGAAGTTGTCGGCGTCGACTACGATGCAGTCCGGGGGGATGAGCCGGGGCGGAGTGTCCTGCACCAGAGACCAGGGTTGTTGGGGGGTCCTGCGTCCTGCAGGGGGGGACCCAGCCTCCCCAGGCCCATCTGCCCACCTTCTGTCCCTTCTTCGCTGGACTCCTCTTCTTGCCTCTGCCCTCCTTCTTCACGGTCCCCTCGGCTGCGGACAACAAAAGAAGGTGGTGTTTGGGGCTAGAATAGTTGGTGGCACACAGCATTATGAACACAATAAATGTCCCTGAACTGTTCACTTTAAAAAGGTTATTTTTTTCACCTTAATTAAAAAAAAAAAAGTAGTGGAAACAACTGACTTTAATTTTTGTAAAGGTGAAAGAGCTGTAGTTTCTGAAATGTAAAGACTTGCAGGGCTGGGGAAAACCCGAGGCGGGAGTCCTCAAGGAAGGAACCATCACCAGAGGCCCTGCTGCCTACCCGGCTGACCATTCACACACCATGTCGGGCACCCACCAGTGTGCCCGCGGTGTGGCCCAGTCACAGGGCCGGGCCCGGCTGGTTCCTCTGCCTCCTGCACAAGGATTTACACTTCTCTGTTCTAGTGGCTTGCAGATTCTTTTGGAGGGTCCAAAAATAATGACAGTTCACTTCCTCCCTTCTGCCCTCATGCCTCTCACTTCTGCACGTCTACCCGCATTGCAGCTCCCGCAGAGAAGGGACGGAGGTGCGGCCGAGGCTCCTGCTGTGTCCTGACAGCGCGCTGCCCGGGGTGTGCCGTCAGGAAGGAGGCTTGCTCTAGGTCTGGATGGAGCCTCCACCAGGGTGAGGTATGTCCACTCTGTCCTGGTTTGCTAAGAATTTCTAGTATGAACGCACACATCTTTTCCTGCAGCAACTGAGATGCTTGTAACTTCGTTTTCCTTTAATCCAATATAATGACACTTGCAAATTTTTGAGGTCAGACTGGGTGATGCAAGTTCTATTTTTCTTTCTCGTGCTGGTCTTGGCAGTTTGGGTGTCAGGGGCCGACAGAAGGCTAGGATGGGTTGGTCCCTTTTCCCTACTCCAGGGAGATCTGTTAAGACTGATGTGAACTGTTTCCGGAAAGTCTGGTAGATCTCAAAGGAGTAAAGCTGTTCTTCTCCTTTCCTTGCTGGTTCTGAGAGTGTTTGGGGTTTTCCTTCTTGAGTCTGTGAGCTGTTTTTCCCCAGGACTTGGTCTGCTTTGCCTAAGGGTTTGGATATACTGTTGTTAGGTCTCTTAGGATCTTTTAAATCTCTGATGCATCTTTAGAGTCTGAGTCTCTTTTCATTCCCAACTTTGTGTATTTGTGCACCATCCGCCTTTTTCTTGATCATTCTTACCAGAATGTGTCTATTTTATGAGTTAAAAAAAAAAATTTATTTCCAGGGCACCTGGGTGGCTCAGTCGGTTAAGCGTCTGCCTTCGGCTCAGGTCATGATCCCAGGGTCCTGGGATTGAGCCCCACGTCGGGCTCCCTGCTCGGCCGGGAAGCCTGTTTCTCCCTCTGCCGCTCCCCCTGCTTGTGAGCACTTGCTCTCTCTCTGTCAAATAAACAACATCTTTAAAAAAATTTGTTTTGCTTTCTATTTTGTTGATGTCTGCTCACGTGTTTATTGTACCCTTTCCTCTGCTTTGAGTTTTTTTTTCTTTTGCTGTTCTTGCTCTAACTTCATAAATTTGATGCTTAGCTTGCACACTTCCAACCTTTTCCTTTTCTGATATGAACATCCAAAGCTGTGAGACCCTTCCAGACCCTGCGGCCATAGCACTCCACCAGCCTTGGACTTCCTGCCATCCTTTCTCCTGAGGCCCGGGAGATACGCAGAAGTGTGTTTTTAAATTTGAGATGAATGGGATTTAAGAAATCCTCCTTTGGGTAGTGGCTTCTGAGCTGATCACGCCGTGGTGTCGGCCAAGGTGGTCGTCACTCCAGGTGTTGTTCCTGGGGAGAACGTCCCCAGTTGTTGTACGGCTCCGGGTCTGTCCACGGCGCGGCTCAGACTCTGCTTTTCCTCTGTTTGTCCGACCTGCCGGACGTGGGGCGTGCGTGATCTACCACCGCGGGACGGGTGCCCCCGTCTTGCCCTAGTTTTTGACTGCTCGTTGCTTCACATAGTTTGAGGTGATTTTATCCTGCTGACAAACCGACTGTTACCACCATGGAATGACCCCAGCCCTGACGGTGCCTACGGCCGTCAGGTCTGTTCCGCGAGACAATGGGTCACTCCATCTGTCTGTCCGTTCTCTGGCCTGCTGTCAAACCCATGTCCCCGGCTTCGGCGCGCCTCGTCATCCACGCTGCCACGGAGTTGACCGGTGTGGCCCACTTATTTATTTATGTTTTAGTTTGTGACCCACATGGACTAGTCTCCACCACTTTGCCTTTTGATTTTTATTTGCTCCGTTCACTGGCTGCTAACAGCTTGGGTGAGGTGTTCGGATCCTTTGCTGTTCTTGTTCGTGTCCCACCGATTCTCTGCTTTTGGTGGTTCTCCTTAAAGAGTTACCAGGAACATTTCACCCGCAAACGTGCATGCAGCTGGAGCAGCTCACAGCCCCGACAACACCCCTCTGGGTGTGCGGGACCCTGGGGGTCAGCACTCAGTCACGCGTAGAGAGACTGACCTCACACCTCGCAGGTTTTTTGTTAGAGTTTGGGTGCGTTTTCTCTTGCTGCTGTAACAAACCACCACACACATTTAGCATCTCACAGACCTGGAGGTCGGGGTCGAACGCGTCCCACTGGGCTAAAACCAAGGTGTGTGCAGGGCTATTTCCTCCTGGGGAGAATCGGTTCCGGCCTTCTCCAGCCTCCGGTGGCCTCAGCTCCAGGGCCTCCCCATCTTCAGAGGCGGCAGCATGGCCTCTTCCCATGTCTCTGTGACCCTCCTGCGTCCGTCTTAGGAGGAGCTCGGTGCTGCCATCGGGCCTCCCGGCTCATCCAGGACACTCTCCCGTGTCGGGACGGTCACCAGGTCACACTCCCAGATCCTGGGGAGCAGGGTGTGCATGCGTCCGGGCCGCCACTCGTCCTGCCACCCAGGGTGGCTCTTCTCTGCCGCCCCCGCCACGGCAACATGGGCCACGCGGAGCCGAGGAGAAAGGACCCTCCCGTAAATGGTGCCCCCGAGGGGAAGAAACGGAAGCGCACTGTACGCTGCGGGTCAGGAGGGTGAATACCACGTAAAAGGCAGGAAAGAAAAACAGATGTATTTACGGGATATCATGGGAGAATAGCTTCATGATTGTGACGTAAGAAAACAAGTTTTAAAAAAAGACCCCAAAGCACAAGCGATTACGCAGAAGATTGATAGATTGGACTATATTAAAATATTGTGTTCAAACGGCACCATTTAGGTGAGAGAATGGACAAGCTCCAGAGCGGGAGGAGGCATCTGTCGTAAATAATAAGAAAATCCATATGCAAACCTACGGAAACCCCACAAAACGAAAAGAACAAAAACCAGATAACCTGGCAAAACTTGGCCCTAGACGTGGACACAAGTGAGTCCATGGCATGGCCGGCGGGGGGGCGGCGTATTCTCTCTCCTGTTATTTGAGGGGGTCTTGGACATGGCGAGCTCATCCACAAAGGACCCTCCCTCCTCACTGTCTGCACAGGAGAGGCAAATACCCCTGCTGTCGGTCTCCACCGGCCCCATCCGCTCTTCGTCCCACTTTCCCTCTTTTTCTGCCTTTTGTGCATTCTCGTGTATTTTGTGCTCCCCTTCATCTTCTCCGTCGGTGTGCAGGCTGCAGCCCTCGGACTTTCTGCGGTGACATAAGGATGCGTGGTCTCCACCGGGAAGTCGGGGTCACTCCGGGCCTCGCTTCTGGGTGTTCCGTGGTGGCTGCCGAAACACTGCTGGGGTTCTCGTCACTCTGAACACCCGCCCTGGAGTCTCCTCTCCGCTTCCTGTGTCTGGGACTTATGGAAACTTCTGGACACATGGGATTATGGTTTTCATCAGATCTGGGGTGGGGGGACACTGGCCATTATTAATTCCTGTATTCCTTCTCTGGACTCATGGCCCGTCTTCCATGGGGTCGGCCCCATTCTCGGGGACCAGGTTCCGCACGGCCTGCCCTCCAGTGTCCGAGACCCACCACTCCATCTATTTCGGGTTTTCACTTGTTTCTGTTAGAAGGGCAATTTGGTCCTTCTTACCTTCTCCTGGATGGAAGCCAAAGTCCAAACTATTTGTTTTTAGTTGAACACATTTATTGAAGTGCAGCAAAGAGCACAGAGCACAAGCCTCCAGCCTGGACAGGTTCACATGCTGGGCACATGGGGGCGCGAGCAGCCCCCAGCACAGGACAGGGTCAGCCCGAGTCCCCAGCTGCCCCCAGGCCTGAGTGCCATCCGTCCTCCCGGTCCCCTCCCTCCCTGCCCCTCACCACCTAGGAAATGAGTAGCCATGTCGTTGGTCACCACCCATCCCCGGTTTGTGGGCCAAGAACAATGTTTAGTTTCTCCTTTGGTGGACCTTTAGCACCTCTCAGACACTGGGCGCAGAGTAGGTGCTCTGTGACTATGAACGGATGAGGGCCTGGAAGAAAGCGTGAACATCTGATAAGAAGCATCTGACAGGAGTCCGCGGGAGGTACTTTAGACGGGCCTGGTTGGAGGATCAGCATAGTGTGGCCAAGGGCGCTCTTACCTGTCTCCTCTTTGTGGAGGCGATGGCATAACATCTGCAGGGAGAACTCCCGGGACACGGAGGAGACCACGGCCTCCTCAAACACAGAGAGGCCTTCCAGCGGCAGCTCCAGAAGATCCTTGTCCACAATGAGGATGGTGTTGTCTGCAGCTTCGAGCTGAACTGCGGACAGGGGACACCAGCTACGAAGGCAGAGGGAGACGCGCTCCCGCGGGCGGGCAAACCCCTGGGGCGGGCCTGCTGGTCCGGGTCTGTACGTCCTTGTGGACGTCGTTCGACCGCACACAGACGAAGAAGTCTGAGCTGGGCTCAGCGCGTGAGGAGTGGGGCCCGGGGCGCGCCCGGGCTCTCTGGGGGATGGACACTGGTTCTGGTGGCACGGCTAAGTCACAGCTCAGACCCGGGTGGGGCCCAGGTCACAGGGTCGTCGGGTCCTCCCTGGTTTGAGGACCTGCCCCCACATGGGCAGCCAATTCCTGGGGCAGGTCCAGGAATGCCATGAGTCCTTCTAATCACGGAACCCCCTTTCGAAGGATGAAGATGTGCGCTAAAGGATTTGCACCCCTGCGATGTGGCAGCTTCTCCAAGTGACCACGGAGCCCTCGGAGAAGCTGCCGGACCTGCCTGGCTCGTGAGAAAACCTGCTCTTTGTGACAGGTGTGAAGGGGACCAAGGGCGAGGCCACGAGACACCTGAACTGAATTAACTATATGTACAAAGTAAAAACAAATCACTTAAAAGTGAGCAAAGGCCTTAATCTGGGGAATTTTTAGGGCAGAATCTCAGTTCACAGAAGTGACCTCAGGTGGGTAAGCTCTGGCCCCTCACCCTAAGGGCGGCCCCGGGCGGCCGCGGGCACTGGCATGTGAGCCGGAGTGACCACGTCTAGGGCGAGGTGTTGGCCCGAGGGCACCGCCAGGCACTTTTGGAAATCAAAGCACCCTTGGATAGAGCAGCCCCTCCTTTCCCTTCTATTGAGTAATTCTGTGGGGGCGACAGAAAAGGCGCGCAATGAAAATGCCTTCGAGAAAAACGATTTACAAAGCCGCAGGCGCCGGGTAGGAGGCAGAAGCCCCCGGACGTGCCACGCCCCTGGCCACTTGTGGGGTGTGCGTGATGGAGCCAGCACGTCTCCCACACGTGTAAGCACAGCGAGTGAGAACCAGACAGTCCGTCCTGGTGGCACAGAGGTGATCGGGAAGCCACCGCTCAGGCGCCGGGGCCCTCTCCCCCGCGGCGACTGCACCCGGCACATTCACCCTTCCTCCAGGAGATCGGCAGGTCACTGACACAGAAGCTCGTCTGTCCCTCGTGTCGTCTGGGGCACACGCAGCCTGCCAGCTTTCCCAGGAAGGGCGGGCGTGCGGGGGTCTGTGGTGCGGCCAGCAGCAGCACCAAGCCCCCACCCAGGGCGCTGGCTCGGGGCTGCGCACACAACCTCCTGGGGACCTTCCCACCTCCCTGGGAGGCCTCTGGGGGGCCTGTTCCCGCCCCGCCTGCGCTCTCGGGTGAATCCCAGCCCAAGTTCTCCCGCAGAAGCTCCCGTCAGGCCCCCACTCACCATGGGGCGGGGACACTTTCCTTTCCTTGTCTTTGCCCTTTGATTTCCCGGAATCCGCAGCAGGCGTGGGAATCTGTGTTCTAGAAGTCAAAGGCATGTCCAGGTTCTTAAAAACACGTGAACATCACATGTACTAAGAATGGGAGGAACATCAGGGCAGTGAGCCCCACGAGGCACGTTCCATAACTCACTCCTGGGTACCCGTCTCCCTGTACTGGGGGCCAGGGATCAGAGCACTCACAGGAGCAGACGGGACTCAGGATTGTCTCTGACCTACGGGCAGACCTCAAACGTACCGCTTGCTCAACTGCCCAAGCCCTCTGCCTTCTTCTCTACCGAGCATAAATCACAGGGGCTCAGGACTGGGCCGCGCTCCCCACTCCCACCCTGCACCAGCAACAGAAGGGACCTGAGTGGCTGGGACATGCCCCCAGAGAAGATTTTCAGCAGCCCTAGGGCTTATTCCCTACAGCAGATGGTCCTGAGTCGGGCATTGCGGATGTGAATTCAGCATGGCCTGATTCAGCACAGAGCAAAGCTCATCAACTTCACAGCATCAGCGACTCGGACTTCCACGTGGGAACAGCATTCCCCCACCCCACAGCCGGCTCATTCTGGGATTCGGGGAGGCAGCAGAGCTGGCCTGCAGGCTGAGCCCCCCACCCTGTCCGCCCTGGCTCCCGGGTATCCTATTCCTGGCTGCTCCCAGCATTTTGGGGCACTGCTGGGGACGGAGACATGGTGACCCTCCTGTCTGTCCCGAGGAGAGTGCCAACTTTGCACCCGAAACCCACCCCCGCCGGGATGTAGCCAGCCCCTCCCTCGCCCTCTGTGGCCTCTGCCCTCAGGGCTGGCAGCTGTCAGCCCACGGCAGGTACCTGGCCGCAGGGCTGCTGAGCACTGGGAACAGTGGCCTCAGGTACTCCTCCATGGATGCCAGGACATCACTGAATCTCTGCAGAGAGTGTCCTTCCTTTTTAAGGTGCACACTTTCCAATTCCTGTCTCAACCCAAACATCAGCCCGTGATTAGAAGTGTCTAAGGGTGGGGACCTCATAAAATCCCAACCCTATTAAAGCAAAGAGTGGGAAGGACCCTTCAGGGCCCTTGAACATGCCCTTCCCAAAAAAAGCCTGGCGGCCAGGGGCCCATTCGGCTGCAGAACAGGGCTCCCTGCACCCGCCTACCCCAGGACCAGGGCCCACCAGATCCCCCTGCAGGCAGTGCTCCTTGCCGCGTCCACCCGCCCCGTCCTCCAAGAGGTCACCCTGGCATCCCGGCCCCACAGGGTCTCTGCTGACATCAAGAGGCAGCCGCACCAGACTCGCTCAGGGATTCAGAGAACTGGCTGCCCTGTGGGGACCCCGACCTGAGTGTCCAGCAGTGCCTGGGGTCTGGATGGCCAGTGCCATCCACCTGGCCCTGCCTGCCCCACCTTGCTGCAGCCGGGCCAGGGTCTTGGTCCCCTGCATGGCGGCGGCAGCAGCCCTGGGAGCTGGGCTCATGGGTCTTACCGTGCCTGAGCTCAGGGCCAGGTCCTCATTGTGCACCGCAGCCTGGGTCAGCTCCCGGAACTGCTGGGCACTGGCCAACAGGCAGGAGAAGGTGTCCGGGCTCACGGCCATCCGTGCTACCTTGCAGGAGCCTGTGGAGACCGACACCCCTGCTGTCCCCACCCCACGGCCTCACAGACCACCCTCTGGGCCGAGGACAGAGTGGGGGGTGTGCATGAACGCCGGGAGTGGGTAATAGTGAGCAAACTGTGGGCACAGGGTTTCTCCACGTGAGAAGAAGTTCCTGGCTATGGACACAGCTCGCTCGTAGGCACTCACAGTAGCTGTCAAAAGTGGGGACACAGATGGATGTCTCCGTTCCACAGCCCTCCTTCATTTTAAATGAAATGCTAAGTGGAGTTATATGCCAGAGACGTTAAGGAAGAAAGTGGGAATGTAGTGTTTTTTTGGGAGAAGAAATTCTGGAGGGGGGAGGGGGTGGCTGGTCCATCTCGGGGCCGCTGGTGGTCCGGGAAACACCCCTGTCTCCTTCCCTGTCTCTCACGGGCTCAACAAACCCCACTGGGCAAGCACATGGAGGGCTGGGTCGCCAAGCCCCCCAGGTATGCGTCATGGCCCCCGCCTGTGGCAGCCCTGCACAGTGAGTGCCCTACAACGTGGGGGAGGCCCGATGAACACCTTCCGCGGCAGAACTCACCTCCCACCTGGAGCACCTTCCCTTTGGCCGCGGGGATGGACTTGGGTCTCTCATAGGCTGTGCAGTACAGACAGGCCCTGTTGGCGGGACACAGGGCAGGGTCGAAGCCCAGCTCGTGGGGTCCCGAGTCGGTGAACCACATACACCCCAGCAGGAGCCCCCTCCCCATGAATGCCGTGGCCAAGTCAAGACACAGAATTGAAACAGGCCCATCTGGGCACAGGCGAGGGTTCTGCTCCATGGCGAGGGAGGCCTTCAGCAGACGCACAGGTCCCATGCTGCGGACAGCAGGCGGATCGGGGTCCCCAGGGGCCCCAGCCTGCCTCTCCCAGGGGGTTGCTGCCCCACCCCATCTCAGCTGGGAGCCTCTGCCAGTCCGTGTTGGTCCAGCCACGGCCTTCGGTCCATAACATGCCCTCCATCGTCGCAGCCCGGGTGCTGTGTTCCCGCCGCCCGGAGACTTCTTAACAGGGTCGGGCCGGCCCCAGAACGGGAGTAGGAAGGCTTTACCTGTCCGGCGAGTGCTGCAGGATGAGGATCCGAAAGGTAGGCGGGATTTCATTCAGGAGGTTAAAATGCTGCTCAGTGACCCTTAGATTCTGCCACGCCTGTGTGTGATAAACAGGATCAACCGACCGTGCACAATGCAGGCCCAGTCGCTGAGATGTCTGCTAGGCTTTGTGTGGGGCCTCAGGCCAGGTGCCCCGCGGCCGGGCTGGGGCGCGACCCCTGCAGGACTCGCGGCCGCCACAAGGGGCAGAGGGCGCACGCGGACTCCACCGGGATCCCCCGAGCTTCCACCCCGGGCCTCCGTCACAAACCTGACCCGCCGGACACGAGCAAGCCCAAGAACCCAAACAAGTGACCAACGGAAGATCCTCCAGCAACCTGGTGTCTTCCCTCCGTCCTCCTCCCGGTCCCCTGAACGCCACGCGTGTGGGCAGGCGCGCGCGCCCCTGCCCTCCCGTGCGCCCCCCGCGCCCCTGCCCCGCCGCGCGCCCCGCCAGCCCGGCCCCGCTCCTCCCACCCGCGCCCCGGCTCCGCGCCCTCCTGGATGAGCACGACAGCCCACGAGCGCACGTCCCCACTTGCCGACGAAGCCAGCTTCGCGTTTGCAAGCGCAGACTGGGGTCCGCACTGGCGTCCACGCGTGCGGGCGGAGCAGAGAGAAGGCAGAAAATGCTCAGCGGGCCGCACCCACCTGCCCGGATGGGAAGCCGAGCCCAGCCTGTGTCCCCTCCGGGCAGTGCCCGCCCGCTTTGGCCGAAGCTGCAGGACGGGCCTCCAGGCACGTGTTCCCGGGGGCCGGGGAGCGTCTCTGCTCAGCGCAGGCCGCCCGCCGTGCTTCCAGAAAGGCTCTTCCATCGATGCGCCCCGCTGCTCCATTGCAGATGTTCAGGTGGGGGTCTAGCAGTGACTGAATGCAGTTTTAATTTTTGCAATTCCCTGAAAACGAATGAAGGTGGGTGCCATTAAAAACGTCTGTGGACCATTTGGGTATCTTTTGTGGCATTCCAGTCTTGTAGTTTTTCTTCTCTGTCTGTCCTTTTCTCATTGAAGGGAGCACAGAATGCGTGCTCTGAGGGTCTCCTCTGGGGCTTGCTTTTTAGGTTTTTATTTTAACTCCAGTAGAGTTAACACAGTGTAATATTAGTTTCAGGTGTACATCATAGTGATTCCACACTCGCGTACATCACCTAGTGCTCAGCACAAGTGCATACCTTCATCCCCTCTCCCGCCTCCTCCCACCTCCCCTCTGGTGACCATCAGCGTGTTCTCTAGAGTGAACAGCCTGTTTCCTGGCTTGTCTTTTTCCCTTTGCTCATTTTGTTTCTTAAATTTCACATAAGTGCAATCATATGGTATTAGCCCTTCTCTGACTTACTTCACTTAGCATAATACTTTTTAGCTGTATCCACATCATTGCAAATGGCAAGATCCCATCCTTTCTGATGGCTGAATAATATTCCATTGTATACACAGACCACATTTTCTTTATCCATTCATCAGTCCATGGGCACTTGGGCAGCTTCCATAGCTTGTCTATTGTAAATAATGCTGCTAATAAACACTGGGGTTCATGTATCCTTTTGAATTGGTGTTTTTGTATTTCTTGGGTAAATACCCAGTATTGCAATTGCTGGGTCATAGGGTAGCTCTATTTTCAACTTTTCGAGGAACCTCCATACTGTTTTCCAGAGTGGCTGCACCAGCTTGCATTCCCACCAACAGTGTAAGAGGGTTCCCCTTTCTCCACATCCTCGCCAATTGGGCCTGGAATTTTCTTTGTGGGGATGTTTTTAATAAAAGATTTGACTTCTTTAACAGATAATAAATCATTCAGATTTTCTATTCTGTCAGCTTTGATAGGTTGTATTTTTTGAGAAATTTCTCTATTCCATCCAGATTGCCAAACTTTACCAGAGCACAGTCGTACAGAATATTCCCTTATTGGCTTTTTGAAGTCTGAAGGATCTCCATGATGTCTTTTTATTGCTGATAGTGGAATTTGGGGCTTGCTTTCTTTCTTTTTTTTCCTTTTCAAGTCTTCCTAAATGTTCATCAATTTTATTAGTTTTCTCTTTGGAACCCTTCTACCACTGTTGGTTTCCTCTACCATATATTTGTTTTAATTCCATTGTTTCTGTCGTGTTTCTTATTTGTTACCTTCTATTTTTCTTAGAGGTGTTTTTATTCTAGCTTCTAGAAGTCAAAACCTAAACTACTGTTTTTAAGATCTTCTCCCTGTATTCAAGGCTGTATTTTTCCTTAAGCCCTGCTTTAGACAAGTCTCATAGGTTTTGATATATGACATTTTCATTCTCCAAGTCAGTTTAAAATATTTTCTAAATTTCATTGTGAATTCTCCTTTGACTAATTGATGATGGTAAGTATATTGTTTAATTTCAGATTAATTGTATCTTTCAGTTATTGGTTGCTAATTTAATTGCACTACGGCTGGACAACAAAGGGAATGATTTCCCTTGGTTGGAGAGTCTTGAGGTTTGCTATGGCCCGGCACCAGTCCATCCTGGCGCACGCTCCCTGCACACTTGGAAAGAAGAGAACCCAGTCATGGTCGGTGCTGCGCTCTGTGAGCGTCTCTGTGAATGTCCGCGCAGACCTGCACACGAACAGCTTTCCTACACACCCCTGTGTGCTTACTTCCAGGGGAAGCCGAGCCGGCAGTGGGTCTCCCACCGGATGCGGGCCTGTCCAGTGCTGCTGTTATTCCTGTCACTTCTGTTTCGTGCATTGGAAGCTACATCATTGTACGTACAGACCGAGGGTGCTGATTCCCTGTCACCTGATCCCCGGGTCACCTGGCTTTCATCCGATGAGTATCTTCATGACTTAGATACTGTTTCTCACCTTTTCCATCCAACATCTCTGTGTCCTTATATGTGAAGCAGGTCTCATTTAAGCGGCATGTGATTGGATTTTGTTGTTCTTGTCAACCAATCTGACAATTTTAAGTCTTTGACTGTAGGGTTTGGTCGACTTACATTTATTGTAATTATATATATATTTGGGTTTTGAAATACAATTGCCCTGCCTTTTTTCTACTGGGAACATATGTTTTTATATTCTCTCTCCTCACTCTTTTTGCCTGTCTTTGGGATAATAAAATACTATTATTTGAATTTTTTCTTTTTATTAACTTAGTTACACATTAATTTAGTGGTTACCCTAGGGACCATGACATTCACCTTTGGCTTATTATAATCTAATAAAAATGTAATTTCACCCTTCCCTAGTAGTGACAGAAGCTCTGCATTGTAAACTCTGTTTAATCTTTCCTGCTTTTTGCATCATTGTCTTTCATTTTACTTCCACAAAATAAGCTCAGCTCCACAAGATGTTAAAATTACTGTTTTACACACTTAGGATTTATTTCCTTGTACGTAAATATTTGCCTCTGTGGGATTCTTGGTTCTCTTGTGCATTCTGGTGTTTCTGTCTGGCCGGCCCTCCTAGCTTCTTGTGCTGCAGGCCACCTGGCGGCCCACTCCCTCGGTTTCTGTGCGTCCATGCGTGTCTGTGCTCTGCGGTGGGCAGTGGTCTCCCGGCCGGCTCGCAGGCGCCCGTGGCTCCTTGCTGGCGGCCCTTGGGGTTTCTGACCTGGGCAGCAGCGGCTCGGTGCTTGTGGATGCACTGCGGCTTTCTTGTGTTCCTCCTGAGTGGGGATGCCGGCACTCCTGAGCCTGGGGGCTCGTGAGTTTGGGGAGACCGTAAGCCATTGTGTCACTATTGTCTCAGCTCATCCCTGCTTCCCTCTCCAGCGGGGCGATCTTCTGCTAGTCCGCCTTCCCTGTGCCGTGCTCGCGCTCCCTGAGAAGACCTCACATGGCGTCTTGCTGGAGCCGGTGTCCTTGAGGCCCCTTCCTCCCAGGAGGGTCCTTATTTCCCAGGTGCCATGAGAACCACAAGGAGTTTCAGGCAAACTCCCTGCAGCCCAGGATGCAGCTGCAGTCCCCAGGTGGGTCGTCCCAGCCTGCTGCGAGTCCCAGCAGGTCAGCACTGACACGGGGCGGGGGGCAGTCGGGGACAGCTCGCTGCGGACAGCTTCCCCTCTCAGGAGCTGTAGCTCAGCCTGCTCTCCTGTCCACAGCAGAGGCTTAAGGACAGCAGTTTCTGCTCATCACCAGGCTCCTGCTGTGGCTGCTGGGGTGGCCTGGCTGTGGTCCGTGCCCCACCCCCAAGTGCAGCCGACCCCCGAGTCTGTGACTGGTCTGTGCACCTGACCCAGTCAGTGCAGGTCTTCCGCAAGGATCCCTGAGACAGCAGGAGGAGGAGCCCTCACAGCACTCCAGATGGAGTTGGCCGCCACGGACCCGCCCCGCCCCGCCACGGCACCACGGACCCGCCCGCCACGGACCCGTCCTGCCACCGCCCCGCCACGGACCCTCCCCGCCACCCACCCACCCCGCCACCGACCCGTCCCGCCACAGACCCGCATCGCCATGGACCAAGCCCCTGCACCCCCCCACATCCAGCCCCATCCTCAGCACTGCACGTGCATCACCGTATTTGGTCCCTCAAGGTTCCTCTGAGGTGGGTTACGCCCACCCCAGCCTCAGTGGACACACATGGACGTGTCCTCCAAGGGTCGGCGCGTGGGCTGTGCTGCTTCTCCGGGTGGACTGGCCCGCTCCTCCCTGCACCAGTGACGGCCTGCACTGCTCTTCAGGAGAAGGCGAGACTTTCCAGCACCGGCGCTCAGTGGGGGATGATTCTGGGGACCTTTGTGGTTGTCACAGCTGGGGCAGGGGCTGCCAGCATCTGGTGAGCACCCACGGTGCACAGGACGCCCCACCACAAATGACGACCCAGCCCCAAGCATCAGAGGAGAAGAGAAGCTCTGGACGAAGGGCTGAGGTCGGACCCACACAGGTGCGCACAGAGCAGCAGGGGAGGAGGACGAGTGGGATCGGTCAGAGTGCTCCAGGCTGCCGTCCCGATTCATTGCATTTCATCAAGTTCCGTTTCCTTAAACACCCCAGTTCACACCTGCTCATCCAAGCCGATAGGACATGCTAGCGTCTGCAGTGTTTTACTGCGGGCTGAAAGAAGCACGCCCCCTCCAGAAGACCCTCGGGGGCCCTGTCCCCTCCCGACCTGCTGCAGGCCTGGGCATTACAGTCACCAGGAGGCCCTCGAGGAGGCAGAGGTCAGAGAGGGCGAGTGACGCCCCCAGAACCACACAGCTATCGACAGAGTGGCACCACTGGGCTGTGTGGCCCAGGCAGGCGCGGACGGCTCGCTCACCTTGGAAATGACAGCCAATGTCTGCTCCACGCTCGCAAAGAAGCTGGTGGACGTCCTCCCCTTCTGCTTCAGCTGGTGCTCGAGCTGCAGCAGGGCTGCGAGCTGCGAGCTGCTGGTGCTGGCCGTGGCCGTGAACAGGACATCCCGCATCATTTCTGAAGCCAGGCAGCTCTGAAACAGACACGGGACGGGGCCGAGGGCCTGAGCCCTGCCCTGGGCCAGGGGGCGCCCATGTGGGAGGGGGGCCAGGGGCTGCTCTTCTTGGGATGCTGTGCTTCTCCTGGCCACTGGCCATCACCAGGTGCCCCCAGCACCTGCTCACTTCTTTGCTCTCAGCCTCAAGAGCATGAGGCTTGGTGGACCAGCAGGACGTCAGTAATGGGGGCTGGGGCTCAGGGGAACCCCAGGAGGATGGGACAGCCTTCCCCACTTCTTCCGGTGACCGGAAGCTGCCTCTTCCAGCTGAGCACCACCCTCTCAAGGCAGAGACGCCGGCTGTAGCCTGGCTGGCCAGCCCACCAGCAGGAGGGAGTGCCGGGTGTCCAGGGAAGTGCCCCTTCCAAGGTGGCCACGAAGGGCCTTGAGGAAGGGGCACAGAGCAGAGCCATACCTGAGACAGTGCCAGGAACTGGCAGGTGGCCTCCGGGTCCAGGGTGCCCGTGCACTCCACCATGTCCAGGCTGGCGGCGGCGGCAACGTCCAGGAGGCAGCTCCCCAGGGCGACCTGCAGGCACTGCAGCAGCGCCTCGGAGGCCTGGGCCAGGTACCGCCGGGCCAGCACCATCCTCCTCTGCAGGGGCGCAAGGCTCGGGCTCAGGTGGGCTCTGTGGGCGGGGCCCCACGGGGCAGGAGGTGTGGCCGTACCTGCTGATCCGAGCCCTTCCTGCGGTGCTCCTTGGGGGTGGCCCTCGAGGCCCGCAGGTCCTCGTAGTGATCCTTGCCTGCCCTGTCCTCCGGGAGCGTCTCCAGTTGCCTAAGGCCGTTCAGCTCAGGGCTGGCCTACGGAGAAGACACCTGTCAGCCAGCATCCAAACCACTGCCAAGCCCGGCTGTGCCCGTCGCACTTGGGGCATCTCTGCGGGACCCCTCAGTGAGGCGTGCTGCAGGTAGCCATCAGGCCTCTCACCGACTGGACTGACCTGCGGGGCCCTGGCCAGGAGACCTGGTGGCTGGCAGGTGCAGCCTGGGCGGGGAAGCAGCTCTAGAGAAGCAGGCCCGAGTGTCCCCAGTCTCAGAACAATCGAATTCTGGCTTACTTTCCTTCAATACTTCCAAGTCACCTTCCTCAGGCATGGGCACCAGCCAGCACCGTGCCGCCAGGACCGAGCAAGGCAGGCGCCCACCTGCCCCCGGGGACCCGGGCCTGCCTGACTGCAGGACCAGCCACCCTGACGAGGTCCTCGGGGGTGCCAGGGGACTCTGTCAGGGAGGGGCGCCAGGCAGCAGGTACAGAGGGAGCCTCTGGGTCTATGGGGTCACGACAGGGACCAGCAGGGGGAAGCCCGGCTGGGGAACGGGGCTGGGGAACAGGGGTGGGGCTGAGTGGGCACACTTCTTGGAGGACACCTGCATGTGTTTCCCCGATGGCCCCTCTGAGAGGCAGCATGGTCAGTGCCATTCCACAGGCGAGGACCCCAACCCCAAGGGGAGGGGACTGCTAAGGCTGCACCTCTGGTCGATGTCCACCTGACCTGTGCAGGTGCTCAGCACACACAGACCGAGCGAGGAGCCAAAACTCCATCATTGCCCCCAAATGTGAGTCCAGTCCTAGGTCCTGGGATCCACACAGACAACACGTCCGGACTGGCAATCACACGGGGGTACGGAGCCCAACTGCTCGGGGCTGGGGTCCTCCTGTAAGAGCAGAGTCCATGGCGATGAGCCTGACTTTGCCTTTCAGCAGGCTCCTTCCAGGTGGAAGGAGTACCATCCACAGAGGCACTGAGCCCGGTGGCCTCTGCTTCTAGAGCCCGTGGCAGCAACTATCACCAGCATTCCTGTCCCGGGGCCACCAGGCCTGCTGGGCAGCCTTGCTGGGGGCTCTAGAGACAGTGTGGGTGGCGGAAGGGAGTGAGGGGGCTTGGGGTTCCCTGCTGCACGTGAGGAGGGGGGTTTTCTGCAGCCGGGACTCAGGCAGACCCCAGACCCCCTGGAGGAGAGCTGTTGAGATGCAGGCGGGACGCCCACATTTGGGGCTGGGGCGTCCTGCACGTGGACCACCTACGTGCTCACTCCCCCTTCCTCTCCAGAGTCTGTCTCCAGAAGTCCATTTTTCTCTCCCACCCACTGGTCACGCCGGAGAGACTACTGCTTGCCTTTTTCTCCCTTTCTCAGGCCACACCACCCTTCTTTTTTTAAATTTTTTTTTTAAAGATTTATTTATTTGAGAGAGAGAGAATGAGAGACAGAGAGCAGGAGAGGGAGGAGGGTCAGAGGAGAAGCAGACTCCCTGCTGAGCAGGGAGCCCGATGTGGGACTCGATCCCGGGACTCCAGGATCATGACCTGAGCCGAAGGCAGACGCTTAACGACAGAGCCACCCAGGCACCCCCCACTTTATCAATTTTTATTTTATTTTATTATTTATTTATTTATTTAAAGATTTTATTTATTTATTTGAGAGACAGAGAATGAGAGACAGAGAGCAGGAGAGGGAGGAGGGTCAGAGGAGAAGCAGACTCCCTGCTGAGCAGGGAGCCCGATGTGGGACTCGATCCCAGGACTCCAGGATCATGACCCGAGCCGAAGGCAGTCGCTTAACCAACTGAGCCACCCAGGCGCCCCACACCACCCTTCTTAACCAGGGACAATTCGAGGCCTGTTTCATATCCCTGTTCTTACAGAGATTAGGTGAGGTTGAAATAGCTGCTTTTGTTTTTACGCATGGGTGAGGGGCTTGCAGGTGAGCACATACCGAGAGGCCCTCCTCCCAGTAGCAGGTGGGGCGCTCGGGGTCTGCGTGCATGGCCAGCAGGCGGAGGGCCTTCCCCGCCAGGCCCAGGGCCTGAGCACGGATCTCCACGCAGCCGGCACACAGCGAATGCAGGCTCCCCAGCTGCACCAACACAACGTGGGCCAGGGTCCGCCTCAGCATGAACCATTTCTGCAGGAACACAAACCGCCTTGTGGTTACTTGCACCCTGCCCTGGAAAGTGCCAGAGGACTACCCTCTAACACCCCCGATCCCCCCCCACCCCATCCTGTCCCTGAGTTCCCTGGTCTAACGCCCCCAGGAGTGGCGCCATCCAAGCTGAGAAATGCGCCCTCTGGCCTTTGGGGAGGGTTTCCAGGGCTTAGGTGTTGGGAGGGTCACTAAAATCTGCTTATATAATCTTAATTTGAGACTCACTGACTGACAAATGGATAAGCTCATATCAAGTTCAATTTTAGGCCTATCTTTGATGTATTTATGGTTACATCAAGTTAATTTGATTCATAGTACATGAAATCTAAGAAAATGTCCGAAATGGCAGGATGTTTCCTTCAGATCTTTTGCAAACTCAACTTTTTTTTTTAACAAAATGAATTCACCTTTGTAGAGCTCTTTAATATGCTGCCATAATTAGTCAAAGCAAACGCATACTCTGGGTAGGAGAGTGCAATGCCCCTGGGAACGTCCCCCAGGAGACGCCCAAGGCTGTCAGACCGGGGGCCCTGGGAGCCGCCGGGGCTGGGAACGCACTCGCGGGCAGAGAGCTCGGCCCTGCGCCTTCTCCTGGTCAGTCCTGCCGTCCCAGCACAGCACCCCGCAGACGGGACCGAGAGCAATGGGCCCACTTCGTCTCGGGACGGTTACCAGGCCTGTGGAGGTGTAGTCACTCAAGCTCTGCAGATAGTCGGCCAGCAGCTTGTCCATGGAGCCCTGCTCAAGCTGCTGGGCCTGGGCCTCCGCCCACATGAGCTGCAGCATGTCCAGAGACGCTTCTGCAAGGCTGAGCCGCAGGCGCGCCAGCTTCCTCATCAGAGGTGTGTTGATGTTCTGCAACTGGGCGTGCCAGACACACACAGCACCGCGATTAAAACAACGCACGGGTCCCTCGCCCCCACATCCTCACGCCCCTTTCTTTTCTTGTTTTTTTTTTGAATGGATAAGCATTCTTTTTTATTTATTTATTTATTTTATTTTTATTAACATATAATGTATTATTTGTTTCAGAGATACAGGTCTGTGATTCAACAGTCTTATATAACATCTAGTGCTCATTCCATCACATGCCCTCCTTAATGCCCATCACTCAGTTATCCCATCCCTCCTTGCCCCCTCCACTCCAGCAACCCTCAGTTTGTTTCCTGAGATTAAGAGTCTCTTATGGTTTGTCTCCCTCTCTGGTTTCGCCTTGTTTCATTTTTCCCTCCCTTCCCCTATGATCCTCTATCTTGTTTCTCAAATTCCTCATATCAGTGAGATCATATGATACTTATCTTTCTCTGATTGACTTATTTCACTTAGCGTAATACCTTCTAGTTCCATCCACGTTGTTGTAAATGGCATGATTTCATTTTTTGATGGGTGCATAATATTCCATTGCATATATATACACCACATCTTCTTTATCCATTCATCTGTTGATGGACATCTTGGCTGTTTCCATAGTTTGGCTATTGTGGACATTGCTGCTATAAACATTGGGGTGCACACACCCCTTCGGATCCCTACATTTGTATCTTTGGGTAGTGCAATGGCTGGGTCATAGGGTAGCTCTATTTTCAACTTTTTGAGGAACCTCCATACTGTTCTCCAGAGTGGTTGCACCAGCTTGCATTCCCACCAACAGTGTAGGAGGGTTCCCCTTTCTCCACATCCTCGCCGACCTTTATTGTTCCCTGTCTTGTTAATTTTAGCCATTCTGACTGGTGCGTCACGCCCCTTTCTAACCGGGTCCTCCCTCCCAGGCAGCAAGGGGCCACACTCCAGCACCACAAGCTGGTTTGCAAGTTCTAGAGTTTGCACCACTGTATTCACACAGCATGTGCTCTCTCCGGCTGATTCCACTCCCGTATTTATTTCCAACCCATCCACGCTGCTGCTTGCACTCACACCTTTCCACTGATGAGGAGCACCTGTCGTACAGGTGGGCCCCAGCGCAAGTATCCACTCACACTCGGGGCTACTGCAAATATAGCGGTCATGAACACGTGTGCGAGAGCTTCTGTGTGGACGTGGGCTCTCACCTTTCTCAGGTAAATTAATTCCTAGGCATGGGATGCTGGCTCCTCTGGTGGCCCATGTTTAACTGCCAAGCTGTGGTCCGTGCTAACATTTGCTATGCTGTCTTTTAAACTGCAGCCATTTTAATAGGTGTGTGATGGTTTCCCTGACTCACTTGTGGGTTCATCTTCCCCTCATGTAATTATTTACCATCCACATATTTTCTTTGGAAAAATGTCTGCTCAACTCTTTCCCCACTTTTTATGGGGTTGTTTCTTATTATAAGTTTTACGAGGGCTTTATATTCTGGATACAAGACTTTGTCAGTCATATGGTTTGCAAATATTTTCTCCCAGTTTGTGCCTTGTCTTTTCACTCCCTGAATACCGTCTTTTGAAGAGCAGGCTCCAATTTATCAGTTCTCTCATGGATCTTGCTTTTGTTGCTGTACGTAAGGAATCTTTACTGAACCCAAGGTCCCAAAGATGTTTTCCTCTAGAAGCCTTATAGTTTCAGCTCTTGCCTTCAGATCTATGGTCCTCTTGGGGTTGAATCTTGTGTCTGCTGTGAGGTATGAACTGAAGTCTGTCTTTTGCATGGGGATTTCCAAGTGCTCCAGCACCTACTGTTGTATGGAGTAGCCTTTCTTCACTGAATTGCCTTTGCTGTTTGTTGAAAAGCAATCTTCTGTCTGTCTGTGTATCTATTTTTGGATTCTTTGTTATGTTCCATTGATCTGCTTGTCTTACTTTTACACTAAAACCACACTGCTTTGATTCCTGTCACTTTATAATAAGTCTTAGAATCAGGTAGTGTTAGTATCTCCAACTCAGTTTTTCTTTTTTAAAGTTGTGTTTGCTATGTTACATCTTTTGCAATTCCAAATGAAATTTAGAATATATTTTTTTCAATTTTTATAAAAAGCCTGCAGCTTCTTGGTCAGGATTGCAGAAAATTTATTGAGATCTTAGTAATAGCAAGTCTTCTGGTCCATGAACATTGTATATCTCTCCATCTATTTAAGTCTTCTTCAGTTTCTCTCAGTGATGTTTTCTAGTTCTCAGGGGTAAGTTTTCACTCTTTTGTCAAATTTCATTTTTATGCTGTCCAAAGGTTTTGTTTCTGAATTTTTAATATCTGATCAATCGTTGAGAGTATATAGAAATATAAAATTAATATTTGCATATTGTTCTTGCGTCCTGAAGCGTTACTGCAATCACTTGTTAGTCCTAGTACATTTATTATCATTTTTGTAGATTGCATGAGATTCTTTCTTCTTTTTTTTTTTTTAAGAGAGAGCAAGCAGGTGGAGGAGGGGCAGTGGGAGAGGGAGAGAGAATCTTAAGTAGGCTCCTCACCCAGCATGGAGCCCAACTTGGGGCTCGATCTCATGACCTTGAGATCAGGACCTGAGCTGAAATCAAGAGTCAGATGCTCAACCGACTGAGCCACCCAGGCGCCCCTGCTGAGATTTTCTATACAGATAATCCTGCCATCTGTAAACAAAGACAGTTTTACTTATTCTTTTCTAGACTGGGCATTTTTAATTTCTTTCTCTTACCTATTGAATTGGCTACAACTCAAGTATAATTCTGAATGAAGGTAGGAAGAGGGCTTTGCTTTTCCCACTAAGTGTGACGTGAGCCCTAGTGTTTTCATGGATGCAGTCTATCAGCTGGAGGAGCTTTCCTTCTATTAATAGTTTGCCAGGAGTCTTTTTTTTTTCAATCAGGAATGAGTGTTGGGTTTTGTCAACTGAGGTGATCATATGGTTTTTTAATTTAAAAAAAAATATGGTGAGCCAAATTGATTGATTTTTGAATGTTAAACAATCCCAGGATAACTCTAACTTGGCATTGATGTGTTATCCTTTTTACACATTATTGGATTTAATTTGCTAAAATTTTGTTTAAAACTTCTACATCTGTGTTCATGAATAATAATGATCTGTAGTTTTTGTTTTGGTATCAGGGTCATACTAGCCTTACAGAGTGGGGATGTGTTCCTTCCTTCTCAATTTTCTAAAAGACTTTGTGTATTATGCTTTCCTTAAATGTTTGTTAGGATTCACCAGTAAAGCTACCTGGCTCTGATGTTTTCTTTGTGAAAAGACTTTTAACTACAAATTCCATTTCTTTAACAGATGGAGGGCTATTCAGGTGATCTATTTTTTTTTTTTTATGAGTTTTGGTTGTTTGTGTCTTTCAAGGAATTGTTCCATATCATCATAAAGTTGTTCAGAATATTCCCTTATTATCCTTTTAATATGTATAGGATCAATGGTGATGTTACATCTCTTATTTCAGATATTGATCATTTATGTCCTCTCTTTTTTTCCTGATCAGTCTGGACAGAAATGTATGAACTTATTTATCTCAAATAACAACTTGTGGTTTTGTTGATTTTATCTTTTATTTTTATGTTTCCTATTTCACTGATTTCTGCTCTGATCTTCAATTTCCTTTCTTCTTATTTGGAGTTTGCTCTTCCTCTACTTTCTTACAGTGAAGGCTAAGGTCATTAGTTTGGGATCTTTTTTCTTTTGTCATACAGTTATATAGTGCTACAAATTTTCCCTTAAGCATTGCAATTAGAGACATCTTAAAAATTCTGACATGTGTTTTTCCCCCCTTCAGTTCAGAAATACTTTCCCTTTTGATTTGTTCTCTGGCTCATCGTTAATGGATGCTATTTACTTTCCAAATATTTGGGTATTTCACCCATAACTTTCTGGTATTTTTTTTAAATTGAGGTAAAATTCATATGACATAAAATAACCATTTTAAAGTGTACAATTCAGTGGTACTTAGTGCATTCACAATCTTGTGCAGCATCATCCTTATCTACTTCCAAAATGTTCTGTCATTCCAAAAGGGAACCCCCTCCCCACTCAACAGCCATGTCTTATGCCCCTCCCCAGCCCCCTCCCCTAAAACCACTGATCAGCTTTCTGTCTCTATGGACTTAACTATTCTATGTTTTATGTTGCTTTTTGATTTCTACTTTAATTGCATTGTGGTCTTAGTTTATATATATGTACACACACACACACACACACACAAACTGGTCAGTAGTAACTTTTAACACCCTTGTCTTTGCATTGTGATATCTGTGCCAGTTCTCGGTTGGTCTTGATGGATTGTTCTGCATGTTATGAGGTATATCTTCCCTGCTTTTTGGCATGGTAATTTTGCATGCCATTTTTGATTGGAATTTTGTCATGGTAATTTTGCACTGGTTGCCAGACATTGTGCGTCTTCCTTTTTTGGCAGATGGACACTTGTGGTCCTGCTTTTGCCTTTGCTCTGGGACCACCATCTGCAAACACGGTGGTCCTCTTCGGTCTTCTACGACTTTTCAGGCAGATCCAGGGCAGGGCTCATCCAGGGCGGATTATCCCTGACTGAGACAAGACCTTCTGTCTGCTCTGTGCAGCGCTCTGGGGTCACGAGGTTGTCCAGTCTGGCTGGCGGGAGCAGGTGCCACTCCAAGCCTGAGTGGGAGCCTGACACCTTCCTGACCCCCTTGGGCCCCCTGCTTCTGCAGTGAGTGTGGACAGGGGCAGGGCCGCCTCTGTTCAGGGATGACGGTGCTCATGTGGACATCTAGTGTGTGTCTGTTTCACATTTTTGTCCACTTCTTGGTTACTTCGGAAGGGAGGGCAAACCTCAGCCAAACTGGAAGCGGGCAGCCTGTTTAGGGCAAGTGCAGGGTGTATCTGTGTGTGCCGAGGGGGAGCTCTGGGCTGCAGGGAGGGACCCAGGACACACACTCACCTCCTGCAAGGACAGTAAGCCCTGCACCCTGAGAAACAGCTCCTCCGCCTCGGCCACAGCTCTTTGGACCAAGTCGTACGCCTCCAAGTGATACGCGGTTTTTTGCTCCTCATTTTTCTCATTTTGGGCACATAATCTTTGTAAGATGGAAGAGTGGAATTTAGAAAAAAAATTTCAAGCATTACACCATCAGTATTAACAAAATGCACAGTACGTAATTTTTAAATAATTATATCGTATTTTCACTAGTGCTTTAAGTTTTATGATTAGTTGTTCTGTATGTAAAGATATTGTCACTGTAGCTCAGCACAAGTGTGCACTCCACACTATTTTTGTAAAATTAAATCTATGCCTAACAGATCCAGTGAACCAACACCACGATATTAGTTGTGCTGATTTAACTGCCTTGTTTTCCTATTTGTGGTTTCTGCATTTTTTAAAGCTCTACAATGACCATATATCGGTTCTGTAATAATAGGATCAGAGTTACATTCCACAAGTGTCCGGGTGGTTTTTCCCTCATCGAGGCTTTTTTAATACCTTCTAAACAACATTTGCTTGTCGTGCTTCGAAATGCCTGCATGTAGCCCAAGCACGGGGCGGCCCAGGGCTGGATGGATGGAGGGGAGGTGGGAGAGGGAGGCCGTTTACTGAGGCCTGGCCTCGTTCCTCTGCCTCTGGGCCAGTCTCTGCCCTCGATGACAGTGGGGACTTTGAGAGGTCGCCTGAGGGAGGCTGACAGAGGCCCGCTGGAGGGCAGCGCCCGGGCTCCTCCTCAGGCCAGTGCGGGTGTGAGCAGGTGCAGGGGCATGCTGGGTTCACGTGTGTATGGCTGTGAGTGAGCATCTGTGAGTGGTCACCGGCAATGTGCACATGTGGGTGTGACCTGTGTCTGCCCAAGTGTGACCAACATGTGAACGCTGTGGGTGTTGGGGGGGCGGGCGCTGGGAGGCGTATGTCCGTGTGTCTGCAGAGACGCAACAGGTAGGACACTGAGGGGGCCGGACGAGGGCGCGGACACCCCCCGTGCTGCTGTCCTGGAGGGAGGTGCAGGCGGCCACAGGGCCAGGAGGAGGTTCTGCTGGAGGACAATGGGACCCAAGGGGGGCTTGACCAGGAGGAGAGCTGGGCATGGGTCAGGACAAGGGGCAGGAGGGCGGGGGCACAGGGACGGTCCCGGACTGTGCTCAGAGCGCCAGCCCCTCAGCACCCCCAGGAGGCCCCCCCAGCAGGGCAGCTCACCTCTTTATCTTTGCGCGCTCTAGTTTTATGTCCACACAATTCTCTCTGTAGCCCCAGGTGGTCAACTTTTTCTCAATCTCCATCAAGTGATCATCCAGTTCGGTCAGCAGAAACAAGCATTCACGGTCAAGCAGTCCCTGAACGGCCCGGATGCGGAGGTGCACACATCTGTGGGGGGCGTGGACTGTCCCATGTGTTGACTGCAGCCCGGGCAGCGTCACCGTGACGCTGAGCACCCTTCCCGCAGGCCAGAAACCACACAGGCCACATGCTTCCATCACAAGACAGTCAAGCTGGAAAGTAGCATCCTCCCCCGCCAGCTGCAGCACCGCCCTCCTGTGCCTCAGTGGCAGGAACCCACACGGAAACCCACGTCCGACGTGCGGGTGCCGCCGGCTGGAGTCCCAGGAACCCTGAATAGGAACGGGAACCCGTGCATGTGGGCAGCCAGGAACAGCCCCTCTCGGATACAGGACCCAGAACTGAACAAACACAACGCGGAAAACGAAGAGGACAAGCCTCGGCTGCTTCTTTGTTTGGGTCAATGAAATGGTGACGCGCAGCCCTGATTTAGGAGAAGAGCGGGGCACGGGCGCGGGGCGGGGGACAAAGACTCTGTGACATTACAGGACAAGATCCAGAAACACATACCAACACGACCCAAATCCCAGAGGAAACAATTTTCCAGAAGAATACAAATTCCCAGAAAGATAGCTCAAAGAGAAGCCAAAAATCTGAAAGATCAATAAGCACAGAAGGCCATTGCCACTCTTCAAAGCTCTGTGCCCAGACAGGCGACAGGCTCGGGAAGCAGCCAGCGCAGAGGTGAGGACAGAGCCCGACAGACCCCAGGGAGGCATCTGCTCACGGCACCGAGTTCCACACTGTCACGGGGGACGGAGAAGACCCGGCAGCCAGATCCCCGCCGGGGGTCTGCCTGCCCCTCACCTCACAGGTGTCCACGAACACCTGGGGGGAGCTCAGAGGCATCCCCTGAGAATTTAGGAACCAAACAAGCCACCTGCATCCCTGTCCCAAGAAAAAGGCACATTGGAAAGGAAGAGACACTGCCCCCAGGAGCGGGAAGGCCGAAGGTCAGGCTCTGGCGACCTCCCCGGGCCCCCTCCCCCAGGGGCCACGTGCTGCACACAGGTTTGGAAAACCTCATAAAGAAAAAGTCAGCCCTGGCTTTCATGTGAATTAAGTTTTTCCTACAAAGGACTACCTGGCTTCTAGGTCTGTGACCATAAATTCCAAGATGGGCACTCGGTTAGGTCTTTCCTTCTGCAGGACCCTGAAGGTATCGATGAGTCTCTGAAACAGCTGGAAGGCCTGAGGAGGACAGGGCGCTGACGTCTGCATGTGGCTCCCGGACACCGAGACCCGGCCACACGCCCCCCTCCGAGAGCGCCAGGGGGGCCCTACCACCACTTCGCTGCCGTCGCTTCCCATGGCCAGGAGCGTGTCTGCCAGAGTCAGGGCTGAGCTGTACCAGAACTCCTCGCCCCCCCCCAGGTGCTGGGCCTGCTCCACCATCTTCTTCGCTTGTCCGTAGTTTCTCTCCTTGTTTGCCAGCTGTGCAAGAAGGTGCAGACATCTTGCTTCCGCACAAGGGTCATTGAGCTCCTAAAATATGTATATGTGCAGAGAGAAGATGGGGTGTGGGGGGTGAGACAGTGTGAGAGCAGCTCGGGGCACCAGGCCTTCCCACCCAGTGTCCACTGGGCTGCCCCTCACCTCTGAAGGACGCCCCATATTTGCCCTCAGGGCATGGGGCTGGGTAGGCTTCTGGCCTGTGCATGTGCGAAAACCCACTTCCAGGGTTCCTGACCCCTCCCCTTAGCGGCAGTCCCCAGTGCCCTCCCGGGAGCCGCCGTCCAGATGCTGGCCGAGGGCATCAGGGGAGGGGGAGGCGAACGGACTTTTGCACCCAAGCCCGCCGGGGCCATCTCATCCCCCATCCATCGCACACAGTTACAGGTGGCCTGGGCGTGGGGTGGGGGTGATGTTGGCCTCTGAACCGCACCCGGGGAAGGAGGACGCGGAGTGCTCAGGCAGGAAGAGCAGGAGTCCAAGGCGGCTGGCTCCAGACAGAGCACTGAGCATGCAGCCCGAAGAGATTGAGGAGGGGGCCTGGTGGGCCTGGGGCCTGTGGTCCAACAGCCAAGGCCGCAGAAGGCAAATACAGGCTGGAGGCGAGGAGAGGAGGTAGACGCAGGCAGTGGACATACTGGCCGGCGGCGGGTGGGGGGGAGCCACAGCGAAGACGCAGACTGCGGGCTGCAGTGGACGGAAGCAGGGGCTGGTGCCTGCAGACGCCCCAAGGAGACGTCACCAGGCTCTGACCACCATGGCCCCACAGAAACGTGGCCATGGTGTGGGTGGTTGAGGGCAGCGAAGGGCCAGAAGGGAAAGGCCCGTGGGCAGAGCACCATCCGCGCATGTGGGACACGTGAGAGAAGGCTTGGGAGGGGCAGTGTGGTGTCTGGAGGAGCGGAGGTACCCCTTCCACCCTCTGGGGATGGACACTCCCCAGGAGCTGACACCTGGCTCCTCGACCCCCTGGTCTCAGAAGAGGCCGTTGCCAGCCTCTCAGTCCCACCCCGGGTGCTCCCCCTCTTGCCCCCGGCCTCACCCCTTTGCAGTCCGGCCTGCACACAGCTATCTGTGTTGGCCTGAGCACCCTGCCCACTGCCTGAATCTCCCATGGCCTTGAAGTTTTGTGCTTTTATTAGGGACTTCTCTCTCTCTCGAGTCCTTCAAAACCAGGGACAGCCTGTCTGGTCCTTCAGTTTTGCCTTGCCTGCCCCCCACCCCCCGTGAATGCAGTGCTCCGAGCTGGATGCAGATAGAACCACCTGTCCGCAGGTGCCGGAGGGCCACCATCTCTACGGGGAGGGATGCACACACAGGCATCCATCCTCACGGAGGGCAGAGCCCAGAGAAAAGCAACAGCTGGCTCGGGAGGAGACAGCTGGGGCTTTGGGGCCTCCAGGTGCTGGCACTAGAAGGGCCAATCACGGGGGCACCAGGAGGGCCCAAAGGTCTGTGCTCAAGGGCAGAGCAGGTTCAAGAAGCTGAGCAGATGGGAGTAGCAGGGGGGCTAAGGAGCTGAGCTAGGATCTGAACAGCCAGACTGGAGTGCAAGCCTTTGTGTGGGGGCTCAGAAACCCCAGGCTTCCAGTGAGGCCCCCGAGAGACCACAGATACCTGCAGGGCCCACACCTGAGGAGTAAGGACAAAACTCATGGGCCGGGGGCCCCAGGCCCTCCAGGCTCTCAGCCTCTGCATGCAACATCAGGAAACGCAGCGCCGGGAACACTGCCATCCGTGGAATCAGATCCGCGGCAACCATAGGAAGCAGGGACTTTAGCAAACTCTCCACAAAGATTGAACGACAACCAGAGAAACAGGAGAAGGGCAGAGACTTAGATCCAAGTCCAGGATGGACGTTCCAGAATGGCGAGCGGCAAGCCAGCTTCCAAGCAGACAGCCCGAGTCCCAGAGAGCCGCCGTGGTGCGCAGGCGGGCGGGGCTGATTCCGGCGGTGCAGGCGCCCCCCGGGCCCCACAGCCCCTCACCTGGAAGGCCAGGTAGGCCTCCGACAGCAGCAGCCTCGCAGGCTGGTACAGGTCCATGTCCAGCAGCACTTCTGCTTTGAGGGTCCACAGCTGGGGGAAGGATGTCCCTTCCAGGCCCCTCCCGGTCTCTCCGTTTATCTTCAGGAGCTGGAAGGCAGGGCAGGCAGGTCTGCGCCATGGCTGGCGGGAAGCTGCCCACCGTCCGTGGTTTCCCACCAGGCCGGGCCCCTGCCTCGGTAGCGAGCGGTCTCCTGGGACAGCCATCTCTCCTCCCCCACCAGCTCGCCCCCGGGGGCATCGGAGCTGGTCCTTGCCGCCGCTGCTCCTGCCCATGCCCCATGCTCTGTGACCCCACTCTCCGGTACCAGGCGGCACCTGGACCGGCACGGGAGGTGCACTGAGCCCCTGAATTCGGCAAGACACGTGGGGGCCTGGCATGTTCCTACCACGTCTCCCAAATGGTTGACGTTGGGGGCTCCCAAATGGAGTCCCAAGGGTGGAATGCCCGTGGTGACAGGCGTTCGGAGCGTGGTGGCTGGGATGGCTACTTTCCTTGATGGGCGAGCCCACACAAAGTGAGCCCACTGTGTGGAAGGGAGAGCTGGTTAGTGGTCAGACTTCCTGGCCACTCTCTAGCTGCCAGGCCTCGACCACCCTGCCCGTCTTCTCTGAATCCTGCCCAGTGCCTCTGGCGGGCATGCTCTGAGGTGATCTGTAGCTCCAACTTGTCCAGAGACATCCCGGGCACACCCGACCAGCCCCCGGGTGTCCCACGGAACCCGGCACGAGGGTCTGGACACAGCTCACGGTGAAGACACGTCCCGGCTAGCAGCCCGAGGTTGGCCTCGGCACTGCCCCACTGGGCTAGGAACAAGGTGCTGCCCGCAGAGTGAGGGTACCTTGTCCTTGGCCACGAGGGGCTTCATTTCTGCTGGGTCCACTGCAGTTATGGGTTCAGCCAGAGTTGGCACACTGTCTTCCAAGAGCGGTTCCTTATTCTTCTCCTTTCTCAAGGCAATTTCTTTTCTGCAGCTAATGTAAGTAACACAGGTGATATGCCAAAGAAGAAATACAATGGCCAAGAAATACCTGAAAATGTCCAATGTCATTAGTAATCAAGGAATGCAAATTAAAATATCTAGAAGAAGCCACCGATCACTCACCTGTTTACAAAGATAACCCAACCTCCGGCACAGCAGCCCCAGGCTGAGCGTCCTCCCGCCCCCCAGTCTGGCTGTGATGCAGGATGGGGCCTGGGGTTGGAGGGGACACAGCCGGGAGCAGTATCGCGTTGGCCAAATCCTTCCTTGGTTACAGGTGAGCTGGGGTCCCGCCCACGGGGGGTGGAACAGCGGTGGGGAAGGGCCACACCTTGCCTGCTCCAGCTCATAGATGTATGTCTGCCCGACCACCTCTTCATGGTAGGCAGCTGCTTCTCGCAATTTCAAATCCAAACAAGCAAGGGCAAGTCTAGGGGAAGGGGCGATAGGGAGAAAGAACACGGTCACACGGGACCTGGTGGATCAGAGTCAGGCTGCACTGGGCTCAGTTGGCCTCAAAACAATTGGTGAACGAAAGAGGAATGTATAATTTAGTGATGTTTTCAGTAATTTTTAGACCTAAGCAAAATGACACCGGTCGGTGCCTCTACCAAACTTCAGGTACCAAGAATTTTAATTCTCACCCACACGTCTTACTCTATACATACCGTCGCAGGGCGACCTTCAGAGGGAAGAATAAGGTACCGTGCGCAGGGCTGTGGCCACCGTGACGAGTGCAAAGCAGACAAGGCCTGCTTTGATTCTGATGTGAAACGGTTTTGTTTTGAGAGGATTTCAAGCTTACATAAAAGCGGCACAAACACTACAAAGAGTTACTGTGCATCCCTCGCCCAGACCGCTTCAGCACGAGCACTGCGCCGTATCAGCTTTATCGTTTTGCCTCCCCACCCGCGCCATCCCCCTATGGTTTTTTTCTGGATGATCTGAGAGCAGGCCACAGACACAGTGGCCCTTCATTCTAATACTTCAGCGTATATTTCCGTAGAACAATGATCTTCTCTTAAGGGCCAGGTCGAAATTTTAAAATAAAATTACTATTTTTATGTTCAGTATATTGATTTATTTGGTTTTACAAATCACAGGGACTATTATTTATAGAAATAGTCAACCACAGAATCAGTATTTGGAAATGCTGTTTGTTTTTATATTGCTTTGGGGAAATTTTCCCCTTTAGCCACCGAAATGTTCCCCAGTTTCCCTGAATATAAAACAGTCATACTGACCGCAGGTGGTAGAGATCCTTGAGGCTCTTGCTTTCTACCACAGATGCTGCAATTACTACACCCAACTGCAGGACTGGGATGGTGAGCTCGTAGAGGGACATCTTCTGCAGGGCTCTGACCAAATGGTCCAAATAATATAAAGTGTACGTCTACACAAATACACAACAAACATGTAAGGTCAAAGAGGGGAGGAAGGGTAGGCCACTAGCTGATAGGGTCTTTCTTCAAAAACCTCTATCCTTCTCCATGACAAGCACGGCTCGGGGCAAACAGCAGGTGCTCAACAGTGTTTCTTGAATGAATGAATGAATGAATGAATGATGTGCTCTCCCCCTTCTCTCCCTCATTCATAGCTTTCATCTTGTCATCTGCGATCATCCATAATCTTCAACACCCAAGTACAGTTAAAAGTCCTCACAAGAGGGGCGCCTGGGTGGCTCAGATGGTTAAGCGTCTGCCTTCGGCTCAGGTCATGATCCCGGGGTCCTGGGATCGAGTCCCGCGTCGGGCTCCCTGCTCTGCGGGAGGCCTGCTTCTCCCTCTGCCTCTCTCTCTCTCTCTCTGTCTCTCATGAATAAATAAATAAATAAATTAAAACAAAAAAAAAGTCCTCACAAGAAACAATCCATTTACATATTTACTCAAATTAATGTTTTTGTTAGATTTCTTCTACTAAAAACTGCTGATCCATTAAAAACAGAATTTCTTTATGAACACGTATAACTGCCTTAAAATTTAATACAGGTGCAGAAGAACAATACTTATAACAATGGACTGGGTTTGATAAAATAATTATTCTGCAATGAAGAATTAGAAAAGTTGGATGAAGTATTTTAAAAACGCACCAAAAGCTCTGAAGACTGGGTAACTGATGCTGGGAGAAGTTACTGGGCTGAGTGCCAGAAGACAATGGGTATCTAGAGAAATGAGCCTGCCATATTGGGGTCCCTTTGTCCTGGGGGTTTCTGTGGAGTCAAGAGGCAGCTGAGAGGTTGGGTGGTACCTCTGGTTTTTGTTTGTTTGGGTTGTTTTGGGTTTTTTTGTAAGGTGGAGACAACAAAACGGCCTTGAGGGCCCACTGAAAGCTTCATGCCCAGGCTGGGTGCCCAAAGGGCTGCACCTTAGGATGAAGGGTGATCTACAAGTAAAGCAGCCGTCTCAGGGAATTCCTCAAAAGCCAGTGGCTTCGGGTGGCCTGGAGAACATGTGGTTCTTTGAGAGACTAATAATTGGTAACTCCTGATGAGGCTGGTCAGGAAAGAGGGGTGGGAAGACACAAATCCTATAGACCTGCAGACACTAAAAGATAATAAAAGCACATTAAGAACAACATTATATTACAAACTTGAAACTTTATATTAAGTGGAAATATCCTAGAAAAACACAATCCACGGAATTACAAGAAGAAACAGAAAATCTGAAGAGCTCCAGAACTACAAAGTAAACAGAATCATAACTTATGACCTTCCCATATAGAAGAAAAGGCCCAGAAGTTTCCACCAGGGAACTCTCCCAAATTTAAGGAAGAAATAACAAATAATCTTATACAAGTCTCCCCAAGAATAGTAAAAAAAAAAAAAAGATGGGGGGCCTTCCACGGTGACAAGAGGAGTGTCCTGGCTGGCCCCGCCCTCATGCCCCCCAGGCCAGCAAAGATTATCTAAAGTCACAGGGAAAATGGTAGAAAATTCACTGTCACCATTGCCAGAAAGAGCGATTCACGGTTTTGTTCCTTTCTTAAGCTCCCAAGTTGGCTTCATACTATATCTTGTGTGAAATCTTATTCCTGAATCTTGACTAAACTCCTTAGGCTTAACCTATTGGCCTCAAAAATACTGGGCAGTTGCACTGCCATCTACCTCCTCATTACTATAGTAACCGGTTATGTACTTTTATTTGTTTTTTTTTTTTTTTTTTAAAGATTTTATTTATTTATTTGAGACAGAGAGAATGAGAGACAGAGAGCATGAGAGGGGGGAGGGTCAGAGGGAGAAGCAGACTCCCTGTCGAGCAGGGAGCCTGATGCGGGACTCGATCCAGGGACTCCAGGATCATGACCTGAGCCGAAGGCAGTCGCTTAACCAACTGAGCCACCCAGGCGCCCTGTACTTTTATTTGGAATGAACGTGATGAGTACCTCTCCGCTCAACTCCATTCACACAATCACAGATAACTATGCTAAGATCCACAGCAGAAGAAATACCAAGAAGAGGCCATCCCAGCATTAAGACATATTCCCATTAGTGAAGTAAATCAAATGGTTCTTTTTTGCAAAGAACTTTACACCAAAAACTAAATTGTATGTGGGCTAATACCAAGCATTTATTGTAAGTTTTGATATAATAATTTTGACCATAATTACTTTTATTATCTCTTATTAATAGCCTGATATTGAAATGTAAAAAAATTGAACTTCTCTTAGATTATGTTCCATTAATATTAAAATATTTTCAAATATCAGTTATTAATGGACAGAATAAATAAAATACCACTTCATCATATACCAGACTTTTAAAAAAAATAAGTATCAGTAAAAGCACAAAGTCCCTCCAAAAAAAGGGACGGGGGAGGGACCACTTCCTAACTAAAAGGTCAATGTGAGATTGTGACACAGAAGGACATGGATCCTTGGACTTTGTTTTTGTTGCTGGCGCTGAGCTCCTAAAACCCTTGCAATCTTGTGGCTCATGAGCCCCTTCCGAGCACAGCTGAGTTTACGCCGGGAGGTGACTCTGGGCAGCCCCTGTCCAGCTCAGGCTGGGAGCTGCGTGCCAGGGAACCAACCCTGTGACCAGAGGGCGGGAGCTTTGGTCCTACCCCCCGATGCCGGGCTCGGAGAGAGGCTGGAGACTGGATAAATCAACTGCCAAACATTTCATCACTCACGCCTGCATAACGGAACCTCCCTACAATTCCTAAGTGGAGCGATGTGGAGTTTCTGGGTGGTGAACACGTCCACACGGGGATGGCGCACCGAGCGCCACGCACTTCGGAGCTCCTGTGCTCGGCACCTGCCCAGACCTCGCCCCGTGGACCTCTTCAGCTGTCTGTTCACTTGCATCCTTTCTAATAACCCGGTAATCTAGAAAGTAAAGTGTTTCCCTGAGTTCTGTGAGCCGTCCTAGCAAATCATCAACACCGAGGAGGGGGTCACGGGAACCCCCAATTCGTAGCGACGTCAGACAGCGGTGCGGACAGCAGTGTTGATGTGGGGGCCGCCCTGAGGGACTGAGCTCTGAGCCTGAGAAGCCCGCGCCCACCAACCCTGAGAGGTCCGTGCCAGGACTGGGCTAATTCACAGGACGCCCAGCTGGTGTGCACAGACAACAGGAGAGCTGGATGTTGGTGTGGAAAAGCCGCACGTCTGGCGCCGGCTGGGAGCAGGAAACGGTTCAGAGTCTGAGTAATTTTTTACCAAATCCTGACATGGGTGCTGTATGAACAGGAATGAACATGGAAGCAAACACCCCAAAGTGTCAAACACGATTATACATGAGATGAATAAAATGTTTCAGCTACATTGATCATATTATGATAATCATCAGCAAAAGATCAATGTAATAAATTAAAAGAATAAAGGAGAAAAAACATTATCACTTGAACAGATGCAGAAAAATACTTGGTAAAAGTCTATAGCCATTCATGATTACAACTCTTAGCAAAGAGAAATAAGAAACTTCCCTAGTCAATAAAGAATATCTATAAAACTACAACAAACACCAATTATACTTCCAAGTAGTGTTGGGGACCCTCCCGTTGAAGCAGGAAATGAGATAAGGCTGTGCGCTGTCACGGTGTTTCTTCAACACCTGCCCAGGCCTGAGCCAACAGAGCCAAATAAGGGAATGAAAAGTGCAAGGACTAGAAATTAGGAAGTAAGCAGCGGGCTGTAGATGGAATGATTGTACGCACACGAGATCAAGAAGAATTTACAGATAAATCACCAAAATTATTAAAAGGTTAACAGAGGGGCGCCTGGGTGGCTCAGTCGTTAAGTGTCTGCCTTCGGCTCAGGTCGTGATCCCAGGGTCCTGGGATCGAGCTCCGCATCGGGCTCCCTGCTCAGCGGGGAGCCTGCTTCTCCCTCTGCTTGCTGCTCTCCCTGCTTGTGTGCATGCTCTCTCTCTCTCTCTCTGACAAGTAAATAAAATATTAAAAAAAAAATCTATTTCAGGGACACCCGGGTGGCTCAGTCGTTAAGCGTCTGCCTTCGGCTCAGGTCATGATCCCAGGGTCCTGGGATCGAGCCCCGCATCGGGCTCCCTGCTCCGCGGGAAGCCTGCTTCTCCCTCTCCCTCTCCCCCTGCTTGTGTTCCCTCTCTCGCTGTGTCTCTCTCTCTCTCTCAAATAAATAAAATCTTAAAAAAAAAGGTTAGCAGAATTATATTTCTGTATTTCATGTGGAGTTCAAGCATGACACAAAGAGGCATATTTACAATAACGTCAAAAATATCAAATACATGGAAATACACCTAACACGTGCTCAAGCTCCACACAGAAAACTCGATCCTCTGCTAAGGATCGAGGGCAGTCTACACCGGTGGAGAGGCAGACTGTGTTTACGGATGGGAAGGCTGTGGGAGAGGGTCAGCTCTCCCTGAGTCCACAGCTGACTCAGGACTCTGAGCAATCACGACCTGCACCCCCCGCCCAGAGTGTTAAGTGGAATCCAACACGTGGATTCTAAAGTACACGTGGAAATGCAAAGAGAATGGAAAGAACGTCCTAGACCTTCTCGAAGAACAAGGTGAGGGCACGCAAGTTCAGTAATCACGACCGTGAGATGTGAGCACACGTGTGTGGACACTGGATTCAGGACAAACATGGCTCTGCAAAGAAGATGGGCAAATGCTTTTCCCATAAATGGGGCTGGAACATTCAGATACCCAGATTTAAAAGCCTGAGGCTGACCTTGCCCTACACCACACCCACCAATCTCAGGTGGATGGTCCGTGTGAATCTGGCACATAAAACCATAAAGCTTTGGGGAAAATATTGTAAGAGAATATCTTCATGACCTTTGGAAAGAGAAACGGCCTTTTTAAGCAGGACACACAAAGTATAGTGACAAAGGAACAGATCACTAATTTTATCACATTAACACTAGGAACCTCTAGTCAATGACAAGACCGCAAGAGAGCCAGGCCGAGAGTGGAAGGTAATTGGCCCTTCGTAAATTGTCAAAGTGTTGTTCCCAGACTAGATCAAGAATTCCTTCAAACTGACAAGAAAGAGACAGAAACCTTAATAAAATGTGGGCAACAGACTGGAAAGGCCGCAGAGAAGATGTCCGGGTGGCCAGAGGGCACAGGAAGGTGCTGCCAAGCTTCCTCTGAACGGCCAGAGTAGGAAGGGGAGCCAGACGAGGCCGGCACAGTCGACCAAACATACGCTCCGAGACGCACGGCTTCCATCACGAGCGCCCACAGCAGCTTCACGCGTGAAGCCACAAGCTGGAGACAACCCGAATGTCATCCAGTGTCGAACGGACAAATGGACCATGGTCTAGTCAGGGGCCATGGGACTGCACCCAACAGGTGACGGAGACACAGACGACCGTGGACAAATCCCACAAAATACTGAGTGAACGAACCCAAACACAAAAGGTTTATAAGGAGTATTTCCACGTTTTTAAGCACAAAAGACAGGCAGAAGGCAGTGGGCACTGAAGGTCCCCAAAGTCTTTGGGTCTAACCCCTGGAACCTCACAAGCAACGGCTTCCTTGCCAGTGTGGTTAGTGTGGAAATCCAGAGACGGAGGGATTTCTGTGGGTTACTCGGGAGGTCGCAGGCACAGACGCTGCCCACGGCGGCGTTTCCGTGTTCAGCGTGTTCGGGGGGTGGGGGGGCTGCATGACGACAGGGAGCACGTGCTTCCCACCGACACTCCAGTTCGTCTGGGGAGAGTGGCGACCGGGACAGGGAGGCCCGGGGCTGACCGTGCTTGCGCCTCAGCCCGGGCGGCACACACAGGGGTCTCCCTCTCAACGAGTCACTAAGCCCCCTGCTCAGGCCGCCCGCTTTCTGGATACACTTCACGGCAGGAAGGCTACTACGGGGCAGGGACACGGGGTTCGGAACGCAGCTGGCTGGCACCCCACCCAAGCCCGCACCCCTGCTTGAAGTCGCCTTACCGGCTTCTGGATGCTTGACGGGTTAATGGTAAAGTCGCTTTTATCTTGTTTAAACACCGACATCACTTCTTCAGGGCAGGAGTAGGAAGCCCATTCTTCTATGCTTGTCGGTAAGTCTTCCAGCTGTTGGCCAGGAACCGCGGTGTGATGCTGTAAGCAGGAACGCAGGATTCGCTGTAGAATCAGCACAGCCTGAGCAGACGGCAGGGAGCCCTGAGAGGGCAGCGCCTTCGGGGACCCACTGCTGCCTGGATCCGGGCCCCCCCCGCCGCCTCTGCCCCAACGGCGCCCCTGCACGTGGCTGCCCTCCCTGTGACCCAAGCCCGAGCTGTGACCCACACCAGAGCCACGTTCAATTTCACAGCCAAAACACACTGTGACATCACCTGCAAGAGCACAAAGCTGATGCTCTCTGCCATGTGCAAACCAGAGTCTGCCTGGGGTGCCCCAGCTCATGGTACCCCCAGGACCTGCGCATCTGCGTGCAGTCAGTGCTGTGTGGACACGTGCACAGAGGACACAGTGCTGGAGCCCGGTGGGAGTGCCCGCTCTGGACGGCCATGCACACAGGAGTGTCCGGCCGCGTGGGTGCGCATGTGGGCTGCAGGCCCCTCAGGACGTGGGGGCTCTTTTCCCCTGCTCCAGAGAGCTGCCCTCCTTCCCGCACACCCACAGCCAGAGAGGAGACACACGTCCTGGGTCACCCTCCTAACAGCCTGGGGTTGTCCTCCACTTTACAAAAGAGGACACTGAGGCATAGAGGGGTCCGGCAGGCCCCACAGCCTGGGTGTGGGTCCAGGCCCAGCCACGTGGCCCCAGTCTGTGGCCCTGGCCCTCCACTCTCAGGGCCCCAGACACAGCCCCATATTCGAAAGTGCGCACAGTACCTGCTTGAGGTCTTTGCCCTTTTCTCTGTCCTTCTCCTTGTCCTTCCCTTTCTCCTTCTCCTTCCCCTTTTCCTTCTCTTTCTCCTTTTCCTTCCCCTTCTCTTTCTCCTTCTTCTTCTCCTTCTCTTTTTTAGGCAATAACAAATGTGAACTAGCTGTTGCTGCTAGAATTTTACTTTCTGAAATTGCTTTTCCTGCTGTTAATAAAGATACCTGTGAAAAATAAAATCCAGATTTGCAACATTAAGAACAGCCATGCACACGCTCCCCCACCTGCTCAAATCTGAGGGGCGGCCAGTGGTCCTAAGGCTCTGAGTGGTAACCTTGTGTCCACTAGGGCACCAGGGCCACACCAGTGAGCTCACCCCATGCACATGACTGCAGCGTCCCTCAGTGGGTGGGACACTCAGCCCCCAGGACCTGGACCAGCGGGGACATGGAGCTGACCTCCGAGGAGTGCCTGTCCCAGCTCCATGAAGTGAATTCATGTCTCTAATTGAGAACACATAGAACTTTTAGTGGTTCTCCTAAAAGAAGTGTTAAAGAATCCTTGTTTTGTGGACGGTGGGAGAGTGGGCTGGGGCATCTTGAAGACCAAGGATGCCTTCCCAGTCCCTCCCATTCTTCCCACTGCCAAGGGGTGACAGCCCCACTGTCCCCCAGCACATTGCTGGGAGGGTCGGGGCACTGCCCTCAGGAGGTCCTCGAGAACCAGAGGCTCAAAGAGCTGCCCTGGGAGGGCCCTGTAAAGAGATGATGGGGGAGGAGGGATGAACGGAAGAAGGTTCTGGAAGCCGAGGGCCAGGGCTGCTGAAAGGCAGGCAGATGCAATCATGGGCTGGCTGTTCCCTCCACATGCAGAGGCTCCCGGGACCGTTGCCCAGGGGTACTTCGTGGCGGATGGGCAAGGGTGGTGGGGAGGTTTCAGAGAAGAGTGTCCCCAGCCACTGCAGTGTGGTGAGGGCCCTCTTCCGAGGGCTGCACGAGCAGGCGAGGCCCATGGGCTACAGGGAGAGGCGTGGGCTCCTGCCAAGAGCTGGGGACCGATCAGGGAGCAGCCTCACGCCTCACCTGCCAGATGCGCTTGAGGTACGTGTAGGCCATGAGGCAGTAGTCCTCGTAGCTGGCCGCGCTCGGGGACACCATCAGGGCCAGCAGGGTGTAGGCGCGAGCCAGCGCCTCCAGCTGTCTCACGTTCCGAAGCTTCTCCAAGGGGACTGACCCCGCGTCCTCGGACACTACACTTTCTGGGCCTCCCTGAGTGGACAGGTGCTCCCCTGCAAGATAGGGGTGTCCAAGCCATGAGCATGTCCCGACTGGGTCCTTCTAGAAGGCGTACCCGCCTTCAGGGGCCAGGCAGGCCTCAGGGATGGTGTCCCAGGGCTCTTCCCCCGGCATCTGAGGGCTCCTCCCCTCGCGTCCCAGGGCTCCTCCCCAGCGTCCCAGGGCTCCTACCCCGCGTCCCAGGGCTCCTCCCCCCGTGTCCGAGGGCTCCTCCCCCAGCATCCGAGGGCTCCTACCCCGCGTCCCAGGGCTCTGCACCCCCACCCCTACCCCCGGCGTCCCAGGGCTCCTCCCCCGGCGTCCCGGGGCTCCTCCCCCCGCGTCCCGGGGCTCTGCACCCCCATCCCTACCCTCGCGTCCCAGGGCTCCTCCCCCGCGTCCCAGGGCTCCTCCCCCAGCATCCGAGGGCTCCTCCCCCGCGTCCCAGGGCTCCTCCCCCGCGTCCCGGGGCTCCTCCCCCCGCGTCCCGGGGCTCCTCCCCCGGCGTCCCGGGGCTCCTCCAGCGTCCCAGGGCTCCTCCCCCGGCTGCAAGTCCCCTCGGGGGCCTGAGAGGACACGTCCACCCCAGGCCCGGGTCTGAACCAGAGCAGACCCCACCCTCACCTGCCAGCTCAGGTGTGTCACTGGCGGGTGTCATCAGCAGCAGGATGTCAATCGCCCACTTCAGGTGGAATGTCACGTCTTCCATAGGAAACTGTTTGTAATACAGCCACTCGCTGAATTCCATGATGTACTCAACTTTTTGCCACTCGCTCTCTGGCTTCTTTGGGATGAAACAAAAAAGGACAGAAGAGACCTGTGCTTACCACTCAGCATCCCAAACACTGAAACGGAGGGTGTCTTCTGGAAGCAAGTGTGTGCACAGACCCCGCCTCCACCGCGGCGGGACCCTCTAGCGGGACATCTGCTGTCCACACTCGTTAGAACCTTTCCGTTGCTGATAGTTTTGTCCCAAGACCAAAGCCTCGCAGATCTCTCCGGGCCCTCCACTCCCTTTGTGGGCCTGCCTGCCGGGCCTGCCCCTTCTGGCCCCCAGGCCTCCTGAGTCAGGCTGTCTTCAGTCTGTACCCAGCTTTGTTTCCTAAGGCACTCATTCAAATGTGTATGTGAGGCACTCTCTGGATGGTTCTGTGGTTAACCAGAGCTCCCGGGGTCAGGGAAGATGCTGCTCTGTCCAGCAGGCAGCCCCAGAGTCCAGCCCAAGGCCTGGCCCATGCACAAACTGGGTCACAAATCACTGCACCAGGGAGTGGAGCTGCTCCCCGGCCCTCACAGAGCAGAGCCAGCCCAGCCGATGGCACCTCTACCTTCCACCCCCCCCCCGGCCCCACGCCCCCGCCCCAAACACCATACTCCACACCTGACCCTCAGGCAAGTGGAGGGGAAGCTGCCATCTGTGGGGCGGGGAAGGCAGGAAGGGGGAGGGTGGTGCCGAGGAGCAGGAGTTTGACTTTGGGTGCTGGGTTGACACATGGTAAGATGGAAGGGGGAGGGGGCAGTGGGACATGTGAGGTGAAGGTGGAAGGGGGTCCAGGCTACACACTACGTTGTGAGGAGACTCAGGGTAGAGGTCGTGTTTAGCCCAGGAGCCTGGCTGAGATCGTCAAGGTGGGAGGATTGTGGATGGAGCCCTGAGCCCCTGCCCTCCGCCTCAGTAAGTGGTGGGGGAGGGAGGAGTGAGCGAGAGGCAGGTGGACGTGGGAGCCCAGTGAAGGAAGCCTGTCGGGGGGGGGACAGGGCAGGTGGGGCCTCAGGACCCCCATGGCTGTCTCAGTGGCTTTGGCTAGAGTTCTGCAGGAGACCTGGAGAGGGTGAGAGCTGGGTTGGAGTGTTTATGACACAACCATCATCTTCCCAACAAATGGGGCTGGGAAAACAGGGCATCCACATGCTCACACCAGCCACAGTGTGACTCCAAGTGGATCAAAGATTCAATGTAGGACCTGCAGCAATGAAGCTCCTACAACAAACACAGGAGTAGATCTTCATGACCTTGGACTACAGGACAGCTTCTTGGATACCGTCCCATAAGCATAAGCAACAAAAGAAGAAATAAATTGGGCTTCATCAAAACTATAAACTTTTGTGCTACAAATAATATCATCAAGAAAGTGAAAAAGTGGCTGAAAAAACAACACAGAGAGAAAAAATTTACAAGTCTTGTATCTGATAAGGGGTCGTGCCCAGGATGCACAAGGAAGTCCTACAGTTCAACAATAAGAAGACAAACAACCAAATTAAAAATTGGGCAAAGCATCTGAATAGACATTTTTCCAAAAAAGATAGACACGTGGCCAATACATGCATGAAAATACATGCATTAGTCACCCGGGAAACATGATGAGACAGCGCCGTCATCCGCCAGGACGATACAACCAGGCGGCCAGGTGACAGTGTTGCCCAGGCATGGAGAGACTGGAGCGCTCTCCGCCACAGCTGGTGGGAAAGTGCTCCTGGAAGGTTGGGTGGAGATCGGCGCGGCCCCACAGTTACACTGTTCGGGCTGTGCCCAAAAGAAATGTGACCACGTGTCCACACAGAGCTATTCGCAATAATTAAACATGGAAAGAACACAAACACCCGTCCGATGGAAGACTCTCAGCCCTGAGCGTGAAGGAAGCTCGGACACAGCCTATCACACAAGGCCTGGACACATTATGCCAAGTGGAAGAAGCCAGTCACAACGGACACACCTTGTGCGACTGCACTTTCGTGAAATGTCCACCCAGACAAACCCTTATGGACAGAAAGTGGACTGGCGGCTCCCTGGGGCTGGCGGTGGGGAGAACAGTGAGGGCAGATGGACCGGGTTTCTGGGTTGTGATGGAATATTCTAACGTTGACCTTAGTGATGGCTGTGTGACCCTGTGTATTTACTAAAAACGTTTTGTACCCCTGAGAAACAGAAAGCAAGGGAGGAAGGGACTTGGGGTCGGGGGGACAGAGAGCCTTTGCAAGGAGCCTGGTGCCTTTCTCTGGAGCGGTGGGGTCCACCCTGCCTGGTCCCAGTGAACCTGGCAGGGACCTTGGTCTTCACTGACCACTCAGCGTTGACCACACAGAGCAGCGTCTTGACCCATCCCCAGTTAACGCCTTCCCGAGAGACACGCCACCCCTGGGACCCTGGCTCAGTCGAGGAACCTCACGGCAGGATTTGCTCCATGAGAGACGTTCTGTGTAACAGATATTTGGTGCCGGTGCATCTGACAGGGCTTCCTTGTCCTTCCGCAAGTCCCACCTGCTCTGCCGCCACGCCAGGCACCTCCCCTCCCCCGAACCTGCCCCCAAGTCACTCGCAGTCCGTCTTGGTTCTGGTTGGGGTGGGGAGTCTCAGAAGGCTGCAGAGCCCTGCTCCGTCCGTAGCCCAGTCCAGCCTTGGGCGTCCCCCCTTGGGTGGGCTTCACCCACTCCCCCCACAGTATCTCCCCTGCAGCAATACGGCGCCCCACCCACACAGGGACCTTGTCCCTCCACGCTGGGAAGGGGCGACGGAAGACAGGCGTCTGTCTACTGCCCCTGACTCATCAGAAAGGCACGTCCCCTCCCGTGGCTCCTCTGCTGGGCAAGGTCTTCCTTGGGGTGCCTCCCACGCAGCTGCCCAGGGGCTCAGCCTCCCTCCACGGGGCCACATCCATACCCGAGAGGCTGAGTCACCACCACCCAAAGCTCCTCAGTCGGACCTGCAAGGCTTGGATGGCGTTGTGGTAGCAGACCAGCTCTCCGGAGACACTCTTCGAGTTCAAGGCCAGACGGTGCCACATGTGTGCCAAATAATCCTCGCTTTCGTCTTTGAATTTCTGTATTTCCATTGTAAAATTCTGGCCAAGTTTGGCCTTCACAATGACCATATGTTTAAAAATCAAGCTAGAAAGAACCAAAAGAGATGCTTGAATGATAAACAAATACAGATAATGCTCCTAAAACTAAGGAATCTGTGTTCCTTTTCCTACTTACAAAGACAAAACAGAATGGAACCTCAGTTCCTTGGCATTTGCGTGGGTTGTGTTTTAAATCCCCACCCTTCTTGTGTTGAATTCCCAGTGGGGAAATAAAGTCATCTGTGGGAATGGGAACGTGGCGGTGGGCACCGGTGGGGCGAGCAGGGGAGGGCGGCTCTCCGGGAGCGGTGCAGACAGGCGCGGGGTCCTGGGTGTCCTGGGGCGGGAGGGCGGGGGGTCCCTGCGGGGCGGGCCCCCCGGGGCTCCCGGAGGGGAGGAGCACTCACAGGCGGGGGTCCCTGGGGGGTGGGGGGGGTGGGGGGGGTGGGTCCCTGGGGGGCGGGGCTCCCTGGGGGCGGGGCTCCCGGAGGGGGGGAGCACTCACAGGCGGGGGTCCCTGGGGGGCGGGGGTCCCTGGGGGCGGGGCTCCCGGAGGGGGGGAGCACTCACAGGTGGAGGTCCCTGGGGGGCGGGGGTCCCTGGGGGGCGGGGCTCCCTGGGGGCGGGGCTCCCTGGGGGCAGGAGCACTCACAGGCGGGGGTCCCTGGGGGGTGGGGGGGGGTGGGGGGGGGTGGGTCCCTGGGGGGCGGGGCTCCCTGGGGGCGGGGCTCCCGGAGGGGGGGAGCACTCACAGGTGGAGGTCCCTGGGGGGCGGGGCTCCCTGGGGGCGGGGCTCCCTGGGGGCAGGAGCACTCACAGGCGGGGGTCCCTGGGGGGTGGGGGGGGGTGGGTCCCTGGGGGGCGGGGCTCCCTGGGGGCGGGGCTCCCTGGGGGCGGGGGACCCTGGGGGCGGGGCTCCCGGAGGGGAGGAGCACTCACAGGCGGGGGTCCCTGGGGGGTGGGGGGTGGGTCCCTGGGGTGCGGGGCTCCCTGGGGTGCGGGGCTCCCTGGGGGCGGGGCTCCCGGAGGGGGGGAGCACTCACAGGTGGAGGTCCCTGGGGGGCGGGGGTCCCTGGGGGGCGGGGCTCCCTGGGGGCGGGGCTCCCTGGGGGCAGGAGCACTCACAGGCGGGGGTCCCTGGGGGGTGGGGGGGTGGGTCCCTGGGGGGCGGGGCTCCCGGAGGGGAGGAGCACTCACAGGCGGGGGTCCCTGGGGGGTGGGGGGTGGGTCCCTGGGGGGCGGGGCTCCCTGGGGGCGGGGCTCCCTGGGGGCGGGGCTCCCTGGGGGCGGGGCTCCCGGAGGGGAGGAGCACTCACAGGCGGTGCGCGGTCCGCGGCAGCATCTGCACAGCCTCGTCCAGCACCTTGAGGCCGCCCTCCCAGTCGCCATGGTCGGCGTGGCAGTGGAAGAGCAGGCCATAGAGCGCGGCGCGGAGCGTCAGGTCGTCCTCGGCCCCTGCAGTGGGAGAGGGGCCTGTGTGGACAGCAAGGCTGGGGTGCCCGTGGAGCTCTCTCAGCACCACCCCCGAGGCGGTGGACGCACCGAAGGGCAAGTGCGCTGCGTCTGTCCTGCGCGTCGGCAACCATGTGGGCCCGACAACCACCCTCCGGCCAACACGCCGCCCGTCTGTGGGGAGCAGGGCCGCGTGACGTCGGTCCTTTAGGCCCGGTCACTCAGAAGAGGCTCATCAGGGGCTCACTGTCCCTGCAGCTGCCCCACTGAGCCTTCTCCACCACGTGCTTCCAGAGCACCTCCCGGCCCCCCCTTGAGCTTGCTCAAACTCTGCGACCTCCAAGCCCTTTCTGTTAGTCTCTGTAACTCTAGAAACAGACACTGCGAGCACGAGGGAAGAGGAATCCGTTCCTGGCAGCCTTAGGCAGCACCGTTAGGAGTGGGAGCACCCTGCGGAGGGAGAGACCAGGCCGTCTTGTTGACTTGCCACCGAACACGCCACAGCACTGCCCAGCTTCAGTGCCCCGTTGTCCCACGTGAGCAGAGGCCCCGCCGTGGGCACAGGACACTCAGGGGGCTCTATTTTACATCACTGACCATGTAGCTTTCTTTCCCTGTTTTGAATTGTTGGAGCAGATGAAGAGCATGCCCGGGGATCCTGCCACCCACACGCCACATTGCGTGGGACCTGTGGGCCCCCTGTGGCCTCTCCACGGCCGGTGCGTGGGGTCTCAGTATACAGGTGTCCCCGCTGTCCACGCCCAGGAGCAGGTAGATTCAGGCACATGACTGGACAAGCTGGTCAACCTCTGAGACTGGGGTAGCAAGGGCTGCTGATGTCTGTCATTTCAGTGCTGACTAGGTCAGGGGTCCTGCCTTTCCTCTGCCTCTCCCTGATCCATGCCAAGGAGCAGCATCCTCCCCGATCCACAGTCATGCTCATGTCTTTGGACCACTGGCCGCTTTTCCAGTCCACCCATGGAGGCCTGTGGCAGAGACCCTGCCAGCCGTCGCCTGTGGGCACTGGGACCCTCCTCCTCTTCCACCCCTTCCCCCTGCAGGTCCTGCCAGGGGGGGCCTCGGGATGCAGGGAGGCCTGCAAGTCCCCACCAGGGAGACCAGTGCCGTGTGGGGCCAAGCCTCTCAACTCTCGGGCTACTTTTTTACCACAGCACGGCATAGCCCATCCTGACTAATACAACTGCATCTCACAGAAGTTATTCATTTAGCTCCCAAATTTGGTGAAAATATCTTCCCAGTGTTTACTTTTTGATTTTCTGTATTTCTCATTATTCTCATTTAAATTTTTGTACATTTGAAGATGTGAGTCTCTGCTCACTTTAAAGTTTAAGAAGTAATCTTCCCACAAAACACTTGCCATGCTCAATTCTACTTTCTGATTTTTCCCCAACACATTTTGAATTTTTACTACTACTCAACTGCTTACCCTATTTGACATTTGGTGCTTATTTCAGGGCGTGGAGTTCAGTGTGCACTCAACCTGCACGGTCTCCCAGTGGTGCTGTATTCTAGCAGGCAGACTAGCTCTGCACCGGGCGCCAGTTTCTGCCATCTATGGGAACTGCTGGGGTTTAGTACTCAACTTAATATTTAATTACACAGGGTCATATTTTTTTGTTCATTATTTTAAATCAAGTTTCTCTCTCCAAATAGACCTGAAGTTCTCAGGGAGGGGAGACTGTTGTCCTAATCCCCAGCATTTACACTCCCCAACAGACAATGTGTCCCTTATGGTAAGTGATGATTATTTTTTTAGCAGAATTAAACATGAATTCTTAAATAGTGTTTTACTGTTCTAAGTTCAGTTTGTGTTTTGTTTTTGTTTTGCAAGTCTACATCTCCACATTTCTTTAAGGAAGAGGAAGAATATGATCTATCTGCCAGAGTAACCCAGAGGCTGGGTTTCACGGCAGCCCCTAGGCTGAGAGTACCTGCCCTGACCCAGGGGGGCCCTGGACGGTGGGCCTCTAGGCTTTGGTGTCCTTGTGCACACAATGGGGATTCCATGAAGTTGTTGCTCATCACACCCCAAGCACTGAGCATTCACTCTCTGTGGTCACCGTCCTGATTAAGCGGCTTCATACAAGGCCTGATTAAGCGGCTTCATACAAGGCCAGCACTGAACACTTCCCTTTCCTCGTGCCTGTGGCCATGTCTGTCTTGTGTCTACAAACCTGGGAGAAAATGACCTTCTGTCATCCCTCCACTGTGGAAGTCCGCCGTAGGCCACTGGTGCAGAATCAGCACTTTCCCTTTTCCCTGAAGTAAAAACAGAGAAACAATACATACGTTTGAAAGTTGCGATTTATTCTTTGACCATTTGGATGTTTATTTGGCCCTGCATCTCATTACAGAAATTGCAACTAAATTTCTGAAATACTAAGTCATAAAACGTGAAGTCACATTTCACCCGTAAGAGAAAGCTCCCCAGTGCAAACGAGAACACACACACACAGACCACCTCCAACGTAGCCTGCAGCTTTTTTAATGACATAAAGCATCCAAATCCATTTTAGAGCTTGAAATCAATGGGACCAAAAGCACATTAGAAAAAACTTATAAGAGGCATGCCTGGGTGGCTCAGTCAGTTAAGAGTCTGACTGTTGGATTTCAGCTCAGGTCATGATCTCAGGGTCCTGGAATCGAGCCCCACGTCAGGCTCCATGCTCAGCAGGGAGTCTTCTTGGTATTCTCTCTCTCTGCCCCTCCCCCTGCTTGTGCATGCTATAAATAAATAAATAAATAAATAAATAAATAAATAAATAATAACTTGTAAGATACAGCAAACACAGTGCTCAGAGGGAAATTTATAGCTGCAAATGCCTACATGGAAAAGGAAGAAAGATCTCAAATCAACAACCTAACTTTATACCTTAAGGAACTAGAAAAAGAACAAACTAAACCCAAAGCCAGCAGAAGGCAGGTAAAGATTAGAGCACAGATAAACAAAATAGAGATTGGAAAAATAACAGAGAAAATCAGTGAAAAGATCAAGAAAATTGACAAAACTTTAGCAAGACTAACAAAGAGGAAAAGAAAGCAGACACTAAAATCAGAAGTGAAAGTGGGAACATTACCACCAACCCTGGCGAGATAAAAAGGATTCTAGGAAACTCTGTGGGCCAGTGTGCACCGAATATTAGACGACCAGGAGAAATGGGCCAAAATCTTGAAACATGCACATTGCCTAAGCTGACTCAACAAGAAATGGAAAATCTTAACAAACGTTGAGTAGAGACTGAATCAATAATCAGAAACCGTCCAATAAGGAAAAGTCCTGGACCCAATGGCTCACGGGTGGATTCTACCAGACGTCTAAACAATTGACACTAATCCTCTTCAACTCTTCAAAACACCAAAGGGAAAGAAATACTTCCACGCTGATTCTGACACCAGCATTACCTTGATAGCAAATCCAGACAAACACATCACAAGAAAAATCACAGACCAATATCCATTATGAATAGAGATGAGGCAAAAATCCTCAATAAAATTTAGCAAATCAAATCCAACAGTATAGTAAAAATATTATTCACCATGACCACGTGGGGTTCAACCCAGAAATACAAGGGTGGTTCCATCACATTAATAAAAGGAAGGAGAGGGGCGCCTGGGTGGCTCAGTTGGTTAAGCGACTGCCTTCGGCTCAGGTCATGATCCTGGAGTCCCGGGATCGAGTCCCGCATCGGGCTCCCTGCTCGGCAGGGAGTCTCCTTCTCCCTCTGACCCTCCTCCCTCTCATGCTCTCTGTTTCTCATTCTCTCTGTCTCAAATAAATAAATAAAATCTTTAAAAAAAAAAAAAATAAATAAAAGGAAGGAGAAAAACTACATGATCATCTCAACTGATGGAGAAAGGTATTTGACAAAATCCAAAAGTTTTCATCATAAAATCTCAGAAAACTAGGAATAATGGGAACATTTCTCAACACATAAAGTGTATTTATCAAAAACCCACAGCTGACATTGTGCTCAGTGATAAGCAACTGAAGCTCCCTCCTAAGATCAGGAACAAGATGAGGATGCCTGCTTTCACTGCTGCTGTTCAATATTCTCCTGGAAATTCCAGCCAGATTTATAGACAAGAAAAAGAATAAAAGGTATCCTAATTGGAAAGAAGAGGTAAAACTCTATTCACAGATGACATGATCCTATATATAGAAAATCCCGAAGAATCCCCAAGAAAATCATTAGAGCTAATAAATCAATTTAGCAAAGCTGCAGGACATGATGCAACAGTCAGTTGTTTTTCTATGTATCAGCAACGAACAATCCGGAAAGGAAACCAGGAAAGTGCTGTGGACTTACTTGTGTCCCCTCTCCACCACCAAATTCACAGGTAGGAGCCCTCGTCCCCAGCGTGCTGCTATTTAGGGGGTAATTAGGATAGATGAGGCCATGAGGGGGAGGGTCCTCACAAGACGAGACAGCAGAGATCTTGCTCTGTCCCCATACTGCCCCCAGAGGAGGACAGAGCAAGAACGCAGATGGATGCAAGACCCAAGAGGGCCTTCATCAGAACCTGACCATGCTAGTTCCCTGGTCTTGGACTTCCAGACTCCAGAAGAACATGAAACAAATTTCTGTTGGTTAAGTCACCCAGTCACGCAGCATTTTGTTATGGCAGCCAAAGCTAAGACAGAAAGCAATTTCTTTCTTTTTTAAAAAATTTTATTGTTATGTTAATCACCATACATTACATCATTAGTTTTTGAGGTAGTGTTCCATGATTCATTGTTTGTGCATAACACCCAGTGCTCCATGCAGTATGTGCCCTCTTTGATACCCACCACCAGGCTAACCCATCCCCCCACCCACCTCCCCTCTAGAACCCTCAGTATGTTTCTCAGAGTCCATCGTCTCTCATGGTTCGTCTCCCCGTCCGATTTCCCCTCCTTCATTCTTCCCCTCCTACTTTTTTTTTTTTTTTAGCAATTTCATTTATACTAGCACCTAAAAGAATTAAATACATCCAAAGAGGTGAAAGACGTATCTGCTGAAAACTATGAAAACATTCTTGGAAGAAATTAAGGAAGACCTATATGAATGGAAAAACATCCATGTTCATGGATAGAAAGTCTTAAAAATGTTAAACTGTACACACCACCCAAAGTGATCTACAGATTTAACACAACGCCTCTCAAAATTCCAACACCTTTTTGGAAGAAAAGGAAAAGCCAATCCTCAAATTCATGTGGAATTGTAAGGAGCCCCCAAGTAGTCAAAACAATCTCAGAAAGGATTAATAAAGTTGGAAGGCTCACAGTTCCTGACTTCAAAATTTGCCACAAAGCTACAGTAATCAAATCAGTGTGGTCCTGGCATCAAGACAGACATACAGACCAATGGAATAGAAGAGACAGCCCAGAAAAGAACTCTCACATATATGGTGGAATGATTTTTGACAAGGATGCCAAAATCATTCAATGGGAAAAGAACAGTCTTTTCAACAACTGGTGCTGGGGGAACTGGATTTTCACATGCAATGAAATAAAATTGTCCCCCTGCTTTACAGTATATACCAATATTAACTCAAAGGGGGCTAAACATAAGAGCTAAAGCTATAAAACCCTTAGAAGAAAACATTGGAAAAATCCTTCATGACATTGGATTTGGCAATGACTCCATGGATGTGACACCAAAACTTAGGCGAAAAGAAAAAAATGATTGAATTTCATCAAAATTAAGAACTTTTGTGCATCAAAGGATACCAAGGGAGTGAAAAGGGAGTCAAACAAACGCAGGAAAAAAATCTGCAAATCTTATGTCTGATAATGATTAATATGCAGAATATACAGAGAACTCTTACAACTCAACAACAAAAAACAAACCAGTTCAAAAATGGACAAGGAACTTGAACAGATGTTTCCCAAAGAAAATATGCAGATAGCTAATAAGCACATGAAAAGATGCTCAGTATCATTAGTCATCAGAGAAATGCAAATCAAAACCACAATGAAGTATAGGGGTACCTGGGTGGCTCAGTCAGTTAAGCGTCTGCCTTCGGCTCAGGTCATGATCCCAGGGTCCTGGGATTGAGCCCCGTGGCGGGCTCCCTGCTCAGCGGAGAGTCTGCTTCTCCTTCTCCCTCCCCCTCTGACCCTCTCCCCACTGGTGTGCTTGCTCTCTCTCTCCCTCTCAAATAAATAAATAAAATCTTAAAAAAAAGAAAACCCACCACAATGAGGTACCACTTTATACCTACTGGGATGGGTATAATTTTTTTAATGGGAAATAACAAGAGTTGACAAGGATGTGCTGTGGGAATGTACAATGGTGCAGGTGCTGTGGAAAACAGTTTTGCATTTCTTCCAAAGATTAAACACAGAACTACCATATAAACAGCAATTCCACTCCTAGGTATATGCCCAAAAGAACCGACATCAGGGACATAGAGATACTTGTACACCCATGTTCATAGCAGCACGATTCACAACAGTGAAAAGGTTGAAACAATCATGTCCATCAGTAGATGAATGGATAAACAAAAAGTGGTCCATCCATACAGTGGAATATTATTCAGTCATAAAAAAGAAGGAAATATTGACACCTACTACAACATGGATGAACCTTGAGGACACTATGCTGAGTGAAATAAGCCAGACATAGAAGGACGAATCCTGTATGATTCCACTTATATGAGGAACCTAGAGCCGTCCCATTCATAGAGACAGAAAGCAGAGCTGTTGTCTAATGGGGACAGGAGATGATGGGGATGTTGTTGGGGATGATGAAAAAGTTTCAGGTAGAGATACTGGTGATGGTCATACAACATTGTAAATATAATTAAGGTCACTGAATTGTATACTTTCAAATGGTTAAAATGGTAAATATTAAATTATGTATATTTTACCACAGTTTTAAAAAGCAAATTGGCAAAAACTGAACTTTAGGTTAAGTTTTATAAATGTCTAGACCTGGGCTTGGCAAACTTTTTCTGTAGTGCCAGATAGTAAGTACCTGTGGCTTTGTGGGTCACATGGTCTCTGTCACAATTACTCCATTCTGCTGTTGTAGCCAAGCCACAGACAAGATGTAAACGAACAGGCATGGCTCTGTCCCAATAAAACTTTATTGACAAAAACAGGAGACAGGCTAGATTTGGCTTGTGGGTGGTGGTTTGCCCACCCCTGGCTTAGACTATCAGAGGTCATTAATATCTTAGTAAGAAAATCAGAAGCATCGATCAATTTCTTGTATGAGGCTATGATTTTCAATTTTCTTCTTGCTGTCTCTTGAACAGCAGTCTCCTGGGCCAGGGACAGCCTTGGGAAGGCCCAGCTCTGGAATCAGCATAGAGGGTGGCTCCCCCATCTCGTCCTATCCCCGCCAAACCTCCCATAGCTTGTCTGGCTGCTGGCCTCTGAGGTTTTGCTGGACATATGGGCTGGACTGAGGGCTCAAGAAGCTCCGTCCATGGGCTCTGTTCCAGATGGTCTGACCACAGACCTCTGTCTGCCAAAGCCTTCGACCTGCGGGCCTTCCTTTCAGAAGGGCCCTGCTGAAAACCGCAGGTTTATAGGTATGAGTGTGGCCTTCCCTGGCAGATAGGAAAGGTGCTGCAAGCTCTGTGGGCAGCCGAGTCCTGGGGCTGGAAATCTCTAGGATGTGCGCAGGATGCACGTGGTCAGCAGGCAGATGGGGCAGCCCTCACTGACCTCCACACACCCTCTCAAGCTAAGTCTGGGCCCAGTTCTGCCGGCCTCGGGGCCAGGTGGACAGAGGGAGCTAGCCAGACAGTCCCTTTACCAAGACCACACGTGCTGGTGTGGGGTGGGCGTGGGGTGGAGTCAGGCCAGGACTTTGGCTCTTCTGTGGTTTTCCTCATCTGTCTGAGTCTACTGTTCCGTTCCCACCTCCTCCATCCTTCCTCTCTCCTGCTGGAGCTTTCTGGGTATGGGTCAGCGTTCTCTAGGAGAGGAGGGAAGGAGAGGTGGGATTTTGCCCAGCTGGGATTTTGGAGATGTCATTGTCCTCCAAGCCCCCCACTCTGCTGGCCTTCATGTTCCTGGTTTCAACTGCTCCATGGGGTCTGTCTTTCCTCGGGATCTTGCCCACCCTTTCTGGAAGAAGCCTGCCCCACCGTGGCCCCACACAACACACCTGCTTTTTCGCTTCTGTCTTGTTGATGATGCTGATGATCCTCTGTGTGACGTTCTTGGCTTTCTTCCTGTTGGCTGCAGAAGACAGGAACGGAAGCCAGGTGTTCCAATAGTGCCTCACAGCCAGCATCACCAGGGCGCTGTTCCTCGCGATGCCCCCAAACCTGAAAGGGAATTCCTGACCTGGAGAGGTGCAGACATGGATGGACAACACAGCAGCAACGTGTGAGGCTTCTGGATTTACAGGGGAGGCGGTGGGGCTGGGTGCCACAGAACACCCCATGACATGTGTGCTCCCTCCCTTTGATGGCCACGTGGTGCCCCGCTCATGCCCAAGGGGGTGGGGTGGGGTGGGGGGTCACCACAAAGGGTGAGATAGCTCTGGCCATGGGGCCACCAAGGGAGAGCCAGCCTTAGTGACAGTCCCCACTGAGCATCGTGTCCTTCATTTCATGGTCCTGCAGTCGCCATTTATCCCATGCGCAGTATGCACCCCAAACCCACTGGCCACTCAGCACAAGACAGCATACTTGGCGCTCTCTACGAAGGCCTTGGCAGCCACCAGGCGCAGCTGCTTTCTCCCCTTCAGGTTCTCCATGATGCTCCTGCCCTGGATGCAGGCTGTGGTGCTCAGCATCTCCGCCACGAGTTCAGTCTCGACCCTGGAGACAGATAAGTGCCTCACATGCAGGACGGCTCTTCAGGGGAGACAGGTGCTATGCAGAAAGGTAAACGAGCCCTGGGGGCATCCACAGTAACCTCATGAAAGGCCCCAAATCACAACTGACTGGCTGAACACAGTCAACCCACAGGACCGTGACGTGGAGTCAGGGCCTGGTGTTTTAAGTGACTCATTTGTAGACTGTTTCTGTTGTGCAATGGGTGAGCATCACAAGCCCCTCTGCCCTGCTCCCCCATAGGATGGCCGAGCACCCCCAGGAACAATGGAGCTCCATTCCCTGTGCCCCAGTGAGTGTGGTCTCAGAGGGCCTCCACCGTGTGCCAAGAGCCCAGTCCTATGAGTTTCTGACTCAAAGCAACGTCAAGAATGCCGTGTGATCCATTCTCCCTCAGTGTTTACTATCCTAGCCACACCGTGGCTTGTGCACATACAACACCACGTACACTAAGATGTCACCCCCTGTCCAGGGCTGGAGGGGAGCAAACCCCTGAAACTCACTCAGGGGGCACTGGACTTATTCTGGGAGAAATATGCTGGTTCCTGGGCAGACTCCCTCCATGGGCCACCTGAGTCTTTATTTTTGAAGTGTCTCTTGATAATAGCTTCTAGTTGGGTCTTACTTATTGTATCCAGTGGGATAACCCCTGCATATTTAACTAGAGTGCTGGTCCATTTACATTTAGTAGATTCAGGGATGTGGTTGGGGTTGAATCTTCCATTATTCTTTGCTTTCCTTTCAGCCCCTATGTCGTTTCTTTCCTCCCCTCTTTTGGGTTAATTGAATATTTTTTAGTATTCCATTTTGTCTTCTCTATTGGATTTTTAGTAACACTTTTTTTTTTTAATCATGTTTGAGGATTTGCTCTAGAGATTACAACATACATCCTTAACTAGCACAGTCTAGCTTGGATCAGTGTTCTACCATTTCACAGGTGATGTCAGAACTCTTAACAGTATACTTCTATGTACCTCATTCCTATCATTTGTGTTATCATTGTCATGCATTTTACTTCTACATTTATTAATAATCCCACAATTCAATGTACTTTGGTTTTAAACAGGCAAATGTCTTTTAAAGAACTGAAGAACTGAGGGTGAAAGCCTTTTATATTTACTTACACATTCACCACTTTGGGTACTCTCCATGGCTTCTTGGACCAGCTTTCCACCTGCTATCATCTTCCTTTAGCCTGAAGAATTTCTTTTGGCATCTCTTCTAGGAATGGATTATCTTACCTTCAGTTTATCTTAACACGTCTTGATTTTGCCTTCATTTTCTGAAGGCTATTCTTGGACATGGAATTATAGACAGGTTTTTCTTTTTCACACTTAAAGTGTTAGGCAGTCTGCATTGTTTCTGCTGAGAAGTCTGCAGTTTTAACCTTGCTTTCCTATATGTCATGCATCTGTTTGCCTTCTGACTTCTTTCCAATGATTTCTCATTACCTTTGGTCTGCAGCAACCTGACTACAGTGAAAATAGGTGTGGTTTTCTTTGTGTTTATCCTGCCTGGAGTCATTGAAAGTCTTGGATCTCGGGCTCCCTGGTGGCTCAGTTGGTTAAGCGACTGCCTTCGGCTCCGGTCATGATCCTGGAGTCTCTGGATCGAGTCCCGCATCGGGCTCCCTGCTCGGCAGGGAGTCTGCTTCTCCCTCTGGCCCTCCCCCCTCTCATGTGCTCGCTCTCATTCTCTCTTTCTCAAATAAATAAATAAAATCTTTAAAAAAAAAAAAAAAGAAAGTCTTGGATCTCTGGGTTGATGTTTTTAACTGAATTTGAAAAAATGTAAACTAGTCTATCTTCAAATATGTGTATTTCTGCCTCCCTCTCTTGCCTCTGTCCCGAGACTCCCATTACATGTGTGTTAGGCCACTTGATTATGCCCCACATGTTGCTAAAGTTCTGTTCATTTTGCTTTTCTGTCTTCCCTGTGCTTTTGTTTCAGTATTCTGTTGACCTGCATTCAGAGTTACTTATCACATTTTCAGTGTTCACACGTTAAGCTCTCCAGTAATATTTCCAGATACTGAATTTGTCAGTTCTAGAATTTCCACTTAGTTCTTTATTACAGTTTTCATTTCTTTGTTGAAATCCCCCACTTGTATACTAGTTTTAGTTTTAGTTTTTCCACTAAAAATATATTCTTGTATTTAGAATGGTTGTTTTAATTTAAATTTTAAATTTGTTGTCTAATTCCAAAATTTGTGCCATATATGGGTCTGTTGACAGTTTCTATTCTATTTTTTTAAAGATTTACTTATTTTTATTTCAGAGAGAGAGAGAGAAAGTGTGAGCAGGAACAGGGGAGAGGGGCAGAGAGAGACAGACAAGCCCCCCCCAGTTTGGGGCTTGATCCCGGCACCCTGGGATCACGACCTGAGCCAAAAGCAGATGCTTAACCCACTGAGCCATGCAGGCGTCCAACTGTTTCTATTCTATTGACTGTGTTTTCTCCTTGCATGGGAGAACACTTTCTTGTTTTCCCATGTGTCTAGTAATTTTTTATCTTAACGCTGGACACTGTAAGGGCTCTACTGTTGAGAGTATACTGTTGGGAGTGTGGATGATGGTTGCCTTCCTTTAAAAGAAGGTTGGGTTTTGTTCTGACAGGCAGTTAATTTACTGCTCAGCTTATCAAGATTGGAATGAGGCTTTTTAGGGCAAGTCTACGGTAGCCCTTATAGCCCTATTCCTAAGGTGTGATCTTTTTGAATGCCTGGCAAGTTCCATGAAGCCTCCCTGACTCTTGTTGGTCAATTCCACCATCTCTTTTTAGCTTAGAGACCACACCTCAGTGCCTGTGAGCACACACGCTCTGTACAGTAACCTCCTCTCTCACATCATATCCTGTAAATGTCAGCTGCCTTAGCAGCCCCCGGCATGGATCCCTGTTTTACCCCAGTATGTTTTCTGTCTGGCCTCCACTCCCCAGCGCTGGTGTTTGAACAGTCCTCCAACCCCACCTGGAAGAAAGTAAGGGTGAATGTGGAGACAGCCCACTTTTGATGTTCCCTTCTTGCAAAAATTTCTGCTTTGGACCATCTGTTGTCCAATGCCTGAAAATGATTATTTCATGTATTTTGTTGAGCTCTACAGTTTTGGTTTTTTTTTTTTTTTTTTTTTTTTTCCGCAGAACAAGAGTATATTATCCGTTACTGTATCATGGCCAGAAATGTAGAAAAGGAACTTTCAAATTTGTATAAAGACCCAACACTGACGATTATGTTAAATAAAAATGTTGAACAAAGTAGAAATGTCCCAAATATTCGTAGACTACTTCCTTTTAACCTATTTTGTGGCTATTTTAGGGATCCACATGAAATTTCTTATTAATGTATATTCCTTTACATTGATAGTGTGAATGTGAAAATTAATCTGGTAATTAAACACTCAAAGGTGAAAATACTTATTGATTAGTAACTGTATTATTTTTCACTAAAAACTAAAAATTATTTTTACTATTTAATATGAAGTGCTATTATAAAATTACTCTGTGACCAATGCCACACTAGAGTTTCTTCATATAACTTGCAAAACGGAAAAATTAGCACAAAAATTTGTAATATGTGTAATTAAAAGAAAAAAGAATCATCTGCAGTGCATGCCATGTGGCTGAGTGTGACCATGTACCCTGCTTGCCCGGGCACAGGGTCCAGTGCTCTGAGTGCCCAGCAAGATCACTACAAAGCGTGGCATGTCTTACAGAGCCAAGGACCACTGCTGTGCGCCTCTCCAGCCGCCTAGCATGGAGTAGCGTCCCTAGACACAGCTAGCACCCCGCTGTGGTTGGATGAAGGGCGAGAAGCCCAGCCAAAGCCAGGCCAGACGGGCAATTCCACCGCGTGCAGTGACAGTGGTGACCACTAGAGGGCAGCGACGTTCTACAAATGTTTTCAAAAGTCAGCCTGGAAATTGGAAATTAAATTTTTATAGAACCTGTATTTCCCTATTACTCTATGTATATATTTATATTTTTATCTTAGTATGAGATTTATCATTCTAAAATAAAACTCAGCTTAAGAATCACTGACGAAGAATGGCGAAGCCAGGGCACACGTACTTTTACCTGCCGCGTCCTCCTGACCGGCCTTCGGCCAGCAGCGAAGGACCTTTTAGCCCGACTACAGGACGCACGCAGCAGCACTCAACTCAAGTACCGCCTCCTTCTGTAACAATGTCTTCGCAGTTTCTCTTTTCACGATAACGTCTGAACTGTTATCAAAGTGGCGCCTGCACGTGCTCAGGAATAACTACCTCCCACCTGGCTCCCAGCGCTGTTCCCCAGACGGAATGACTTCTAAACACTCAGCCCAGTCCTCCAGCAGGCATGCGCTTGCCTCTAAAACCCTGGCATCTCACTTGATTCCCAACGTGCCGACCTCACACGTCCCCCGGGGGAGCTCTTACAATGATCCACGGAAGCTTAACTTACTCAGACCCTCCAACCTACGAGTACGGCTGATTACAGCATTATTTTAATTCCCCTATTTATCATCTTTGTACCTGAAAATACTATGCTAGCTCCAGGTCTTGAGGACCCTGAGCCGGTGACACTTGACTGCTCACCTTCTCGGGCAAGGACGTTATCCCATTCTCCTCCCTTCCGGACACGCCCCTCCCCTACTAAAGCGTGTCGTCTGCACTTTCCCTTTTGTATTGTCAAAACTGGTAACAGTTAGTTTTCGCTAAGTAATCACAAAGAGGTTTCCTTTGTCAAAATGTTAATCCTAAAACTAAAGTATCAGTGAACACCGTGATAACGTGAATGTTCTTCACTGAGGAGTCAAGCTGTGTATGACTTAATGTGTCTTCTGGAGTTTCCAACTGGCTTTCTCTCCATTGTATTATTTTCCTTTACCACAACACCTTGGGTCGTCTGTCTTCCCTGCCCTTAACTCGCCAGGCCCTCCTCCATCCTGCTCCAGTTTAGGCAGGTGGCTCTCTCAGCTAGCAGCGCAGCTTGACAACTTTTCTGGGTTGAATCTATTATTTCCAACATCCCACATTTTCCTCTTTTTTTGGTTTATTCCCTTGTTTTTCTAGAGCATATCCTTCAAGGAACTTTCTAAAAACAGGTGTGTGGGACATATATATTCTAGGTCTCTGTCCATCTAAAAATGGCTTTCCACATCCATGGACTTGACTGATAGTTTGGGTGAATTAGAATTCTAGGCTCAAAATTATTTTCACCTAGAAAGCTCCATTTTTCCTCTACCTTCCAGTGATGGGTTCTCAGAAGCCTGTCGCACTTCTGTCTCCTGCGACCTTGTTGGACCCTCCATCTGTGGTGACTCGACGTGTCCCCGTGGTCTGCACGTGAGGGTCTCTTTGCTCCCCTTGCTGCTCATTGGTGGCAGGGCCGCTCACGAGGTGGGCCGTGCGCCTGGGGCCTCTCCTCATCACCCCCCACTCAAACTTCTTTCTCAAGAGCACTCTGCTCCTTCTGGAGTTCCAAAAGTTAAATGTCCCACGTGTCTTCTGGCTTCTGTCACGCTTTCTGTACGTCTGTCCTTCTTCATCTACTTCCTGCGAGATTTCTGCTCAAGAGATCTCCGGTCCTTCATTATTCCTTTTCCACAGCAACACTGTGCTTTAGCTCTTAAATGCTGCACCTTTCCAGATATGTTGAGGGGTTTTCTTGATGTCCTCTGATCGTTGTGCAGTCGTGCATCAGAGTAATTTTCCCTATTTAAGAGCGTGGCTAAGATGCTGCTGGGGAGCTCTCGGTACATGGCTTCGGCCCATCTGCTGACGGGCACAGCCTTACGCTGGTTGGCGGAGAGCTGGTGGCGGGTGGAGCACCGATGCCCTGCCCGGGGCCAGACTTCCGGCAGCAGCCAGGAGCTCTGTCCGGGCTGCTGCACATCCTGTCTCAGCCCATGGGTGCTGGCGTGGGCTGAGGCCAGCAGCACGCAGCCTGCTTGCAGCCCTCGAGCTGCTTGGCCAGAGACCGCCCCTCCGTCCCCACCCGCTGCACGGCAAGCCTGGGTGGGAAGTCGCAAAGTTACTCTCATTACAGATTGTTGAGAAAAAATAATGTCTGGCCTCAGCACCGTCCACACTATTTTAGAGGAAGGGTCACTCGTGATGGAAAGCCCCTCAGTGCTGGTGGTGAGAAACGACAGGCCCCATCATCACCTTTGCTTTCCCAGGGAGCCTTTCTGACGTCCCCACGGCTGGGGGATGGTGGGCACGGGCATCGTGGGCAAGGCTGGCAGGCACATGTCCCAAACGCTCAGGTCCTCGGGGGCTTAGTCAACCGCGTGCCCGTAGATTGCGGCTCCTACCACTTTCCAGGAGCCCTCGCCCTCCGCCCGCCCACCTTTCCTCCCCTCTCGTGGGGAAACCTCATCCAGCTCCACCTCATCCCAACAGATGTTCACGGCTTGGGCACTCGGGAGACCTATGCCTCAGCTTCTGGTGACCGCTGGGCCTCAGAGGCGCAGCCCTGAGCTCCGGGCTCCCTCGGGGCGGCCCTGTCTTGACGGGTCATGCAGCCCAGGGTCCTAGGCGTCCACCCTGACTTTCCCTGTGGGGCCACCTTGTCACCTGCTCTGCTATCCGCTAGGTTGGGCCAGTGCCTGCAGCCCCCCAGCTTTACGGCCACGTGGCCGCCCCTGGAGCGAGCTTCCTGTGCCCCCGTGGGCCCTCTTCACGCTGGGTCTCCTGCCTCGACCTGCTACTCCCCCATGCCAGGCCTCTGCACTAGAGCGTCCCGTCTGAGGAGGGCGGGCCCTGGTGGGCACACACCACTCCAGCCCGGTCTCTACGCTGCAGCCCCCCGGGGGAAGGGGTCTAACGGAAAGTCGGCGGCTGAAGCGCGAGACTCTGTCTTCTGTTCTCGGGGCAGCTGGTGCTCACGCAGGCTCTCAGAACGGGAGCTGCCCCATGATGTCTGACTCTGGAGGAAGTTACGTAAACTAACCAAATATGAGGGTTCCTAGTCCAATTCAGATGGTTTTCCCAGGACTTTCCAGGAACGGACCTCACTCCTTGGGCCCAGGCCCTCAGAGCCCCCCCGTGGGTGGGGGGCCTCTCCTACTGCCCTGCGGCCTGGGGGCTCCCGTCACCCTGTGCTGCGCCCAAACTTGGGGACGCGCACTCACAGGGGCCATGGCTGACTCTTCTGGAAGCTTCCGGCGTGCTCCAGCTGACAGAGTGGGTGCCATGCTCACATCCGAGAGGCAGTGTCCGTGGTCTCTGGGAACGTGGGCTTGTAGAACCAGACGCCTGGGCCCAGGCCCAGCTCTGCACCTGCCGGCAGGGTGGCCTCAGGCCGGTGGTGTGGCCTCTACCTGCCTCAGTTTCCCCCAGCAAAGTGGGAGCCATGGTGCCTACCAGACAGCGGCTCCTGGGAGTGAATGAGGCAACGCCGCAGAGCCCCTCGGGTGCCCGGTGCCCGTGGTGCACCAGCCTCCACCGGCCCCTGTGCTGAGGCCCTGGCCACGGGCCGGCCGGGGTGTGAAGACACCTCAGGGGGCATTCGCCTGTTGGCCCCCAAACTCACATCGGGCGTGTCTGACGCAGGCTGTGGAGCTGCCACTGAGACGTGGCGGAGGCGTCCCCGTCCCCGGGAGTCGGAGTGAGAGACAGACCACCCCCAGCTCCCAATCACGCTGCTGCAGCCTGGGACGGGGCCACGGCCCGAGGCTGGCATCACGGGGCTGGCAGGCACACCTGGGATCTGGCCTCGGACAACCAGACCTGCTGTTTGGCCACCGCGAAGGTCTTCATACCCTCAGGTCAGTGATTTCGTTGTTTTCAGGAAATAACCCGAAAAGGAACCTCAAGGGAGGCTGTCTTTACCTCAGAAACATTTACAACAGCCACAGGCCACCAGCATCACCGTGGCCTGTGGGGAGCGGGGAGCGGGCAGCGACCCTGAATGTACGTGGCCTCGTCACAGTTCCCGGAATCAAAGCTCTGGGTCCCTCGGGAACGGCAGACGGCCGATCCGGGAGCCCCTTTCCGCCTCCGTGCCTGTCCCGTCACAGCCGGGGAGGCTGGTGAGGCCTCGGGGCCCTGGACACAGCTCTCGGGGGCCATGGCCGCTGAGGCCGGCCTGGCTGGCAGAGTCGGCAGGCGGAGGCAGCGTGGACGCACGGGCGAGGCTGGGAAACTGGCTGGGATGAGCCGGGGCCTGGTGAGGGGCTGGCGCTCGCGCTGTGACCTCTGCCTGCCTTGTTCCTCGGCGCTGCACACAATGTGTGATACGAACCCCTCACGTACCCCTCCTGACCTTTGGGGAATCATCGGGACCCCAGGAGTCCGGTGCTGGGAGGCTACTTACGGGCTACACATCCTCAGGTACCGAATGCCCGTCTGGATGGCCTTCTGAGAGCAGAGCATGGTGACCTCGTAGTCGTGGGCCGCGTGCGCAAAGTGAGTCAGCCGCATGAGGGTCTGCAGCTCCACCAGGGGGTCCGACCAGCTGCACTCGGAAGCCATCTTCACCAACTTCCGGGGGGGAAAAGGGGCGTCTGTGAGCGTGGAGAAGGCACACGGGGAAGCTGCCACGTGGCATCAAACTCAGGTGCCCTGCGGGACGCAGCTGAGCGCTGTGACGAGGATGGGGTCGCTCCACAGGGCGCCAAGTCTGCCCCCTCAGGCAAGGCCCCCCGACCCTGGCTCCGTGTCGGGTTTCAACGAGCGGCCTCAGGTCGGGGGATGCATACCTGGGCCAAGGGGGGCACGGTGAAGTCCATGAGGCCCAGCCCATTGCTGGAGTACATCTCCAGAGCGACGAGGACCCGCGTCACTGAGTTGACGTCCTCGTTGGGACTCTAGGAGAAGGGAGCGAGAGCGTCGTCAGCCCAGGGTGCCCAGACGTGCCAGGACACGTGAGCATAGTGGCGACCGCCAGAGCCACTGCGGGGTCTCTCCAAGATCCCCTTCCAGGCAGGAGGGCTGGCAGCTGGGCTGGCCGGCGTGATGGGGCTGCACTCCCGCAGCCCAGGTGCCCGCTCTGACTGCCCACCAACTCAGAACCCACGTCTGTGGGAGCAGAGGCTGTGGACCCCTGACCCTCTCCGCTCCAGGTCCCTGCTCGGCCGCCAGCCCCACCCCCACAGCCTCGGGTTCCCAGCTCAGGGGGCTCCCTCTGTCCTGAGGGCACCTCCACAGAAGGCCCCAGGACTAAGGAGAGGATGCTGCGGCCGGCCGGGGCGGTGACCTCACTGGGGACAGACTTTCCAGGAGGGCAAGCGCCGCCCTGCAGGAGGAGGGAGCGCTCCCCGTGCCCAGGTTGGCGAGGCCCCAGGTGGGAGACAAGGGAAGATTTCAGCAGGAGGCGCCTGCCCCGCAGGTCCGGGCACATGGGACGAGCCTCCCCAAGCCCCTGGGCACTCCCAGATGCTGGCTAGCACCCGGGGTATGGGCACCTGCTCGTCCATGCCCAGCCGCGGCCCAATCTGCTGCTGCAGCAGCTGCTTGGCCTTCACCCAGGTGGCGATGAGCTGCTGCCGGGCGCTGGTGGGCACCGCCTCCTTGTGCACAGTCCCGTCCGTCAGGCTCAGGGCAAACTCGCAGACCTAAAGCACACAGGTCCTTGCTCTTATGACCTGAATTTTACAGGGAAACCTGAGCCGAGACCCAAAGGATTAAGAATCAGTAGACATGGCTCCTGGCCAGACCACATGGGTGGTTTAAGCAGGCTCCAGCCCTGAGGCCGGGTGGCCTGACCCCCACCTACAGCCGGTGACCCGCTCCCCGAGAACATCCAGGGCTCTCCTGTTTCCTTATTTTTAGAGAACTGCACGTTTCCCACCCCTCCTTGCCCTGCACCCCATTTCCTGGCCGTGGAAACCCCACCTCCTAACTGCTCTGCCATCTGTCGCCTCCACTAATTGAGTGAGGGTCTCCTGGCCTCGCGCGGGGTGGGGATCGTACCTCCACCGCAGTCCTGACTTCAGAGCTGGCTACCGAGTCCAGTGGTGTGTGAAACAGGTTTGAGCGCATGGGTCTTTTGGATTTTTCTGGCACTTGGGCTGGAATCCAGTTAAGAATCAAGCCTCGAGCCAACGCATTGCAGAGCATCACCAACATGGTGGGGTCTCTGGAAAGCAACGTACCGGTGGTGAGAACACAGTCACACGCACAGACTCAAGCAGAGGCAGATGCGCGGACCTCAGGAGTCCCGGCTCCCGTCTTGCTGGGACGAAACACACAGACGCCCGTGGTTCCGGCCCCGGTTCATGGAGCTGTTCTCAGACCGTCCAGGGGACACTGGCTGTGATGAGGGCTGCACTGGGGACGCTTCAGTCCCCCGCCACAGGTGGCCTTCACACAGAGGGTGCCCCCAGCCACCCCGTGCCAGGTGGGCGGGCTCCTCAGGGCGTTGCTGGGGGCTGGACAGAGAGACCCTCCTGGCCTCTGTGCCCGCTCTGGGGCATCTGCCTGTCTGGCCTTACTCATGCCTCAGGCTTGCCCATGGGTCAGTAAAAATGGTCGAAAATGGTCTCCATGTGTCAAGAATCAGGGACTCAAAGTCTGATCCCCATCCACAATGGCAATTTGCAGGGGAGTTGCCACGGGGGACACGCTAGTGTCCACGGGGTCCCAGCAGGCGCTTGAGTCAGAGGGGCGTCCGTGGGGCCTGCTGAGCAGTTCTGGATCTCGTGGTCCATTTTTGTTGTTTGTCACTTACAAAAATCCACACACGCATTGCTACATTCCGGCCCATTGCGACGCCTCTACCTCAGTATGTGATGCAAAAATCTAAAATCTTATTGCTCAGACGAAAAGCCAAACCACCAACAACAAAGGAGAGTTCTGAAACGTCATCCTTGTCAGGCAAACTTTAACCCAACTTGGTTTCAAATGTTTAATTTTAGCTCAAAGGCTCACATCCACCTGGATAAGAAAGCACAGATGCAGATTTTCAACCCTCTCCAAAACGAGAGTGAGATTCGTAGACGGGGTTGCTCTTTCCTTCCATTTTCCCAAGGGACTTGGGTCTCAGCAAACAGTCCTTAAAATCCTTCTGTCTGGAAGAGTGAGGCTGGCAGGCATCTGTGCGGGGCGCTGCGGGGGCCGAGGGGGGCTGCGTGCGGGCGAGGGCGAGCGTCTGCTTGGGGATGCTTGAGCAGCCCTCCCTGCATCCCCACAGGTTTCCCCGCGTCCCTGTCACCACCACACACCAGCCAACAGCGGCCCGGCCATTCAGCGGAAGGAGGACGGTGGCGGGGGGCGGGTCCTGGGGCAGCACCCCCACAGCGGACCCTCGTGCGACCCCACAGTTCCCAGGCCTGAATCGAGGTCTCCGGGGCATCAGGATGGAGCCAGCCCGGGGGGCCAGGAGGGCATGCAGTGCCCGCCAGCCACACCTACCCGCTGTGGCCCGTGGCCTTGACGATGCTCAGCAGGTGGTCCAGGGTGTCCACAAGCTCCTTCTGCCGCCCGGCCACGATGAGGTGGTGGTTGTGGTTCAGGACGTAGACCACGGCGTTCTGCACGATCCAGCCCTCCCGGATCTCCTGTCCGATCTCGGCGGACCGCAACCAGCTGTGCATGGCACTCTGCGACAGACTCTCGATCCAGGTCCTGCGCCACAACGCACCCCGTCAGGCTCTTCCTTTGCAACAGGACCTTTCTCAAACGGCCAGCATGACATCTGCCGATGGCCCAGCTGTCTGTGGCGTCTGGGGTCAGAAAGGTGCCCCTGCTGGGGCTGCCTGCTGGACCCACTGCGTTCCCTCCTGGGGCCCAGCTCTGCCCGGCATCCCGTCCCCCAGCTGGACGTCCTCCCTCGGCCCTGAGTTCCACACACGCAGATCACACCCTCCCACTCTGTGCCTGGCCCGCAAACCTCCCTCCGGGCCCCCGGCTGCTGGCCACCTGTCCCCTCTGCAGCCTCACCTTCGCCCCCGCAGGGCGGCCCATTCTCTTGGACCCATGTTCCCAACACCTTTTCGGTAAAGGGCCAAACAGCAAGTAGTCTAGGCTTCGTGAGCCACAGGTAGTCTCTGTGGCACATTTTTCTCCTTTTTATTTTACAAATTTTTCATATGTCAAAACCACTCTTAGCGTGTGGGCCATACAGAAGCATCAGTGGGTCAGGTATGGCCTGGGCTGTGGTTAACTGAGCCTCCGCCACTGTAGGCAGGGCCCCCAGCAGGCCTGGCATGCCCCGCCACGTGGCTGCAGGCTCTCGGGGGCAGAGGCCCGGGCTGTGCTCCGTGCGACACTCCGAGGACTCAGGCAAAGACACCCGTCCACGTAACAAACACCGAGACAAACGTCATGTGCGCTAAATGAACGTGCCACCCTCCATGGGAGCGGGCGGCGGCCAAGAGCCTGCTGACTGGTGGAACCGACAGGGAAAGCAGCTCACCGCCCCCCTTAACGAGTGAGCAGTTGGAGGGTCGATGGTTCCTGTGAGATGTATGGGTAGCCACTCGTTACCACGTTCCCTTTTAAAAATACTTAGTTTTAGATCAAAGGCGACTAAAACCCATCACGTTAACACCGCTCCTCGAGCTCGTGCCTGTTTCTGTGGTGGTTCACGTGGCACGTCTTCTGGGCGGTCCCACACAAAGTGCTCCTTCCCATCCACACTCAGGATGACGGAGGCCCAGACACGTGGGCCGGTCCCGTGGGGAGAGCGGACCACGGCCCCTCCTGTGAGCAGAGCCGCCCCTCCTCCACACTCCCGCCACGAAGACCGTCCCCTGCTCTCCTGTTCTAATAACACACTAACTGGGAGGACCCACGTGTGTCACATGCAACACAAGCCACACACGTGGTCCGGGCGCAGCCACCCCGGGTCTGGGCCCTGACGCCCCTGGCCACCCAGCCCGCACTCCGTGGACAAGCCGGGCCCGCAGCTGCTGGGGACGCCCGGGCCCTGTCAGGCCACCTACTGGTACGTGATCCACTGCGCGCTGTCCTCCGGGGACTCGACCGTGTAGCCGGCCGAGTGCTGGCTCAGGTCCTCCGGCGGGTGCGGATGGTTATTTAGCTCCACGCCTTCTGAGCGCAGCAACTGGACAGTGGCCTGCAGAGGAAGTATGTGGCAGGAGCGGTCAGGGGCGTGGGCAGACCCTGTGATGAACCCCATGGTCTTCTCAGAGTGTCCTCCCTGCCCCCACCTGCCCCATAAACACTCAGGAAGAGAAGGCCCGTTCTAAGGGCACAGCCCCGCTCACGCCATTGCTCGGACACAGTCCCTTCTGGGCGTCTGTCCCCCGCCCCCCGGCCACTCCGCGAGTGCGCGGAGATACTGACGGCGGCTGAGGGCACCAGCATGGGCGGAGGGGCCGCACACGGGGGGCGGGAGGGTGGACGGCCCTGCCGCCACCGGCTGTCTGCTCCCCAGCACCAGGCTCGGCCCCGTGGTCACCGTGTCCCCAGCTCACGGCACAGACTCCATCAGAGGCTCTAGCCCCACTGACGCCAAGACAAACAGTCCACAGTGGCCCCAACGATGGTGGAGTGACAAGATGTCACCACGGATCGCCTCCCTGGGTGCAGGTGTGGGTGGCGTGCGGAGAGCTCAGCCCCGCGGCCCCAGCGCTGACCCTGGGGCCCCCGTGTGCCCACTGCGGGAGGCAACGGTGAACCCCGGCAAGGCCGGCCCCCCTCTGACGGGAGTAGATACAACACGCACACCTCACTCCAAGTGCGGTTGAAGCAAACACCCCCAAAATGCAACCGTCACGTTAGTACCTCCAGAACTTTGGGTGCCAGGCTGAGCAATGATTTCTAAGGAAAAACAGGTATTGACACATAATCACAATACGTTTGTGAACCCAGGAAAACGGCCCTCCTCTGCACTGCCGTTTTGGGAGACGGTCTTCGGGGGGAGCTGCAGGTGCCCAGCTGAGGGCACACCCACAACGCCACGGAGCAGGGACGCACCTCTGCACTGATGAACCCCACCTCCGCGAACTTCCGGAGCAGGGTGGGGGACACCTGCCTCTGCAGGGTGACCTCCGACTGGCCCCAGGCGTCCTGGGCCTGGCTGTCTCCACCCTTCTTCTTCTTTCCTGAGGGAAAGGGTCGCGCTCTAGCCTCGGTCTGACATGCTCGTCTTTTCTAGCAAACAAAATACAAGGATTCCTGGCCCAGGAAGGGGCCGGAGGAAAACTCCCCAGTGGGCAAGGCTCCCCTGAGGGGGGGTGGCTCGGGCACTCCGACAACACATTCTTGGTTCTGCTTGTGCAGTTCTGCCACTCGAGAAGCCCCCAGCCCCATGGAGCCTGCGGCACCCACGTCCCCGGCCATCTGGGACCCCTGGCACGTCCCTGTGTCCTAACTGTCCACTAGACCGGAACTCCTCCGGGGAGCTGCCCCCCACACTCCCGAGAAAGTCGCCTGGCCACGCTCGGCCACGGTCACCCCTGCCCTCTGCCCTCTGCCCCCAGGCTCCCAGCTCAGCGGCCTGGGTTCTCTTGCTCATAGCAGGTGCCTTCCCCTTTCTGAGCCCCTGATGACCTCGAGTGACCCGAGCCAGCAGTCAAGGGCGAGACAGCTGCATGGAGGGCCCGATGGGTCACAGTGAGCTGGGTCCCAGCAGAGACGCACTGACCCGCACCGCGGCCTCCACTGGGAGCCTGTCCCACTGGCCACCCTGCGCTGAGAGCCCCTGCCCAGCCGCTGCCCGCAGCTCCGCGGCCTCTCAGCTCCGGGCTTCAGAGAAGGCGCGAAGCCCCGAGCGGTGTCCGGCTGGCGCGCGGGTGGGGGCCCTGGTACCTTTCTTCGGCCGCACCAGCTTCTTCACCTTCACGTTGTCATACAGGAGACAGAAGCGGCTCGCCGCCCGGCACACATCCCATACGCCTTGCTTCCGGGCGACTTTGGCGAGCTCCGCCCAGATCTGGATTCTGCTCACCAGCCAGCAAGGAGGGCAGCACGTGAGGGGCGAGAGATCAGGAAGCTCCCAGAGCTGCTGCCACTGCCCGAGGGGGCACCGGTGGCTCCACGCGGGGGGCCCCACGCGCCTCCCTCCAGGGCGCTGGCGCCGGGTGCCCGCGGGGCTGCGCCTCCTCACCCACCTCTCCTTGTCATTCTCATTCCCCAGACGCCGCAGATGCCCGGCAGCTTTGTCCACGCTGATCATGTGGTGCCGCGCCTTGGCAAACAGGTAGGTGAACCGGCCCCTGGATTTCCCCATGGAAACTGAGGGTGGCAATGGAAATGCCAGGCTGACGTCGGAACGGTAAGGGACCCCAGGACTGGGAGAAGCTGTGTCTGTGTCCCGGGGACCGGGGGCCGCGGGCATGGCCGCCTCCTGCAGCAGCCCGGCTCTGCTGGCTCTGGTGGAGCCTCTCTGGTGGGCTCTCCCTCACACCGGCCCCTGCCCAACACCCCCCACCCACCACCCTCATGGCCTGGCCCTTTGATCTGCTCGGTGGTGGAGGCTCCTTCTGGTGCACGGAGCCCAAACTTCGAGAGCTCGGGCTCCCTGAGCGCTGGGTTGCCTGGCACATCGGTACAGGGTGGCAGCACATGCCAATCCCCCTCAGCCAACACGCCAGCCCTGGGGAGCCAGCCCTCGGAGCCCCCTGAAGCCCTCTCCATGCAGGGCCGCAGGGCCTCCTCCGGCTGGATTATTGGCAGGCGGCAACACGCTGGCTGATCGGAGCATGTCAGGTCTGCCGACACAGCCCTACCCTTGCGAGGGTGAGGTGGAAACCCAAGGTGGCATGAGCACACCCCAGAGGAGCCCCACGGCCAGCAGAGGACCATGTCCCAGAGCGGGCCTCTCCCACCGCTGGGGCATGACAACTGGGGGAGCAAAGTCTTGGGGCAGCCTTGGGTGGGGCTGCCCGGCTGGGCACAGACCTGCTGTCCACAGGACGTGATGCGCTGGGCAGATCAGTGATATGGGCAGAACTGTGCGCCCCAAAAGGTATGATGAAGCCCTAACCTCCAGAACCTCCAAATGTGACCTTATTTGTGTCTTTACGGGGACAATCAAGTTAAAATGAGATCATTAGGGTGGGCCCTAATCTGTTATGACGAATGTCCTTAAAAAGGAGGAACTCTGGACCCAGAGAAACAGGTACAGAGGGAAGATGGTGTGAAGACACGGAGAAGACTGCCATCTGCAAGCCAGAGGGGGCTGGAGCCGCCCTCCACCCGACCTCAGGGGGAGCTCCTAGCCCTGCTGACACCTCATCTGGACCCCGGGCCTGCAGCCTGCCTGGTTGGTCCTGCTGTGAAGGAGCTCCTTGGTGACAGTGGCCGAGCTGAGACCCAGCCTGGCTTTTTCAGAGCCCCAGACCGCACGCACATCAAGGCCTGGACAGGCAGGTGCGGAGCACAGCATGGCCCCCACATGCCAGGGCGGCTCCTGAGCAGAAACATGCTGGGCTCCAGGAGTGAGAGCAGTGTGTACCTTTGGCCTCGTTCTCACTGTCGAGCACAATTTGGAAGGTGTCGGGGGCTAGCGCCAGGCCTGCATTCACCAGGAGAGCCCGCTTCTTCCTGACGCTATCTTTTGGGATAGCTTTTTTTGCCTGCAACAGGAAGAGGTGGTACGATGAGCGGGCTATTACATCATCTAAAGCGACCCTGTCCCGGGCTGTTTGCAGGCCCCCAGGCCCTGGGCGACCCTGCAGAGGCCATGATGGCACCTGCTCAATGGCCATGATGGCCTTGTCCTCAGCACGCTCGGGGGACTGGTACAGCATGGTACACAGGCGCAGCCGGTTCAAGGCCATGGTGAGCTTGTCCTGGTAGAGGCCGAGGCTGTCCAGGAGCATGGCCTTCTGCAGGTGCTGCATGGCCGGCTCCAGCCGGTCCTCGTCCTCCTCGATGTGCGCCATCTCCATGTGCACTTGGCAACGGAGCAGGACCATGAGGCTGGGGAGGGACAGCACGGTGTGACTCAGGCCCGGGGCATGCTGGCTTCCTGTGAGACCCTCCCGGCGCCTGGGCTTCCCAGCATCCTTCAGCTCCCGCCCGGCTTTGCCCGGAGGACTCACACGGGGGGACGAGCAGGGAGGTCCCTGCAGAGCAGCTGGGACCTGGGCTCTGGGGCTGAGAAGCAGCAGGTCAGCAGACTGGGGACCATGCCAGTGAGACCTGCTGGGTGGAGGGCTCAGCAGACACGGGAAGCTTGCGATGCTGCCGCCACCACCTCTGTCCGTAGGTACCGTCCCACCCACCATGCCCCACTGCTGCCCGCCGCCGCCGCCAGGAGCCTGCTCTTTGCCCCCCAGGATGGGGCCCTGCTCTGGTCTTGGCAGCTGAGGAACACCCCCCATTCAGAACGGCCACCACGTCCCACGGGCCCTCACCCCTGCCTGGCTGCTTCTCTGGCTGGGCCTCTGCAAGCATTTGCACGTGTCACTGGAGTGTCCTCAGAGCTTTTCCACCCACAACAGGCAGAGACCCCACATCACAGCCACTGCCCTGGGACACCAGCATTAGCGAATCGACAAATTCGGCCGAACGCAAGTTCTGCAGGACCCTTGAACTGGCTGAGCACAGATGGAGGCGTAAATGCCGCGTGGTATGCCTGTGACCTCAGGGACAAGGATGCAGGAGTGCCTGTGGCTCCACCCACGCCCGTGAGGGGTCCCTGGTTAGTGCCGGGGTGAGGTCCAAGCGCCTCGTCAGGGAACCAGGTTCGCAGACTCTGCCCAGAATGGGCCATGTTTCTGGGGCAGGCCCTGCCCTGAATGATGCTCCTCTGGGCAGCATGCGCCCAGACCCCACAGTGGGAGACCCGTCCAGGGCTGACCGAGCACACGCACAGCATGGGGGCTACACAGAGGGACAGCCCGCATCAGGAACAAGCTGGCAGAGCACGGGGCCGCTGAGCCAGGGAGGCGAGATCGGAGCTCAGCCTGGGCAGTAGGAGTCACAGGAGGACGGAGTGAGGGGCTCCGCAGTGCCGGAGCCTGTCCATCACCAGACATGCTTAACTCAACACCTACTACAACAAAAACGAATGCTTCTCCAAAGAAGATGGCAGAAGCCAAGCACTCCATAGTGCATCACCCACAATGTCCAGCACACAACAAATAACACTAGATGTGCAAGGAAAAAGAAAAGTGTGACCCACAGTCAGGATACGGGAAGGGCCAGATGTTGGGTTTACCAGATAAATCCTTCAACGCCTATATTAAAATACAAATATAAATGTATTCAAAAACCTGAAGGAAGACAATACTAAGGACAGAACAGATATGGAATCTCAGGAGAGGAGAACCCGCAGAAACTGGAGACACTAGAGCTCGAAACCGGAATATTTGAAGTTGGAAAGCTCCTGCTTGGAGCTCACAGTAGGCTGGAAACAGGGGGAGGAAGAGCCAGCAATCCTAGAAGTCATCCACTGGAAGAACAGATTGAACAAGATTTTTAAAATGAGCAGAGGCTTGGAACCAGCAGGCCGTATTCAGGACACGTGTGAGCTCAAGTCCCAGGAGGCAGAGATCGAGGATGAACAGATAACAGCTAATAATTTCTGATGAGAAGCCCTGTCACATGTCTGAGCATTTCAGTAGACCCAAGTAGGAGTTTTTAAAGGCTCCGGGGAATACCACAATCAGAACTCCGAAAACAGAAAGGAGCAGAAAGGCGTGTAGCGAATGGCAGAAGGACGCTGAAAACAGTGCACCTGCTGCACTTAACACAGCCAGCCTACTGAAAGCAGAGTGGAAATGTAGGTGTGGGTGCAGGTATAGATGGAGGTGCAGGTGTGAGTGAGGTGTAGATGGAGGTGCAGGTGTGAGTGAGGTATAGATGGAGGTGCAGGTGTGGGTGCAGGTGCAGGTGTGTGTGCAGGTGCAGGTATACACGGAGGTGCAGGTGTGGGTGCAGGTGCAGGTATAGATGGAGGTGCAGGTGTGGGTGTGGGTGCAGGTGTGGGTGCAGGTGTGGGTGCAGGTGCAGGTATACACGGAGGTACAGGTGTGGGTGCAGGTGCAGGTGTGGGTGCAGGTGTGGGTGCAGGTGCAGGTGTGGGTGCAGGTGCAGTTGTGGGTGCAGGTGCAGGTATACACGGAGGTGCAGATGTGGGTGCAGGTGCAGGTGCGGGTGCAGGTATACACGGAGGTGCAAGTGTGGGTGCAGGTGCGGGTGCAGGTGCAGGTATACACGGAGATGCAGGTGTGGGTGCAGGTGCAGGTATAGATGGAGGTGCAGGTATGGGTGCAGGTGTGAGTGAGGTATAGACGGAGGTGCAGGTGTGGGTGCAGGTGCAGGTGTGGGTGCGGGTGCAGGTGTGGGTGCAGGTGCAGGTATACATGAAGGTGCAGGTGTGGGTGCAGGTGCAGGTGTGGGTGCAGGTGCAGGTATAGATAGAGGTGCAGGTGTGTGTGCAGGTGCAGGTATACATGGTGGTGCAGGTGTGGGTGCAGGTATAGATGGAGGTGCAGGTGTGGGTACAGGTGTGAGTGAGGTATACACGGAGGTGCAGGTGCGGGTGCAGCTGTGGGTGCAGGTGCAGGTATAGATGGAAGTGCAGGTGTGTGTGCAGGTGCAGGTATACACGGTGGTGCAGGTGTGGGTCCAAGTGCAGGTATAAATGGAGGTGCAGGTGTGGGTGCAGGTGTGAGTGAGGTATAGACGGAGGTGCAGGTGTGGGTGTAGGTGCGGGTGCGGGTGTAGGTGCTGGTGCAGGTGTGGGTGCAGGTGCAGGTATACAGGGAGGTGCAGGTGCGGGTATAGATGGAGGTGCAGGTGTGAGTGAGGTATACACGGAGGTACAGGTGTGGGTGCAGGTGCAGGTATACCCGGAGGTGCAGGTGCGGGTGCAGGTATACACGGAGGTGCAGGTGTGGGTGCAGGTGCAGGTGTGAGTGCAGGTGCAGGTATACACGGAGGTGCAGGTGTGGGTGCAGGTGCAGGTGTGGGTGCAGGTGCAGGTGCAGCTGCAGGTATACACGGAGGTGCAGGTGTGGGTGCAGGTGCGGGTGCAGGTCTACACGGAGGTGCAGGTGTGGGTGCAGGTGCGGGTGCAGGTATACACAGAGGTGCAGGTGTGGGTGCAGGTGCAGGTGCGGGTGCAGGTGCAGGTATACACGAAGATGCAGGTGTGGGTGCAGGTGCAGGTATACACGGAGGTGCAGGTGTGGGTGCAGGTGCAGGTGCAGGTGTGGGTGCAGGTGAAGGTACACACGGAAGTGCAGGTGTGGGTGCAGGTGCAGGTGTAGGTATACATGGAGGTGCAGGTGTGGGTGCGGGTGCAGGTGCCAGGCCGTACACCCTCACAGCACCTCTCCAGGGCCTGCCGTTGTGCCTGGCCCAGGGTAGGTGCTCAGCACGTGTGTGATGAACGTGTCCAGCCCAGTGCGGACAGAAGGCATGGCTTTCCACACCTCAGCACTGACCCATCTGTGTTCCAGACACCAGGTGATGGGCCTGGCTTCGTGGCCGGTGGCCACCACACTGTGGCCGTGGCAGGCTCTTCCACCAGAGCTTGTGGGGCAGGGACAACTGGGTTCTGGTGCTGGCCTTGGGAGGACGTTGGACCTGAACTGAATCTTGCTGTCGGTGTGTGCCTGCAGGCTCGTGGAGCCTCGCTGCTGGGACCCGGGCTGGCCCTAACTTCACGTCAGTCGGTGCGGAGGGCCCCCCAGCCCCGCCTGGGGCCCACTTGTGGCCTCGTCACTGCGGCAGCCGGGCAAGCCCTTTCTGACGCAGGCAGATTTTCCTGCCAGCACCGCTTTTTGGGGAAATGAGCTGGGTCTCATCTTTGTGCTGGTGTCGAAGGGTCTGCCCAGCCCTCTCCCACAGGAGCATCCCCCTCTGAGCCCAGGACCAGGAGGCACCAGCTACCTGTCCACCTTCTCCAGGGTGTCTGCGACGTTGGCCAGTGGCTTCCGCAGCTGCTGCCGCAGGTGGTGCTGCAGCAGAGGGAGACTCGTGTTCCACTGGGTGGCACACACCACGTGGATGGGCCCGGGCTCGCCCAGCCGCACGGCCCGCTGGAGTGCCACGTCAAGTCTCCGCACCAGGTTCAGCTGGGTCTGCACAAAACATACGGGCCAGTCTGTGAAGACTGAAGGCGAGTCCCGCACACCACCTGGGGAGCTGGAGGGTCAGGAGGCAGCCGGTGGGGCCGGGGCCCGAAGTCTGAGTCTGTCTGTGGCAATGGCCCATGTCACCTTCTCTAGAAGGGACTGGTTGTCTGTAAGATACTTCCTTAAAAGGCCTAGAATGGGCTCTGCACACCCACGGATGTCTCTCTCCCATGAGCTGATTCCATCCAAGCGTGCGTATTTCTCGGGCTTATATATTCACCGTGGCCTACAGCCAGTTATGCTTGCAACCCGAAGACCATCTTCTCTGTTCTGTGTTACAAGTGTGCCCCCACCAGCCAGGCTCTGGTCCCACATTCGAGGATGTGTGGAAGCGGCCTCCAGCCCCACGCTTCTGCAGAGCCCCCCGGGGCTGCCCGGCGATCCTAACTCGGCCACGTCCCACGGCCTCTGGCTGCCAGCACCCTCAGGGCCTCCCCTCACACTGCCTCCTGAACTGGCACCTGAAGCCTCCCGACCAGTACCAGCAGGCAGAAGCCGAGGGACTGAGCTCCACACAGCCGCCCGTCGCAGCCCCTCAGCCACTCCGCTGCAGCCCGTGATCAAACCTGGGGCCGGTGTGTTCTGGCAGCCACGTCCTACACAGCCCTGGTCAGGCTCCTGCCAGGTGCCGGACAAGGTCAAAGCTACAAGAGCCACATGAGCAAGTCCAGCAGGAACATGAACATCCACCAGGCAGCAAGGAAGGCGCCATGCGGAGCCTGCTGCAGTGCGGAGGACGGAGCCCTGTGCCTGCTGCTGGCCTCTGGCCGGAAGGCTCTCTGGAGGCGCCATGAGCTGATCCATGAGCGCCCGCCTCAGCTCCACATCAACGCTAGCCACCACTACTCTGTTCCAGTAGATTCTTTTCCTTTTAAGCTGCAAAGCTTCTCATTAAAGAGTAGTCTAAAATAATCTCTGGATTCATTTCCTGGCAGGGCTGCCGGTCCAAGTCCTACTGCGCTAAATAAGCCGATGGGAGAGAGCAGCCAAGCTCCCGTCGCCTGTAATTCTTTGCCACCATGTTTAGACAGCTGCTGCCGCACCAGCTCATCGGAAAGAAGCTGCCTCCTCTCCAACAGCAGAACGAACGTGGCAAACAAGGCCACCATCTCCAAGTGGAGCAGCCGAGGAAGAGCAGCTCTGGTGAGCACAGTACCCCCCTCCCAGCGGGGTCCTCTGGACTTGCCCTCCCTGGACTCCCCGCCTCCCCCGCCCCACGCGCCCCTGGGGTCCCCGCCTCCCCCGCCCCACGCACCCCTGGGGTCCCCGCCTCCCCCGCCCCACGTGCCCCTGGGCTCCCCACCTCTCCCCCACACATCCTGGGATCCCTGTATCCCCAACAACCTCTGATGACCCTCTTCTGCCCACCTCCGATCCCCAGCCCAGCAGCAGGCTGCATGAGCCCCACACGCCCGGCAGGCCAGATGGCCCTGGGAGCCGTGGGGGACTGTGCTCACTGCTGTGGAGAATGGCAGCCAGTCCTGGTGGGGCTCCTGCCAGAGAGGCCGAGTTCACGGGTGGGAACCCGAGGCACAGGAGGCTGGCCTAGTGTCCCCGTCACCTGGGAGCCAGCAGCTTCCAGGAAGTGTGCAAAACCGCTCAGTGATGCTGAGCCTGCTCAGGGGTTTACCTCAACGGCTGCTCGGACATAGATTTTAATTTTACTTTCGAGTCTTAAAGCTTCTAATTCGTACTCCAGGCATTCGATTTCAATCAGCTTCCCAGGATCCTGCAGGACACACACAGTTTTTGTATACATGGGAGATTTTTAATGAAAGCAATCACACACATTCATTAACTTCAAAGACCATTTTAAAATACATCTAACTTACTAGGTAGAAATTCAACAAGAAAACATAAGAGAATACAAAGACATATAACAAAAACTTAAAATGTTCCCCCAAAATGCAAAGATTTAAGTGAGAAAGCAAACAAAGTTTTTTTGATACCTTTTTAATCGTGGGGGGAAAAGGATAGTTAATTTCACTGGACATTGAATTTTTACTTGATTACACCAACTTCAGATGGCAAACGTGTTTTCTTTTACTTAATCCCTGACAGGGTTAGGATGAGAGCACCCTGCTTGGTGGAGGCAGAGGTGTGGGCAGCAGGAACCCGGGACTTGTCTTCGCGGGGCACACTGCGCTTCTACCAAACTGCAAAGCTTTCTGCGCTCCCGCCCGCTGTGACTGTGGTGAGACCTTCCCCACATCCTCTCCCACAATCCTGAGTGTGGTCAGTCCTGAACTGTAGCCGGTCTAGGAGGTGCGTCACTGTGAGTTAGTACAGAATGGTCACTGGTCTCCGCCTCAGTTCCCAGCTCAGCTCCTGAAACCCTTGTAATGCTCTAAGTGACAGAGCACCAGGAGCATCTTTCCTTCTAAAGATGTGATTCCCATGGGCTCCTGGGTGGGAGCTGGTCACACAAAGACCAAGCCATGATTACAAGCTTGGGACTCTCAGCCCTGCCGCTATCCTCCAGAAATGCATCAATAATTGGATCATGCCTACGTGAGGAAGCCCCCATAAAATCCCAATAGTACAGGGTTCGGAGAGCCTCCAGGTTGGTAAACATGTCCACATACTGGAAGGGTGACCCACCCCAACTCCACAGGGACAGAAGCTCTTCCCCACGCTTGGGACCCTCCGAGACCTTGCCCTCTATATCTCTTCATCTGGCCGTTCATCTGCATCCTTTATTATATAATAAATTGGTAAACCTGTTTCCCTGAGTTCTGTGAGCCACTCTGGAAAATTAATCAAACCCAAGGAGGGGGTTGTGGGAACCCTTCATTTGTAGGCAAAAAGGACAGAAGTTGTGGGTAACCTTGGGGACCTTCTACTCACCACTGGCACCAAAGTGGGGGAGCAGTTTTGTGGGACTGAGTCCTTCACCTGTGGGATCTGATGCTGTCTCCAATAAGAGCATCAGAATTGTCTAAAATTATAGGACACCCAGCTGGTGTCTCAGAGACTTGCTTGCTGTGGGGAAAACCCACACACATTTGGTGTTGGAAGTGCCGGAAGTGCACTGTTCTGTGCGAAAGCAAAGCAGAAACACTCAGGACTTGGAAAACCAGCTCTTCCCAGAGCAGTCAACATCACAAATAATGACGTTCCACACCTTTTCTTCTCTCTATCCACACATCTTCACCGGGGGAAGTGTCTATCCAGAGCTTTCCCTTTTTGGGGGGGTTGTTTTCTTGATATTGAGAGTTCTCTGCATATCCTGGCTATGAAGTCCTTTATCAGATATGTGATTTGCAGACATTTTCAGTCAGGATCTGGTTTGTATTTTCACATTTTCTGAACAGTAGCAAAGAGCAAAGGTTCTTCATTTTAACAAAATGTATCAATTTCTTGTATGAATTATGCTCTTGACATCAAATCTAAGAATTCTTTGCATAACTCAAAGTCACAAAGATTTGATTTTTTTTCTCTAGAAGTTGTATAGTTTTGACTCTCACATTTAGGTCTACAGTGCATTTTGAGCTAATTTCTGTATATGGTGTGAAGTAGGGGGCCAATGTTTTTGTTTTGTTTGTTCTTGTTTTTGTTTTTTAACATGTGGCTATTCACCTGCTCCAGAACCATTTGTTTAAAAAGATGCCTTTTTTTATCCACCAGTTGCCATTACACCTCTGTCGAAAGTCAGCTGGCCGTATGTTTGCGGGTCTAAGCCTGGACTCATTCCATCTACGTCACTTCCTCGGGCCAGCGCCACACTGGCCCAACGACTGCGCATCTGCCACACGTCCGGCAGTGAGGTAGCGTCCACCTTCTGACACATGTGCATTTCCAGAGTGTCTCTGCGTTAGCTTGGCTCCTTTGCATCTCCATGCAAGTTTCATGATCAGTGTGTCCATCTCTGAAGCTCTCCTGCGAGGACTCTGCGTGGGAGCGCGCCAGAGCCGCCATCCAACCCGGACAGAATCCTGTGATTCACACCGTATCTTCACTCTAAACAGCCAATGACCTTTTGAAGAGATTCAACTATTTTTAAAAGTCTTTCGCATTTGTTCATGTTCTTGCCCTTTCTGGGGGCTGCTCTCTATTTTCTGCAGGTCTGGACTTCCATCTGGCGCCACTTTCTTCCACCTGAAGAGCTGCCTCTAAAGTTTCTTGTAATCTGGGTCAGACTCTTTCAGATTTTGTATATTTTAATAAATATTTTACCTCTGTTTTTTTTAATTTTAAAGATTTTTTAAAAATTTATTTGAGAGAGAAAGAGAGAGAGCACAGAGGGAGAGGGAGAAGCAGGCTTCCCGCGGAGCAGGGAGCCCGATGTGGGGCTCGACCCCAGGACCCTGGGATCATGACCTGAGCCGAAGGCAGACGCTCAACGATTGAGCCACCCAGGTGCCCCTACAACACAGTATTATTAACTCCAGTCACCAAGCTGTACATTAGAACCTTAAAACTTATTCATCTTATAACTAAAAGTCAGTCCCCTTTGACCAACATCTCCCCCCTTCCTGCACCCCCTAGGCCTTAGCAAGCACCATTTTACTCTGTTTCTCTGTCTGGCTACTTTCTCTCAGCATAATACCTCTAGACTAGTCCATGTTGCCACAAATGGCAGGATTTCCTCTGTGTGTACACACAATACGTATATGTGCACAGTCCATATTATATGTTACATATATATAACTACATTACCTACAGACTGTGTTGCATATGTCTGTGTATTTATACACACACATTTTCTTTATCCACTCATCCACTGACAGGTTGTTTCCGTATCTCGGCTATTGTGATTAATGCTTCAGTGAACACGGCAGGGTAGACATCTCTTTGAGATACTGATTTCACTTCCTCTGGATATATTCCCAGGAGTAGGACTGCTGGATCATACTGTAGTCTATTTTTAATTTTTCAAGGAACTTCCCCACTGTTTTCAATAATGGCTGTACCAATTGACATTCCCACCTGAAGTGTACAAGGGTTTCCTTTTCTCCACATCCCTGGGCATCTGAAGTGGGGCAGAAGCCAATACTTGTTACCTCTTGTATTTTTGATAACAGCCATTCTAGCAGGTGTAAGGCGATACCGTGGTTTTGATTGGTATCTCCCTGATGATGAGTGTACCGGATGGCCATCTGAGTATCTTCTTTGAAAAAACGTGTACTCGGGTCTTCAGCTCATTTTATTCATTAGATTATTTGGGGGTTTTTGCTACTGAATTGTATGAGTTCCTTACATATTTTAGATATCAATCCCTTATCAGATACATGGTTTGCAAATATTTTTCTCCTGTCATAGGGTGCCTTTCACTGTGTGGACTGTTTCCTTTGCTGTGCAGAAGCTTTTAGTTTGATATAGTCCCACTTGTCTACTTTTGCTTTTGTTGTCACATTCAAAAAATAGCCAAGACCAATGTCAAGAAGCTTTTTCCCTATGTCTTCGTATAGGAGGAGTTTTATGGCTTCAGGTCCTAAAGGTCTTTAAACCATTTCCAGTTAATTTTTGTGAGTGGTGTAATATAGGGGTCCAATTTCATTCCTCTGCATGTGGACGCCCCGTTTCCCCATCGTGTGTTATCAGTGCGCTTGTCAAAGACATTAATGTGTGTGGGTTGATTTCTGGGCTCTCAGTTCTACTCCGTTGTTCTATGCAACTATTTTTAAGCCAGGACCACACTGCTCTGATCACTACAGCTTTTTAACATAGGTGCAAACCAAGAAGTGTGATGCCCCCAGCTTTGTTCCTCTTTCCCAAGAGTGCTTTCGCTCTTCAGTGGTTCCATACAAATTTTAAGATTTTTAAAAAATTTTTGTGAGAAAGGCCATTGGAATTTTGATAGAGATTGCATTGAATCTGTACATGGTTTTGGGTAGTATAGACATTTTAACAATTTTAATTCTTTCAATCCATAAACATTGAATATCTTTCCATTTATTTGTGTCTTCCTCAATTCCTTTTATCAGTGTCTTATAGTTTTCAGTGTATAGGCCTTTCACTTCCTTGGCTAAATTTATTCCTAAGTATTTTATGGTTTTGATACTATTATAAATGGGATTGTTTTCTTAATTCCTCTTTCAGATAGTTCATTGTTAGTGTACAGAAACAACTGATTTCTGCTGATTGTGAATTTTGCACTTTACTGAATTTGCTCATTAGTTCTAACAGTTTTTGGTGGAATTTTCCCTTTAGCTTTTCACCATGGAGTATGATGTGAGCTGTGGGCTGGTCATAGATGACCTTTGTTATGTTGCGATAACATTCTTTCTATACCAAATTTGTTGAGAGTTTTATCACGAAAGGATGTTGAATTTTGACAAATGCTTTTCTTGCATGTGTTGAGATGATCATATGGCTTTTATCCTTCTTTCTGTTAATGTGTTGCATCACATTTATTTGATTTGTCTGCGTTAAACCATTCTTGCATCCTCAGGATAAATCATACCTGATCTTGGCATATGATCTCTACAATGTGCTGTTGAATCTAGTTTGCTGGTATTTTGTTGATGACTTTTGCATCCATGTTCATCAGGGATATTGGCCTGTGGTTTTCTTTTCTTGTGCTGTCTTTGTCTGGCTTTGCTATCAGAGAGATCGTGGCCTTAAAAATGAGTTGGGGAGTGTTCCTTTCTCTTCAGTTTTTTTTTTTTTTTTTTTTTTTTGAAGAGTTTTTAAAGGATTGGCATCAATTCTTCTTTAAATGTTTGGTATAATTCACTAGTGAAGTCATCTGGTCCTGGGCATTTCTTTGTTGGGAGATTTTTTATTACTATTTCAAACTACTTACTAGTTATCAGTCTATTCAGATTTCCTATTTCTTCATGATTCAGTCTTGGTAGATTGTATGTTTCTAGGAATTTATCCATTCCTTATAGGTTATCCATCTTGTTGGGGTATAATTTTCATAGTGTTCTCTTAACAATCCTTCGTATCTCTGTGGTATCAGTGGTAATGTCTCCTCTTTCATTTCTGATTTGATTTGAGCCTTCTCTCCTCTATATATGTCTATTAAGCCCATTTGGTCTAAAGTGTAGCTCAAGCCCAATATATCCCTAATGATTATCTGTTTGGATGATATATCCACGTTGAAAGTGAAGTCTTGCAGATCCCTACTATTATTGTGTTGCTGTATATTTCTGCTTTCAGATCTGTTAATACTCACTTCATGCCCTTAGGTGCTCTAATGCTGGGTATATATGTATGCACAACTGTTACATTCTCTTGATTAATCAATTGTTTATCATTATATAATGATCTTCTTTGTCTCATTACTTTTTTTTTTTTTTTTTTTTTTTTACTTTTGGATAAGTAAGTATAGCTACTCCTGCTCTTTTGGTTACCATCTGCATGGAATATCTTTTCCCATCCCCTCACTTTCAGCCTATGTGTGTCCTTAATGCTGAAGTAAGTCTCTTGTGGGCAGCATATAGTTTGGTCTTTCTAAAAAAATTTTAATTCATTCAGTACTCTATGTCTTTTAATAGGCGAATTTACTCCTTCATATTTAAAGTAATTGTTAATAGGTAAGAACTTATTATTATCATCTTCTTTTCTGGCTGTTTTATAGTTTCTTTGTTCCTTTCTGTTGCCTTCTCCTTTTGTGAGTTGATGATTCTCCAGTGTGGTATGCTTTGACTCTTTTCTTTTAATCTTTTGTGCATTGTGCTTTGTGGTTACCATGAAGCTTACAGAAAACATCTATAGTCATGACAATCTATTTTAAGTTGAAACAACTTCACTCCAATCACATACAAAAACTCTACCTTTTTACCACTCCCCACTACATTTTATATTTTTCATGTCACAATTTATGTCTTTTAATGTTCTGTATCCATTAACAAATTATTGTAGCAAGTTATTCTTAGTAATTTTGTCTTTTAGACTTTATACCAGGTGAAGTGATTTATACACCACCATTACAGTATAAGAGTATTCTGATGTGACTATATACTTACCTTTACCAGTCAGATTTATACTTTTGTATATTTTCCTGTTACTAATTAATGTCCTTTCACTTCACCTTGAAGAACTCTCTTTAGCGTTTCTTTGAGGGCAGGTCTAGTGTTGATCAACCCCCTCAGCTTTTGTTTGTCTGGGACTGTCTTTCTCTCTCCTTCATTTCTGAAGGACAGCTTTGCTGGATAAAATATTCTTGTCTGGCAGTTTTTCCTTTCAGCACTTTGAATATATCATCCAATCCCTTCCTGGCCTGCAAGGTTTCTGCTGATAAATCCATTGAGAGCCTTATGGAGATTCCCTTGTATCAGATCATATTGGTTCTCCTGCTGATTTCAAAATTCTCTCTTTTATAACAATAATAATTTGTATAATAGAACTTTGACACTTTTATTATCATATGCCTTGGTGAAGTCTTCACTGGGTCGAATCTCTTATGGGACCTCTGAGCTTCGTGTACTTGGATGACCATACCTCTTCTCCAGATTTGGGGGGTTTTCAACCATTATTTTTTTAAATCAGTTTTCTTGCCCCTTCCTCTCCTTTTGCCTCTGGGACTCCCATAAAGCACCTATTGTTTTGCTTGCTAGTATCCCATAATTCACATAGGCTTTCTATGCTCTTTTTTACTTTTTCTCCTCTGGAAAATTTCAAATGACCTTTTAGTTTACAAATTCTTTTTTCTGCTTGATCAAGCCTCCTATTGATACTCTCCACTATACTTTTCACTTCATTCACTGTATTTATTCTTCGGCTCCAGGATCTCTATTTGACTGTTTTTCTAAATGATTTTTATCACTATTGAACTTCTCATTTTGTTCACGTTTTTCCTGATTTCATTGTGTATCTGTGTTCCTTTAGCCTGCTGAGCTTCCTTAAAACAATTATTTTGAATTCTTTGTCTGGCAATTCATATACCTCCATTTCTTTGGAGTAGGTTACGGGAAAATCGTTGTGTTTCTTTGGTGGTATCATGTTTCCCTGATTTTCTGTGTTTTTTGTAGCCTGTGTTGATGTCTGGGCATTTGGTGAAGTAGTCATCTCTTGCAGACTTCACAGTCCAGTTTTGGTGGGGAGAGACCTTCCCCTGTGGGTGGGGTGAGAATGCCGGCTAGTAAGATGGGGCTGGCAGCTATCATGCTAGGGAAGGCCCAGCGTCATCGTCTCCAGCCTCAGCAAAGACCGCAGGATTCCTCAATAGTCAAGGCTGCTGGTCTCCAGTTTCAAGGTCTGTTGGGGTCCTTGGTGGCGAAGGCTGCTGGGGACCTCCTGATCATTTTCTCCCATGGGGATGTCGTGGCCATGGGGATCTCTTTTGGCACTGGGTCTGGATTGCAAGCACCTTAGCAGTGGTGGCACAGATTTCTGGTGCACAGATGCCCATGGGGCAGTCGTGGAGCTGGAGACTACATCGGGGTGCTTGCGCAGCAACAGCAGTTCTGGGGTCCTGGGCACTGGCTAGCTGACAGAAGCCATCCTGGGTGTGACATGGGTGTGTGTCCAGTGGCCAGGAAGCCGGGATCTAGATCTAACTGCTTTAAATTCCGTGGCAGGAACTATTCTCAGCCTTGTGTAACTCTGAAGACTGGTCCCCGGTCTCTGGTTAGGTGGCCCCCTCTCCAGCTTGTGTAGTTCCCTTCCACACGTGCACGAATCAGAACTCAGCTGAAGACTCCAAGGGGGAGCCTCTGGAGCTCTCCAGAACTCTCATTTTGTGCAGTTCACTCCTCTCTGGTGCTCAGTCCTGTGAGCTGGAGCTGCTCTGTCCTCCTGACTGCCAACTCCTCCTCAATCCAGGTAGACTGTCTCGGGCTTCACCTGTGTTCCCCTCCCTCGCCAAGTCTGCAAAGTCTCCAGGCAGTAAGCTCTGGGTGATGATAAGACTCACCTGCATTTGTTGCCCACCTCTCAAGCTTTGCTTTCCTTCATTAGCTGTTGTTCAGGGTCTTGAAAAATATTATTTCATATATTGTTTGGTTTTTTTAGTTGTTTCAGGCATGAGGGCCTTTTACTCCAACTTGGCCAGAAAAAGTTCATTTCTTTCACTATGTCAATTTCACATTCTTCCCTCCTTTTAAGAAAAGGTTCACTTATTCCTCAACAATCATACAGAATGACAGGTTTGTTTTGTTTACCATTCCTCTTAAGAGGACAGTGAAACGTCAGGCAGTGCAGTTCAGTGTTGGAAATCTAACTCTGCCTCACAGTCACTTCTGGTTTCCTCGATTATGACTCTTCCCTCTTGGCTGATGTTGCTCCACACTGATCCCCTGAGTGACCCAGCTCTTGGACTTCCCAGCCAGGAGGCTCGTCAATGCAGGGAGACCCTCTGAAGAAAGAGCTGACAAACCCTGAACATCTGAACATGCCCACTTTAGGGAGACTGTAATGATGTTAACATCCATTTCTCTGTTCAGCAAAATCTGCCGAGCACCTCTGAAGTGCCAGGCATTGCACTGGGAAATGGGGCTACAACAGCAAACGGATCAGGCAGGTCCCTGTCCTCCAAGAGGTTGTGTTCTCATAGCGAAAATGGACAATCACCAAGTAACACATAAACATCTCATTAGGCATAAAGGTCAAGATGTAATAATGTAACTAACAACTTACCAGGAAAATGTAACAGTTCCAATACCCATAAATAATGACAAATGTATGCTGTAAAAATGAGATACTCATATTTGCAGGGAGAGATTTAACACATTTCTCATAGAAATCAAGAGAGTCAACGGATAAAAATGAGTGCAGATGTAAAAATCTAAACCAATTAACACTGAGAGCTCTTTAGTGGATACCTACAGAATCCTTTACTTAAAAAATGAAGACATCCTTTTCGAGTATGCACAGAACATTTACACAATTTAAGAACAACAAATACTGAGCATGTTGCAAAGGGCAGTGAGGAGAGGGTGCTGTGATCTCAGAGGTGCAATACCCTGGGCCCTCGGCACTTGAGTTACACATTTAACTTTTAAAAAGAACCAGTGCCCTGGGAGTGTGTGGTCCTCCTGGTGCTGAGTGTGGCCCTCTCACAGGAGGTTGCTCTCTGCGGGTGGTCTGAGCAGGGTGAGACCCCAGTGCTAAGGCTGGGCCACTGTGCGTGGAAACAGAAGATGGGAATGGGGCCGTAAAAGCACTCTGAAGTCCTTCAAAAATAGCTGCCTCCGCTGTTTCCATCCCCTGTGCTCTCTGGCCGCGGAGTTCTCCGGCCTCAGCGCTACCCACCCCCGCACGCCCATCCCAGCTCTCCCATCTGGCAGTCCTATCCAAGTACTGCCAGACTGTCAAGGTCCAGGTGAAGCTTTATTTCCTTTTTTAGAACAATTTCCAGATCAACAGAACCACAAATGTGACTGATTTCCCTTCTGCTAAACTGTATGTCTTATTACCTGCACCATGGAAGGGGTCCTATGCTAGAGCTTTATTTAGAGGGAAACTTGGGAGAAGCAGCTGATATCTAAGACTCACAGGTACTTTGGGACTAAACACAGCAGGTGCCCCATGGAAAAGGCAGGAAGTGACGCTGGGGGCCCCACGGACCGTGGCAGCGAGAGTGCGTGATGTGCATGTCACATCATCTCAGCTGGGTGAAATGCACATGTGGAAAACGAGGCACTTTGCCAACCACACTGCTAGGCCCTCCTGCGGGAGGTTTTGGAATTTCTTCCCCTCCCTTTTGCCTTCTTCGTCCAGGTGACGCCGAGCAGGTGCCGTACATCCATCCGCAGTCACCCATCACTTACTGTGCTGTTAATACTCTTCAAGTCTGAGAGGCAGCCAGAGGAGATCTCCTCACATTTCAAGGTCAAAGAGAGACGAGCCAATTCAAAAAGCAAAAGAATCCTGGAAATGAAGAAGCAAAAGAGCAATGGATCAGAGGAGGCGTCAGGGACCACTTACCTGCATGTACCTGTAGGGGAGAAAAAGCAGTCATCGTTTAACCAGAGGTGGGAAATAAAAATAAAACAAACATCCTAGGGCCATGGTCCCCAAGCCCAGCCCCTGCCAGGCCCTGCAGAATTTGGCGGCAATGAAGAGCTCCGTCCGCTGGGTGAACTGCTCCTCCTTCTCTGCCCTCAGGTGGGTACTAGTGCAGGGAAGAGGCAGGAAAACGCCCCGCACAGCCTCTCGGTGCCTCAGGTGTCACCGTCTGAATCATCAGAGCAGTGGGAGCAACACGGGGAACAGCCACGAATTTCCTGACTCAATGCCTCTTCCTCCGACCACGGGACAAGCATCCAAGGATACCACTAGTCCAGGGCTTTGTAGAAAGAAGCAGGCTGATGTTAACATCTACATGGGAATGCAAAGGACCCAGGAGGGCCGAAGTGACTTTGAAAACAAGGCTGGAGGACTAGACCACCTGATCTTGAGACTTAACATAAACCCGTAGGAGTCCAGGCCTGATATAGGACAGGCCCGGGTCCTCCGCCTTGACCGTGACATCCTGGACCAGGCAGTTCTTGGTTGGGCACGGGAGACACATCCTGCACACCCCAGTTCCTTGAGGAGCACCCCTGGCTGCCAGCCACGAGGTGCCAGGAGCAGCCCCCACGGCGGCCACTGGTAGTCTCCAGACATGCCAAATGTCCCCTGGGACAAGCCGGTGCCCTTTCTGCCCTTTGCGAGCTAACCATCACAGTCTTACCCAGGACGCCAAATGGCTAGTCTGCTGTAATAACCGAACTCAGTGTCGCCACCCTCCCCAACCTGCACTCCCACCATCCCCACCCACCTCCTCCCCCTGCTCAGCCCCTGGAGCTCCAAGGGCCCTGGCAGGCCTGGCTTGACATCCTGCCCCTCGGTGCTCCCTGAGCTCCGGCCACACGGACCCACTGCGCAGGTAAGGAGGGAGAACCCGGAAAGATATAAATCACTGGGTTTTGGTCCTTTTTTCAGTTTTAAACTAACAGAACATTTTTTCCCACCCAGAATTCTAGGCACAGAAGCCCGGGTGGAGGGGTGTCAGCAGGGTCCCTCACTCAGAGTTGGGAGCCTGAGGCTTTTAGACAGGAAGGACCTGAAAGCAAACACAGAAGGCAGCTCGGGACAGGCGGCCCAGCCAGCGCAGGACACGCCCTCTCCTCCAGGCCCGAGCAGCACCAAGCAAACGCAGACCGCACGCGAAGCCGAGGAAACCTAACTGTCCACATCAGGAGCTGCTGGGCTCAACCCCTCTGGCCACACACAGTAAAAGCAGAAGTTCTTACAAAAGTAAAGCCACAGAGACACCGCAGGGGATAGAACCATTTTCAAACTTGGAGGGTGGGAGGGCCTTGCTGGGCACATAGGTAGAGATGGGGGACACAAGGCCAAGCCTGGCTCATGGTGGGGGTTAGGGGGCACACAAGTGGGGGTCAGGGTATGCAGCCAGCTCTGAGCTGGGGCCACACGGCCTGGACTTCTGGGAGACCCAGGTCAGCCCTGACTCACAGGGCTATGGGGCAAGGAATCCGCGACAGGCCCAGGACTGATGGGAATGAATATGAGTTCAAATTATTCTTATATTAAATAAAACATTTCTGTACATCAAAAATTAATTTTAAAAACCTAAAAGGTATACAAACTGGGACAATTGATAAATATACTAGAGCTGGAGTGCTCAAATTTTAAAATAGAAAAATCTGCAAGTCAATAATGAAATGGTTTATATCCTACTTATAAAAAATGGGCAAAATAAGTGTATAGGAAACTAATAAAGGGAAAAAATGCCAGGAAATGTAGGATAAAACACCAGCAGTCAGAGGACGGGGTGAGAGCAACAGCATGCCCCTCTCCTCGGAGAGGTCAGAGGCAAGGGTCTTCACATGCGTGCTCCGTGTGGCTTTTGCAGCATGCATCAGTGCCCCAGAGTCCCATTTCTAGAAACTTCCCCTGGAGCTGCTCATATCAGTAGTGAGACCCCCAAGGGAGGGCCCAGCTGTAACAAGGGATGCTGGAGGGGACACTGCACATTCGTGCATACACATGTCTATGCATGTGCATGGGTTCTCCTAACCCCAAGTGCTCTGACTGGCCTCCTAGAAGGCCTGAAAACCCATGTTAAGAACTTAGTTGCAGAATATTTTGTGATGCAGAAACATGTTCACAATTCATATGGGAGAAGTAGATTAAAAACCTAGGTGATAATAATGTTGAAAATATACATTGATCCATTTTCAAACTTCCTACAGTTACTGCATATTAAATTTGAAATAAGAAAAAAAATCATGAAAATCATTTAAAGATTTATTTATTTTAGAGAGAGCGAGTATGGGGCTGGGGGACAGGTAGGGGCAGAGGGAGAGAGAATCACAAACAGACCCTGCATTGAGCATGGAGCCTGATGTGGGGCTCAATCTCGCGACCCTGAGACCATGACCTGAGCCGAAACCAAGAGTCGGATGCTTAACCAACTGCGCCACTAGGCGTCCCAATGATGAAAATCATTTTAAAAATATGTATATACACCACCCCTGGTGCATTAAATCTGTACAAATTCAAAAGCCGTGGACGAGTTCCTACAGGAAGTGACAACATGAACACGAGCCATCTTGTCCCTTTCATCCAATCTACTGCAGGCGGCCTCAGGATGCCTGGTGACCCTGCTCCCTGGTGTTCATGGCCTGTGTGATCCCTTCCCTTTGAGTAACTCACTGCTAACCAACAGGAGACCTCAACCTTGGGCCTGATTAGATCCCAAGCAATTCTGACTTCCCTTGCGCTGGCCAATTATCCCTAGCTGGCTCTGATAAAGCACCCGCTCGTCGAGCTTCAGAAGAGACCACGGCCCCGCCAACACGTGGATGGCAGCTGCACCTGGATTCCCATCCCACAGACACCATGAGAGAATCAACATGCATCGTCATAGGCTGCAAGCTCTGTGGTAATTTGTGAAGCAGCAATGGATAATACACCCCCTATATGAGTTTTCTAAGGCGGCTGTGATGGATTACCATCAACTAATTGGCTTAAACAACAGAAATTCCATCTCTTACAGTTCCAGAGGCCAGGAGACTAAAATCAGGGTATTGCAGGACCACGCTCCCTCTGAGACCTCTGCCACAAGAGCCTTCCTTGCTCTGCTGGCTTCTGGTGTTCGTCAGCAAGCCTTGGTGCCCCTTGACTTGCAGCTACAACACTCCAATCTCTGCCTCTATCGTCACCCGGCCTTCTTCATGGTGAGCATCTGCATCCCAAATTTCCCTCTTCTTATAAGGACAAAAGTCACTCATTAGTGCCCATCCTAATCCAGTATGACCCCATCTTAACTTGATGACATCTGCAAAAACCCTATTTCCAAATACGATCATGTTCACAGGCAGCAAGGGTCAGGACTTGAATAGATCTTCTGGGGGAACACAGTTCCACCCATAACACCCCAAAATTAACGAATGAGTGACAGACTGAAAACAGACATAAATAATTATTATAGACAACGGCCAAAACGTTTCATGTGTTAGGAGTGCAGAGAAGCTGATGAGAAAATCATTGAGAACTCAAAAGATAAAGTCTCAAAAGGGGTAGTTCAGAGGCCTCCACATATGGCTGAGTATTACACCTCATGGGTAATCGGAGGCGCACAGATGGAAACCAAAGCAGTAAGATCATTTCAGCCACCACGTTAACAGGGTAGCAGTGGTGTCCACTCTTTTAAGTCAGCACACGTGAGAATGTGACAAAACAGCTGCTAGATTGGGAAGCACACCCATCGTTTCTGTGGGAATAAACTAGAATAAACATTCTAGTTCATTCTGTCAGCCTCTGGCTCAGCTATCCATTCCTGGGAATCCAAGCCAGGACGCCTCCTAAATGCAAACAGCACCCAGAGGATGGAGGAAGGCACAGGATTGAAAAACTGAGTGCTGGGGGTGGAGGACTCTAGCTGCTGAGACGTTAGACTGCTACTCAGAAAGCTGTGAGCTGTTTCAGTAACTTGAAAAGTACCTATGCTGAGAAGCTAAATTTGATTTAAAATGTACGATATGAAGCTACATATCCCAAATGCTCCTCAAACAGTACAAACCTCAAGACCAGAAAGGAGTAGAATCTCCACAATGGCGAATGCTTGATACGGTACAACGATTACGTAGATGTGAAAGTGGAAAAAACACGAACACTTACTTTTCCTCTCTGATTGAAGGGAAGCGCTGGTGATTATAGTAACTTAAATGTTTATAGGCCTTCTTCAGAATTGAGTTCACATCTTCAGGTAACTCATTTTTATCCAATTTTCTAGAATTTATTCAAACAATAAATAACCAAAATATCATGTCAGATTTGTTCAAATTATCCTAAGACAAACTCCAAGTCTAGGAACCTGTGTTTCCCACTGAACAGGCCTAAAAAATCCCTCTTCCTTCGTTCCTTCACTCTCCAAGATGACTTCTCACACCTCCTTACTCTCCTCACTCCCAGAACAGGCTCCTTTTCCCTGTACAGCCCCTCTGCCAGAACCAGACCCATAGGAGGGCAACCTTGTAGGCTGGCTTGGCCCTTCATACCTCCCCGGTTCAGGACCCTGGGCAGCAAACTGCCTCCCTCTGGACAGCTTCCCTCTACTCACACACACACTGGATCTCCTCATGCCTTCTCCTCGTATGCACTGGATCCCCTCGCTGCCCTTTCTTCCCACACACTGGCTCTCCACCTCCTAATTCCCTCTTGCCACTTTAGCAGACATATGCATACAGTTCCATTCTTCCTTCACTTTGAACCACTACTGTCAGGGTTTCACCCAAATTAACTACTCCTATTTGTCAAGGTCAAGTGTCAAGCCTCATGTGGAAGGGCCTATTAGACAGATCTCACCCAGCCAGTGACTCTCCTCCTAAACCACTTTCCTCACTGGCTTAGAAGCTACACTCACCCATGAGAAGCCTCCCTCTGGCCACTTCTAAGTAAAGGGAGACAAGGCAGAGTCCCATCCTCTGGGCCGAGGCCTCACCCTACTGTTCCACCCTCACCCACCCCCTGGCACAGCCATATCCCCTCTAGATGGCACAGAGACCCCGGGTCAGCACCTAAAACTCCTAAACCACTTACGCTTTTAGCATATTAATGTGGTAAGTGACAGCCAGGCTAGCGGAGGTTTTCTTTTCTTCCTCTAACTGAAGCTCATCCACTAATTCATGTCTCACCTGTTATAAGATGGGACAGAATTATTAATTGATTTAAACAAATAATTAGGTAGAGATCCAGATACTAATTACTATTTTACAATTATTCTTCCTTTAAAATTAATATTTGTAATGAACAAGTATCTCTTTATTAATGGCATTTTATATTTAGTTTTCATATAGAACCCGAGTTGATTTCCTATACGTGAAAGTTAGCAGATGATGACGTTCCTCATACATATTGTAGGGTTTATGATTACTTTATATTAACAAATTTTCTGCTAGCCTTTTTGTCATTCAGTGCTGTTACAAGTGTAATATTCAGAGATCACAATGAAGGCAAAAGATTTTATTTTGCTTTCTCAATGTGTGCACGATGTATGTATGCTTTTGCCTCTCTCAGTGGATAGACTTGGTTGTTTTTATACACGGTTCTCCAAAAATGACATTTAAGAAAATTACTTCTGCCTACATTTTTCAAAATGCCAGCTTACCATAACAGAAAATATGTGTCGATATTTCTGTGGCACGCTAGCTTTTATAAATGGCGCTGCAGTGACACAAAATTTTGCAGCCTCTTCCTTTTTTCCAGCTTGTAGATAACAGTCCAGAAGCTCCCTGGATAGTATAAAAATACTGGATATTAAAACCTGATGAAATCGTTTTCTGCTGCAAATGTCTAATAACCAGGTTGCATTTTATTACGTTTCACAAACTTCAGAAACAAACAGGGATCAGGCAGCTCCTTACTCCACACCTGCAGCATGTGGCTCAGCAGGGACTGCAGGCAGGGGCTGAGAGAGCTATGCTACTCCTGGCAGGAGGGAAAGGAAATGTTTGCACCATAACTACCTCCAACACTTATAATAGCATTTTTAAGAAAGACTGTATTTATACTTATTTTCTGTTAAAAGCTCCCCAAATAGCCATAAAGCAGGTAAAGAAAGCCTTTAGATTCTGGATTCCAACCTCAGGGTGGATCCTCTGGATCCTCCTTGCAGACATGCACCCAGTCGCTAGCCTGCACATGGTACTTCCCAGAGATAGCACAAGTCTGGCTGATTGCCTTCCGGTCCACTCAGCACAAGGATCATATGCTGACATCTCTCACTGTGGCTTCTCAGGGCTGTCCCTAGGCTGATGCACAAGGAGCACACTTCCCTAAACAGGGCCATTCTGGCTGAGTTTTATGTTGCTAAACTGTCTACTGCATAACAATTCACTGAACTAAGTTAAAGCCACGAGCCAGGATTATGACACAAGGTCACACGTCCTGTGTTTTGAGTCTAAACACTCATCTTGCTGTAACACCCATATGATCAGGACACTGCGATTTTATCTATAGACCTCATCAGACAAGACACAAAAACCGTAATCCTAACTACAGAGTAGAAAGCATATAAGATAATCATCCCCCTGGGAGCAAGCGGGAGGGGAAGGAGGTCAGAGGCTGCCAAGCGTGGTTGCTTAGGGACTTGTGGCAGGGCATCCAACTCACAGCATCAGCTCTGCCCGCCACTCCTTGTCCTCTTCTTCAGTCTGATTTAACACGTTGACAATTTGGGAGAAGCTGGAGATCAGATGGTGATGATATCCCGGCTTGAGAAATGGCCTCACCATTTGCCAGTAGAGGACTGATGCGTTATACACCAGGAAGTAATACCTGCAACGTGAGCAGAGGAAGTCTGAGACTAGGTCCCGAGCCCGTCCAGAGCCTGTCGGAGCGGCCTCAGGCAGGAGCCTCGAGTCCTCTGTCCCCAGTAGATGGCAGCAGCACCATCTGAGCCGCTCTGAGCTGCGGGCACCCACACTGCCTACGCAGAAGGGGCTGGAGGCTGCAGTTCAACCCCAGCCATGATGACCCGGCCACATGACTCCTGAGTCCAGACTAGAGATCCCTTCACCCATTCAGTCATTCCAAAAGTGATCAGCTCCCTGTGAAAATACACCAGTAAGCGAGGTCTCCTTTGGTTCCCAAGAGATAGACAAGAACAGGCAAGTGCAGGGGGAATCAAGGAAGGCTTCCTGGAGGAAGTAACATCCTGCTGAGACCTGAAATGTGAGAAGCGATCAGCCCTGAGAGCAGTGCAGGGAAAGGGTCTGCCAGGTAAAAAAGAGGGAGAGCAGAATCTTTGGGGAACAAAGTCCCCATGCCTGTGCATGAAGGGCAAAGTGGGGCAGGAGGAGGGGTGAGGAGAGGAGCAGGGACACCCCTCAGAAGGTGGGCTTTTTCCTGAGGGCTGGAAGGAGCCACTGGAGGAACTGGAGTAAGGGCACCACAGGGCCAATTTGCCTTTCTTGCTGTAGGCCTCTCTGAGAGGCCAGCTCTGCCTTGTAAGACCCAGGGTGCATGGGGAGGAGGCTCACAACAGCACTGATCAGGAGCCCGAAGGAGTGAATCAGGATTTACACCTGAATCTCCTTAAATAGGTTGTATTAATACCACTTTGTGTGCAAACTTAATAGTTTCAATAATCTTTCTTTTTGATGAAAGAAACATTAATTAAGTAGAAAACTGTGCTAGAGTTTTAGCTGAATCGCTATAGACAGGAGGCCTTGGCCTGGGCAATCTGCCAGAGGGAACAGAGGCAAGGGGGGGCAGGGGAGGGCGGGACTCTGATGCTGAGCCCTCAGAGAGGCCCAGACACTAAGAGGGCCACGGAGACCGGCCAAAGGAGAAGTGTCCACAGAGAACACAGACAAAAGCCGTCTGCATATCACAGCAACCACAGGACAGACAAAAGGAGGAGGCCAAGGGAATCGTGTGTGTATGGGACCCAGCTCTACACGCTAGAAACAAGCATACAACAAGGACACAACAAGGACAAAACCCCCCACAGTCCAAACAGGTAGAACCACTTGGTAAATCATGGTTCTGTACCTTTTACACAATCCCAGTTAGAAATGGCCAATTCTATATACCTACCTGGGTTCTCCTTTTGCAAAGTTTATTGCCTTCATATACTGAGTCACACAATTTTCAAATTCCTCCTAAAACAACATAAAAAATGCACAATTGCATTGAATTTGCCACTGAAACATCAATCATTGCTCGTGGTCACTTCCGTGGACATTAAACCACACTAAGGACTGGCCTGGGAGCCCATGTATAAGCAGCAGGAGCCTGGGCGCCTCGCGCGTCCTCAGGCACACCCGGCCGGGCTCAAGGGCAGCTGTCCTGGGCACAACCAGGGCACCAGGATGCAGACGCCAAAGGTCAGACAGGAGCTTCGGGGAAAAGCACAAGCGGGAAACTGATGATAAATCTGCTCGCTGACCTTTCCATAAAGAGTACTTTATTTTATTTATTTATTTACTTGACAGAGAGAGACACAGCGAGAGAGGGAACACAAGTGGGGGAGCAGGAGAGGGAGAAGCAGGCTCCCCGCTGAGCAGGGAGCCCGACGTGGGACTCGATCCCAGGCCCCCGGGATCATGACCTGAGCCGAAGGCAGATGCTTAACGACTGAGCCACCCAGGCGCCCCATAAAGAGTACTTTAGGATTTGTCTAGCCTGACACAATTTTGGAAGCAGGTGAGATTGTAACTCTTTCCACACAAGATGTAAAATTTTGAGGAGAATCAAGGCAGCCTCAGGGAAAACCTCGAGTGGGACAAACCATTAGGTATTCGTTTAGGAACGGGGACCTGGTGGGGGTCCCACTGAAGGTTAGGGTTGGAAGGCTTCACCCTCAGATGGACGCCTGCTCCCCGGGGCATCTCTCACCAGGTTTTCGGTGGACTTGGGGGCACAGAGCTGGGCCTTACACAGGTGCGCTCGGCCCAGGAACTGGGTGACCGGCCCCTTCACCTTGAAGTACATCTGGATGCAGTCGTCACTCATCTCGGGGTGCCCCATCTGCAAGACACCACCCCGCGGCCATGAACGGCCCCAGAAGGGTGCCTGCGGATGCAGCGCCAGGCAGCGGCTCTGCCAAGACCTGAGGACGGCACCCCCGCCCCGGGTGCTACCGCGGTCTCCAGCTCCACCTCGTGCTCCCAGAAACAGAGACCCTCCTAGGACCCCCGACCCCGTACCTTCAGCGCCTGTTCTGCACACAAAACAAACAGGTCGGGGCTGAAGCTCTCCATGGGGTCGAACTCTGATTTGCCCAGGTTGGCCGACTTAATCAGCGCATAAGCCCTCTTCAGGGACGCGTCATCTACCAGGACGACAGTGGAGAAAGGTGTGGTCAGGAGAAAGCCCGCACGGCATCACTGCGCACCGGGGGGCCAGTGTGGGAGGGGGCCGGCGGCCGGGCGTCCTCCCCCCCGCGGCCCGGCGTCCCCCCCCCCCGCGGCCCGGCGTGTCCCCCCCCGCGGCCCGGCCTCCCCCCCCCCCCCCCGCGGCCCGGCCTCCAACCCCGCGGCCCGGCGTCCCCCTCCCCTGCGGCCGGGCGTCCCCCCCCCCGCGGCCCGGCGTGTCCCCCCCCGCGGCCCGGCGTGTGCCCCCCCCCCCGCGGCCCGGCCTCCCCCCCCCCCCCGCGGCCCGGCCTCCAACCCCGCGGCCCGGCCTCCAACCCCGCGGCCCGGCGTCCCCCTCCCCTGCGGCCGGGCGTCCCCCGCCCCCGCGGCCCGGCCTCCCCCCCCCCCCCCGCGGCCCGGCGTCCCCCCCGCCGCGGCCCGGCCTCCCCCCCCGCGGCCGCTCCCCGTCCCCAGCCTCCACCAGGCCGAGCCTCGGCAGCAGTGGGGGCAGGGATCCTGAGCAACCGCGGAGGACGACAAGGCGGGGGTCGCGGAGGCCCTACGTGGGGCGGGGGCGGCGTGGGTGCCGGGGCCTCCCCAACGTGGGAATCCCGAGTCGGGCGGGACCCGGCCACCCAGGCCAGGGGCCTGCGCGCTCCGCCTCTCCGGGGGCAGGGTCCTGGCGGGTCCCGGGTCCCTGGGGCTGGGGCTCGGTCCCCCGCCCACCCTGCTGGCTCCCGGCGCGGGCCAGCTGCTGCGTGATGACCAGGTCCATGGCGCCGGGACGAGCGCGCTGGGTTTTCTCCGCCTAGCCGGCTGCCGGCGGTTGCCTAGCGACCGCGGGGGACGCCGCCGGTCCTACGGGTCGGCGACTGGGCCACACTAGTCCGGAGGCGAAGCGCCGCCAGGAGGCCACCCCCTGCGCGTCCGGGCCGCCCTTCCCGGACAAAGACGCGGGGGCGGGGGCGCAGCCCCGGGGCGAGGGGAGCGGAGCGAGGGCGGGGCGCGCTCGCGTCGGGGTCGTGCCCACGCTGGCCCGCGCGACCCCCCCCCCGCTCGCCCAGCCCCCGCCCACGCCCCGGGGCGATGCTGCCCGAGCGGCCCCGCGTCCCCGCCCCGCGGTCCCCCAGGCCAGGGATGCCCCTGGATCTGGTCCTGGCTTCCGGAGCCTGTCCCTGCCTGCCTTAACTCATTCTCGCGGGCACCCACTCATCCATTGATTCGTGCATCCTACAGGCCGGGGATCGTCCGGACAGTTGTTCGCCCCTGCCTGGGCCGGGCCTGAGCGTGCCGGGAAGCGCGGGGCTGCACGGCCGCCGCGTGCGGAGAGGACATCAGGCAAACACTGAATGCGCATCCAGGGGTCGGACCCTGAGAGGGTCGCGCGAGCACCGGACGGCTGAGCTGAGATTTGCAAGAGCAGAGGAGGCTCCCCACAAAGGGGGGAGAACGGCACCTGCGCGGGAGGGAGGGGCGCCCGCGAGGGCGCGTGGGCGGGGCTGCGGGGAACCGGGTCAGGGCGCTGGCCAGGGCGGGATCGCCGTCCTCCCACGGGCGCTGCACGCGGTGCGCCCGGGTCCTGGCGTTTTCTGAGGGTGCCAGGTGAAGCCTGGTTTGGAGAGGGTGAAGGTGAAGAGGCCGCGGGCACACGCCCAGGGCAGGAAGGGAGAGCGTGTTTGGGTGACAGGTGTGAGACCCAAGAGGGCCAAGAGGCCACAGCCCTGGGGCTTACACACAAGGGTGGATGGGGCATGCACCGGCACGGGGAGCTCCAGAGGAGGGCTGGACAGGTGGTAGCTCAGGAGCAGGTGCTAGGTGTTCTGTCCGGGCATGCGGGATGCTGAGGTATTCGGAGCTCACCTTTGCAGGAAGGCTCCTGGAGGTGCAGGTCTGCTCACAGCTGCCTAGACATGCTGGTGTGTGGATGAGTGCACCAGGGGTGGAGCGGGGCTGGAGACCACCAGCTTTGGAGACCCCTTGGCCAGGAGCAGCAGGAAGAGCTGCAGGGGGGTGGGGCAGAGAGGTGGAAGGGAAGCCGGGCAGAGCCCCAGGGAGCCAAGGGAAGGGTGTTGGGTGAGGGGTCAGCTGTGTCAAATCTGGCCAAGACGGCAGTAAGATAAACACTGAGAAACAGCAGTTGGGATTAGCAAGGTGGAGGCTGTGAGTGACCCAAGAATAGCCATTTCTCTGAAGGGGGGGTGGGATGGTGGCAGAGCGTTGGAGGGGGTGGGAGAGTGAGTGGGGTCTGTAGTAGAGACAAAGAGAGGTGCACAACTTCTTCAAGAAATCTGGCTTCTCGGGCACCTGGGTGGCTCAGTTGGTTAAGCGACTGCCTTCGGCTCAGGTCATGATCCTGGAGTCCCGGGATCGAGTCCCACATCGGGCTCCCTGCTCGGCAGGGGGTCTGCTTCTCCCTCTGACCCTCCCCCCTCTCATGTGCTCTCTCTCTCTCTCATTCTCTCTCTCTCAAAACAAATAAATAAAATCTTTAAAAAAAAAAAAGAAATCTGGCTTCTCATGGAGTGGAAAGAGATGAGGCAGGGACTGTGTCATCTGGGGAGGGATATTTCTAAAGGAATAAGACAAATGAGCCCTTTTAAAGTTGGCGGGTTTCTATTGGCTAATGGGATGGTGTATGTAGAGAATCCTGTGGCATCTACAAAAACGTGCAACTGCTAAGAAGTGAATTTAGCAAGGAGCAGGGTACAGCATCAATATGTGAATATGGATTGTATGTGTAAATGCCAGGAACAAATGGAAAAGGACAGAGACATGCCCTTAGAGTAGCCTCAGAAACACACCGCTGTGGAATAAATTTAACAGAAGATGCGTACTATCCCTGCACTAAATCTACAAAACATGGTTGAGAGAAATGGAGAGAGGGCTGTGGTCGGGGGTCGGAAGACTTGGATTTGTGAGATGTCCTTTCCCTCGGAGGTACGCGTCTCGCTCAGTGCAATCCCAGTCACAAGCCCAGCACACCTTTTCCTGGAAGCCGACAGCTGACCCTACCATATCCGTGGAAACACAAAGGACCTAGAGTGGCCAAGAGGATCGTGAGGGAGAAGAGCAGCCCTGGAGGACTCACACTCCTTCATTTCAAGACTGACAGGAAGGCCGCGGCATATGGAAGATGGTGTAGACCAGTGGAGCAGAACAGAGTCCACTGATCTGGCCAGACGTGCTGGTTCAGTGGGGAAAAGGATGGTCTTTCCCACAATGGTGCCAGAACACCTGGGGAGTGGGCGGGCACCGGGACACGCAGCCCCCGCACCACGCTGGGCAGCCCTCGTCAGAGCCAGGTCACAGGCTTAGAAGGAAATTGAAGTGTGTGTAAGAGTGAAAGAAAATAAATACCACACCGTCTTGGAGCAGATGGAAGTTTCTTAGCTAGGGCACAAAAAGTGAAACCATCAAGGAAAAAAATAAAGCTGTCTTCATCAAAAGTAAAACCTCTGCTCTTTGAAAGACTGTAAAGAAAATGAACAGATTGGAAGAAAATATTCACGATAAATATACCTGACACGGAAATTCTACCCAGGTTATATTTTTAAAAGCCAGTAAATCAATAAGGAAAGACAACACACACAAAAATTGGACAGAAGACGTGAGTAGACACCAAACAGTAGAAGATCTAAGATTACCAAGTAAGCACATAAAAAGGCGCTTGGCATCCTGAGTAATCAGGGAAATGCAAATTTAAGTCAAAATGAGATTCTGTTGTAGACCCATTAGAATTCTAAAATTAAAGAGATTGACCATGATGAATATCGGTGAGATACACCAGTGATTGACCATGATGAATATCGGTGAGATACACCAGTGGGGACCCTCACGCACGGCTGATGGGAATGAAAAATGGTACAATCACTGAGAAACAAAGTTTTTAATGAAGTTAAACAAGCTGCTACCCTATGAACCCACGATCCTACTTTTAGGGGTTTACCCAAGACAAATGATGTGTCCTCAGAAAGCTGTGCACAAGAATGTCCACAGCAGCTTTGTTCATATTAGCCCCGAAGTGGAAACAACGTAAGTATCCAGCAGTAAGCAAAGTGTGGTGGGGCCCCACGATGGGCTGCCTCTCTGCAGGGAGGAGGACCGGGCCGGGGCTCCACACCAACAACGTGGAGGCGCGTGAACGAGGGAGGGCAGCAGCACCAGGCATGAAGGAGCCGTCTCTGCAAGCCCATGTCCACCCAACTCCGGGCCAGGCAGAGGAAGCAAAGACTGGGGAGACCAGGATGTGGCTAAGTGGGAAGGGGTGGCCTGCAGGGTCCTCGTCTCTTCTGGAGCATCGGGCACATGGTCGTACTTCCTTCAAAACTCCCTGCAGTCGCCATTTACCATGGAACAGCCGCAGTATACCCACGGGCGGTCATCTGGGACCCAGGGACCAAGCTGTGACCCGGCCGTGTGGGGAGGAGCACCGGCCCGGGGCGCCAGGGTAGGGTGGCTGTGAGCCGGTTGGCAGCTGGGGGAGCCGGGGTGCCGCCGGGTGAGCCCAGGAGGGCAGACAGAAGAGGAAATGTCGAGCGCTGTTCAAGGGTTAGTTCTCCCCTCTGCCCCACCTCCCAGACTGTGGGGAAGTCCGTGCTGCCCCACGTACTATTCGGCTTTCTTTACGCTCTCTCCTCCCCTTCCCTTCTTCTGTCTCAGGAATAGACTCCGATTTTTGGCAGGCACAAGGCTACCTCGCTTCCCACCTCCCTTGTAGCCAGTGTGGTCAGGTAACCAAAAAAAGCAATTTTAGGTGAGTATTCTCACAGGGAGAACAACCCCTTTGTTGGTCTTCCTCTTGCTTGCTGGTGGAAATGTGGCTATGAAGGCTGGACCTTGAGCAGCCATCTTGTGCCATGAGGAGGTAGCCTCCACGCTGTGGATAAAGAAGCCTGGGTCTCCCATCTGTGGGGCAGCTGCTTGGTCCTGGATGGCCTTGTGTGAAAAAGAAATAGACGTTTCTCTTGTTAAATCTAAGCTGCTTCTTTTCCCTGGGACACTCCCCGCTGATGTCCTCACCAGGGCTTCAACCTTGACTTGTCAAGAAGATTAGGATGCAGGGCAGACCACAGGGCAGATTTCTGGCAAGTATTGGGTCTACGTTTTCTAAGATTTAAAACTCAAAGCATGACGAAATGTGTATACACATGTGAACCTGTGTGCACACGTGATAATGTGTGGCGTGTGTATGTGTATGTGTGCATGATAAAATAGCTTCTGCCCAGACGTGATTCTGAAACCCACACCCCCGTTTTGCTCAAGGTCCAGAGTCACGCACCGTCTTGGAGGTAGGAGGCTCCAGTCCCTGTTTCGTCAGCCAGCTGTTAGCTCCCACAGAGCGTCCTCAAATGTGTCTTTGTTTATTCAGAGGGACGCTTGGCACCATGCACACAGCAGTTATAAAATATTTATTCCCCCCAAGGAAGTATCTCCCAACATTACGTAGTAAGAGATTTTCCAAATCCTAGAGTGTTAAATATTAAAACTCATTTTTCTAGTTATACAGTAGCCTTAAATGTGAAGAATGGGGCACAAAGTTCTTTTTTTGCTGGATGGTGTTTCATTTAGTAAAGACAATTCAGGTCAGGCCCAACCTGTTCTTTCCCCTTTTTGGCTTGAGAATCGAGTGTGGAACTTGGGCGCCGTGCATTTCCCCGGCCAGCGCTCCTCCTCGTCTGTGCTCTGACCCAAGACGCCTCGAAGACAGGCCAAGGCAGCCCAGGCGACACCACGGCGTTGCCCACGTAGGGGCCCATGTAGGGACACACCGTGCTCACAGGAAGGCGTCAGCGTGGGCGGTCCTTCCCCTGACGGTTCCTCGCGCCTCCCTGGCTGGCCTCCAGACGGCACCTGCAGCGCGAAGTCCCTGACGTGCACCCTGTGTGTCCCTCAAAGCAGCACTTCGGTCACCCTCTTTCCACACAGGGGCCGTGGCCTGTGTCTGCTTC